CTGGAGAATAAAATGTTTGCTGATAAAACAGCAAGGTTTAATCATTGTACTGCGAATTATGTTCAACTTTAAACGAGGGTAAACTAAGTCGTTAGAATCTTTCGTTCGTGGAATCTTTTCTTTGCAAAAGTTTCAGACGAGAAATGGTTTCCCTAAATGTTTGCTACTTGTCCCCTTCGGTGCTATCACTTGATGGTTCCTTTTAATGAGTTCGCTGCTTATCCTTATCCCCAAATCAGACATTTAAAACATTCCAACAATTTTAGTCGTTTACCTTCAACCTCAACCTGGAGCGTTGGCGTTTCCAGCAAAGTTTAAGAACCTCTGGGCTCCGTTTCTCTCTTTTTTGGACTGGGCCCGGGTGGGCTGTCTCTTTTGTTAAAAGTTTTATCTAATTCCTTTGCCAGAATGCCGTGTTTACGTCCTGTGTCCTGTCATTCCCGTGTCCTTCAACTTTTGCCAGGCTCCAGGGTGCTGCTGCCGATGCTCCTGTATCTCGTGCCCTGTCAGTTTTCCCCGCACCGCTCTCCCTCCTTCTCCTTCTCCTGCTGCTGTTACTGCTACTGCTCCTGCTCTGGATCCTACTGCTGCCAGCTCCCTGATGTTGATAAATTTCACGCCCCGGAGGAGACGCAGCCAGGGAATGTTCTCCTGCTCCTGCCCAAATTACTTTGGCTGCAGTCAGGGAGCAAATGGGAGGAAGGAGGGAGGAGAGCACCGCCCGGCAATGATTGAATGAAAGGCTAAAAAAGGATTTCAGGAATTCCAACTCTTGTGTAAACTCTCACCCGTGTGTGTGTGTGGATGTGTGTGTGTGCTGTATGTGCGGGAATATCCTGCTGGCCATGTACGCGGCTTCCTTTTGGCCGCCCTGTATGTGCGAGAGACCCAGGCGAATATACGAATATACACAGAAATAACCTCAAACAAGGACGTTCGGTGAGAAACTTTTGCCAGGACAAAGACAGGGCGACCTGCGGGGAGGCGGTCCAGCCAACGGAGGCTACACTGTACATAGAAACGGGTGCCTAAGGCCATAAAGATTGAAGGGAAGATTTTTGTTTTGTAGCCCCAGCAAATGTTACCACCCAAAAATGTAAAATATTTTACCCAGAATGCGAAATATTTTGGGGTTTGAATGGGGTTTATTAATAGGGTCAAGTAGGTCTTCTGGCAAAAGTAGAACTTGTCTGTTCAGATGTTTCGAAATATCAATCCTGTTGAGGTATCCTTTACTTACCCAATTTCCTATTATGAATATTGTTTACACCAGTTCATTTTGTTTCTCTGCACCAGAAATTCAGCCATTTACTGCCACCTCTTCTTCTTCTTCCTCTGGGCCATGTATTACATAAGCGGTCGAGCACACACAGTTGCGCTGGAAACATGGCAGTAATGCAATTTACAGACGCCCAAAAATGTCCGCCCACCTTTGCTGCTGTGGTCGTTCGATGGGTGGTTTGGGTGGTTTTTGGGTGGCTTTGTGTGCCTTTGATGGCTGGGTGGCTTTGGGCTTTGGGCGGCCGCGTTACTTATGCTGGCCACAAGCCACCCCCTCTCGTATCCTCCCCCTCCGCTACGCCCCTCGCCATCCCTTGCCTTGTGGGCGCAACAAATGTTGCCCAGTAATGTTGTTATTGCTGTTTTGGCTGGCGTGGCCCTGCAATTCCCTGAACCGGGCGCACTTTTAGCTGAATTGATTTTTCCAATGGCCTCAACTGCGCATGCCGGGCAACCGTTCCTCCACTCCTCTCCCCTCCCCATCTTCTCGGTCCCCTGTCCCCCCGGCAAACTCTCTGCGGACTGCATTTCCCTCAAACTACACACACATAGTTCAGTTTTTACATACAGCGGTTGCAGTAATACAGTAACTCGGCTCAAAATATGGGATAACGTTTAAGAGAAGAGACAGATTCATTAGATTCAATAACTACCAGTTGCTAGGAATATATATTCTATACTGAATATAAAATAAAATAGTTTACACACTATTTCAGTTGAGATGGTGAACCCAATTGTTCTGTTTCTTCCCTATCTGCGAGGAGGAAAGACCACTGTGGCGCTGTTAAGTGCCACCCGCCTGAGTCATGCCCCACGCCACATTCCCTTCCACTTCCACTTCCACATGCTGCAGCATAGCCACTTGGTCTGCCACGTCCTCTGCTGCAGTCGCAACTCTGCCGCTGCCGCTGCCACTGCCTCTGTCGCTGCCAGCTAAAAGCTGTGACCTGAGCAGAGAGCTGGAAACTGCAGCATCCACCTCTGCCTCCACTCCACTGCCCCCTGGCCATATCCGTGGTTTATGTATATACGATAAACACACACACACACGTATCGTATATGGCAAACTGGCAAACTGCTCGCTGGCTGTTCTATATGGCCATATTTTAAGTGCTGCTGCTTAAAGCGCTTAATGCGGCTTTAAAAAATCTTCGTTCTCCGTTCTGGCCGCTTCAAAAGGGGCTGGGATCTGGGATCTGGGATCTGGCTAAACTAGGATGGCTTCAATTCATCAGTTTGGGCATTATATGGGGGCAGGAAATGTGAGTTGGCTTGGAAAAATTACGATTGTAGATTACAGTTTGTCTCTCCGTCTTCTGAGAGTTTGAGATAACAATGGGATCCGGATTACATTTCTGATTAAAGCTTATTGAGGTTTAGTTTGGAGCTTAGAGGTATTCAATTTTAAAATGCTAAATACATCGTTCTCCAATTTCAAACCACTAATTTTCGCCACCAAGAGCAATTCTCTATCCCGCAGGATCTCATCCTGCAGATAAAAACTCAAAGATACTTTTTCTTTGGGAATAAACATCCCTCCAAGTATAAATGCTACTTCTTTCGCTGATGTTTCAGATGTGTGCCAAGGGTTTCCGAACTGTTCCATAATGACACACATCCCCGATCCGAAAAAGGGGGCAGAGGTCGGTTCTTATCTGCAGAACAGATTAGCACAAAGCGAACAGCAGACGCCGTTGACCCGATCCGATCGATAGAAGATCGTATATACATAATTATATTTGTTCGTCCCCTGAGGTTGAACAATGATTCTCCGTGCCATTGAACGCGTTCGTAAGCCTCAATTGTAGATCGGTCTGTGAGAAATCTACTCGGAAATACACACATACAGATGAATACAGTGGTAATTGGAAGTTCCCATCCTTCAAAAGGTTATTGTTCTTCTTTAAATGTTTTATTCTGAATTCAAACTAGAAATAGTGCTTAACAAATTTGTTTTTTATTTCAAAATCTCGGTTATTTAGTATTTTCTCGAAAATTAGCATTCGCTTCTTGCTCTCTTTTGTTGTTTTTTCTTGTTAATATATTTTAAGGGAGGTCTCTTGATCTCAGTCGTTCAAATGTGCGATGTCCTCGACAACGGAAAAACACAAAACAAAAACATTTAGCAAAGGTCGCGCCTGTTCTACTGTTTCCCTCAGGAAAACAAGAGAAATGCTGAGCTCAACCCTCGTTCTATTCCAAAGTCATTCCGTGGAGTGAGTCGAGCCTTTTGCGCCTTAATTTATCCAGGGGTTGCTTTTTGCGTCTTTAATGGCATTGTTTTTGGCCTGAGCCAGGTAGAAGTAACGCTTTATTTCTACCTGGCTCTGCTTCCCATCTCCGTCTCTTTCGCACTCGCTGCGAAGAGAAACTAGCATTTGTTTGGCCCATAAGTTACGTTATAGTTGTGATCGAACAGTCGAACTGGAAATATAGTAGGAAATTTATACATCTCTGGGTTAGTAACTTCTTTAATTTTTTTTTAAACACAATTCTTACGAAAAGCGAATGATAGTGTCCCACATAGTGCCGCGTGTGTTTGTGCTTTGTTTATTTATTATAAAACTCGTAGCCATAAATGTAAACAATTGTTTTTTATCCTACCCAAACTAATAGGTCAACCAGTGACAAACAACCAAATGGATTACAAGAATTATTATTAAACTTATTGAACAACTTAGCCAAACATAAAATTTAAAAGATCGTCCTGGAAAATCTATTAATGAAATTCTACCCGAACTCGACACAGCTTCTACATGCCACTACGTAACCGAGCTTACGTGACCGCGCGCCGGTCTACGTTGCACGCCCTGTTTACGTCACGTGACGACCAAGCAGTCTGGCAGCGCTGCACGCGAATATCGGCACAAAGCAAAATCGGTGGCCAGTGAGCGAAACAAGCAGAAGCTAACGAACAAATTTTTAATATAAAGAGCGAATCGCGACTAAAATAAAGAACGTGAACGAAGCCGTATGCCGTGCAAAAAATGAAGGAATAATACCAATTTCATACAGAAAAGAAACCGGTTGGCTTTCGGATAAAGCAACAAAAGCAAAAGAACGTGGCTCTCCCGGTCCCGGCTTTTTTTGCCTCTGTATTTGTGCCTTTTCGTGGCGGGAGTGAGCGTGTGTGCGAGAGCGCGTCTGTGTGTGTTGGTTTTTTTTTTTGTTTGTGCGTGTGTGTTGCCGCGTAAACAGACGCAGAGGAATAAACGCAAGAAGAAGACGAAGTTGGCGGATTGGGTCGCACGTCAGTTTATTTGGCGCCCGTTTATTTATTTGGCCGGGTGAAATTTTTCTTCAAGTGCCTGATCCAACGTAGTGCAAAGAAATCGGAAGCGAATAAGTGAAAAAAGCCATACATTTGGAAGTGTTCCCGATGATAGGCCCAAATATTAGTGCGCCCGTCTCTGGGGCTGTGAAAATAAGTAACGACAACGCTTTTCCCAGCGAAAACCGATAAATAATATTATGCGGAGGTTGGTTAATATTGTGTAAAAAAGTGCATGCCGAATATTGTACATATCGGTGCTTTAAACTTCACTCTCCGAGAGCTAAAATTTTGCAATATAACTGTGATTGCCAGGCATAACAACCTTATTTCTGAAGAATAGGAAATGTCAGAATAATTACCCACAACCAAAAATTAAGATTACTATTACGATCGTGACTAGATCCCTTGACTTGAGTTTAAGCAATTTTTTCTTTTTCCGTTTTAGGTCTACAGAGGAACCACCGACAAACAGCTACGAAAGGAACTACTACGACCGCACCAGCAGCCGCTTAGTCAGTCAGTATCAGGCAAGCAACTCTGCCTCCTTGGCCAACTCCCATTCCAACGCCAGTCCCTCGTCCGTGTCCGTATCCGTGTCCAGTTCGGCGGCAGGAGGGTCCTCCGAGAGGTCGCGCAACCGAGATCGCCTGTACAGGAATGGTTCTGCCAGCGGCAACAGCAGCAGCAACGTCCACGGCAACAGCAGCAGCAGCAACACGACGACGACGACGACAGCAGCCTGCACAGGAGCTGGAGCTGGAGGATCTGGAACGGGGGCAGCCGGAGCAGGAGCCGGAGCTGGGGCTGGAGGATTGGTAGGATCGGGAGCTGGGGGGGCACCGCTGGGCGACCGGAGCAGCAGCCACAATATCCACCAGAATCAGCAGAGCGCGCGGGTGGCACCACCACAGTCATGGTACGAAGCCGCCGCTGCTGCAACGACGGCCCAATTGAAAAGTCCTGGTGGCAGTGGCAATGCCGGCGCCTCAGCAGCCGGTGGCTTTGCAATGAGCAGCTCACCGATCAACCATCATCAGCATCCGCATCCGCATCAGCATCCGCATGTTCAGAATCCTCAACACCCGCACTACAGCAGCAGCAGCCCAGCGGCAGGAGCCGTAGGAGGAGGTTCCTGCCCCTCTCCCGCCCAAGGACAGATACAGATCGCATCGCAGTCGCAGACCACGGCCGTGCATCGGAGCGTGGCCTATGCGGGGAGTGCTGCGGATGACTCGCTGACCACCGCCACCTCGCGCAAGATGCTCCTGCACAGCAGCAAACTCAATAAGCTGCTCAAGGGGACAGGGGCAGCGGGCAGCGGAGGAGCACGCTCTGGTTCGGAATCGCCAGGGGGAGCGGGAGCAGTTGGAGCCGCTCCTCTGACGACGACAAGTACAATCACAAACAATAGTTTTAGTAGTAATAGTTTAAATAATACAATAAACACGGCGACTCCGACGATGCCCACGATAGCATCCGGAGCAACGGGAGCTGCGGGATCGGTGGGACTAGGATCTGGCGCAGCAGCGGTAGCGGGTTCCAATTCCGGTTCCGGTCCAGCCACCAGCGGAGACATTCTAAATGTGGCCGCTGCCCTGGCCGCCGCCGTGGACAACGGGATGCCGACGCACCCGATCCGAACGCGACACCACCTGCACGGACGCAGCACCACCTCCTCCAGTCGCTCGCACTCGCGTTCGCCGAGCAGCTACAGCAGTTCGCACAGCTCCTCGTCCTCCTCGCACTCCTCGTCCCACTCGCACGCGTCCAGTCCCGTCCAATCCACGGGCAATTGTGCGATGGCGGAGGGGCGCAGCGGGCGTAGCCTTCAATCCGTCGCTGTAACCAGTGAGTATTTCAGCTATATTTCCCCTTTAAATCGGAGATTTTATTTTTTCCCCTTTTCTCCACCAGGCAACTCTTCAAATCCCAGTGGCAATGCTGGCAACGCCAGCAACGCAGGCGGCGGCGGCGGCTGTGGCTCCAGTTCGTCCTCGAGCAGCAGCTCCAGTTCAAGCGGATCGTCCTCCTGCCTAACGGCCAATCCAGTGGTGCATTCCGAAGACAACCGGCCGCTGGCGATACGTGTCCGCAACCTGCCCGCCCGTTCCTCGGACACATCCCTCAAGGATGGTCTCTTCCATGAGTACAAAAAGCACGGCAAGGTCACGTGGGTCAAGGTGGTGGGCCAGAACTCGGAGCGATATGCCTTGGTCTGCTTTAAGAAGCCCGATGATGTGGAGAAGGCGCTGGAGGTGTCGCACGACAAGCACTTCTTCGGCTGCAAGATCGAGGTGGAGCCATACCAGGGCTACGATGTCGAGGACAACGAGTTCCGACCCTACGAGGCCGAGCTGGATGAGTACCACCCGAAGTCCACGAGGACGCTGTTCATCGGGAACCTGGAGAAGGACATCACCGCCGGAGAGCTGCGCGGCCACTTCGAGGGCTTTGGCGAGATCATCGAGATCGACATCAAGAAGCAGGGCCTGAATGCCTACGCGTTCTGTCAGTATTCGGACATTGTCTCCGTGGTGAAGGCAATGCGCAAGATGGACGGCGAGCACCTCGGCAGCAATCGAATCAAGCTCGGCTTCGGCAAGTCCATGCCCACCAACTGCGTCTGGATCGACGGTGTCGGCGAGAAGGTCTCCGAGTCCTTTCTCCAGTCGCAGTTCACGCGATTCGGAACGGTGACCAAGGTCAGCATCGATCGGAACAGGCAGTTGGCCCTGGTGCTGTACGACCAGGTGCAGAATGCCCAGGCTGCGGTGAAGGACATGCGCGGAACGATCATGCGGGGCAGGAAGCTGCAGGTGGACTTTGCGTCAAGGGAGTGTCAGGACGCCTTCTACGACAAGCAGGAGAAGCAGCAACAGCAGAGTGCAAGTAAGTTTCACAAACAATGTACTATTATTTCAACAATTTCCTGCATCTTGTTTGCTAATTCGTTGCAATCTGTTGCAGGTTCCAACTCGCGCTTCAGTCGCTACGAATCGACCTCCTCCTCGTCGCAATCCCGGTCCCGAGCCTCATCCTTCAGCCGGCACCAGAACAATTCAAACGACGGCAGCTCGCCCGGCAACACGCCGGGAGGCAGCAGCAGTGGAACTGCCAGTGGGAGCAGTGCGTCCAACCAAAGTTCAGCGGGCAACAACGGAAGCGCCAGTTCGAGCAGTGGTGCTGCGATGCCAGCGCCCAGCTTGGCGTCCGTCGCAGCAGGCAGCAGTGGCAGCTCCACAGGAGCGTCGCCTGCAGCCGCATCCATGCCCTCGGTGGTGGGCTCCTCCTCCGGTTCCATGCCTATGTCGCCAGCTACTCTGGCGCAAAGGTATCGAATGGCACGAAGTGCGCGGCAGACCGTCGACTTCGACTTCAATGATGTGGGTCGCCTCCGGTTTCGCAACTCCGAGGAGGCGGCCGGAGGTGCAGGAAACCCCACGCTGGACGAGGATGTCCGCTCCGATTCACCGGTGATCACCCGACTGGGCCCGGCCGTAAACTGTTCGACTGGATCTGCGGGAGCCGGTGGGGAGTCTATGGATGGGACGTTAAGCAACAGCCAAATAAGTGGTGGAGCAGCTTCGGCGGCGGGTGGAGCGGCGGGATTCACAGGATCCGGCAGCAACAGCCTCAACCGGAGACGTTGCGGTAAGACACCTAAAGACTTGCACCCCGTGCACAATCAACGTTTCCATTTGCCAGAACAACTCGAGGAATGCCCGTCCAGTGGTGATGAGGGCGTGGTCAGTCCGCGTAAGCGCATCAAAATGGATTACCACCATCACCACCATCATTCCAATGCCAGCGGGGTGAGTGATATTTCTTTTAACAGTGCAAAGGCTTGTTCCTGGTTCAAATAATAGATATCCGGAACAGGTCTACCTACTATTTCCCTCTGAAGACACAACAACTAATTGGTATTCATTTCTCTTTTATGCAGCTGGAGGCCACTGGCGAGCACGGCAGCATCAGCAAGCCAAGTCTACTCTCCCTGTCCAACTGTGATGTGATACACGACCCCCTCAACCGCAAGAGCGAAATCCGGCGGGTCTCAGAGACCCCGAGTGGTTCCCCCCGGCATGAAGTTCCCCGGCCACCTGCCATCAGCCCCGCCATCCATGATGATCAGCTGCCGGCGCCCGTCCATCGATGTGGGAGCCCTGTCAGCGCTCTCCAGTTCCTCGGCCTTCAGGCACGGACTGGTGGGGGCCAGCAGCATGGATCAGCAGCACATGATGAACGCCTCGCTGGCGGCGAAGCGGAGACGAGTGACCACCACCATGCAGCCCAGCTCATCCTCGAGCAGCAGCAACTGCGGCGGATCTGGCTTGGGCGGGATCAGTAGTCTCACGCCGGCGGACGACTACCACCATCACGTCTCCCGGGGCCGAGGCCACCAGCTACATTCCCATCACTCGCACGAGGCCAGCGGGGGAGAGAGTGCGGATGGATCTCGCCCTGGAACGCCGCTGTGCGACGAGCGGCCCGAAGTGCTGCCCACAGAGCCACGCCGCCTGCCCCCGCCGAGGGAGAGAGCGCGGGAGAGGGTCAGGGAGGTGATGTGGCTGCCACTGCCCAAGTTCGGAGTGCTCTTCTTCCAGCAGCAGCAGTCCAGAGGCAGTGGATGCGGAGCGGGAAGCAGCTACCTGCAGCAGCAGCTGGGCGTTGGATCCTCCGGGGCATTGGGAGGCCTGGGAGCCTCCTCCTCCTCCGCCTGTTCCCTCAACAACTCTAGTCTGAACGTCGGTCAGGGCATGGGCTCCGGCTCGGGATCCGCATTCCTGCCCAGCCCCTCCTCGCGCTACTGGCGTTCCTCCTCGCACCACCAACACCACCAGCATAATCACCAGCAGCAGTCGCAGCAAATGCACGGCTCCTCGTCCTCCAACTCTGGACTGATGGCCAGTCCGGCGCGTCCCCGCTCGCTGAGCTCCAACTCCAGTGACTCGGATGTGCCCGGTCAAAATGCCGGAGGGAGTCCCTCGTTGGACGAACGGCTGCGCAACTTTGAGGAGAACTACGAGCGGTGGTCTGGAGGAAGCAGCAGGGAACATGGTTCCGGTCACACGCCCTCCAGTGCCACGCCCTCTTGGCAGCTTTCCATGCACATGAACTTGGGCAGCGGCCTGAATTCGCATCAAACGAGCTCTGGATCCGGCAACAGCAACAGCTCCAGCGGGACGGTGTCGAGTTCCACGAGTAATTCGCGGCCCAAGTTCCTGGACATTGATGAGCTGCAACCCTCGGACATTGTCAAATCCGTGCTGGCGAAGAAGAGCATATTCGACGACGATTTCCAGCGGCTGAAGAAGAACCAGTGGTACGATCCATCTAGCTCTGACTTCGCATTGAGTGCCAGTTCCTCTAACATCACGGTGGGATCTTCTTTGGGGTCCAGCGTTGCCCGACATCCTGGAGGTCCGTGCAGCGGAAACACTTCACCGGCATTGCCCAATCTCGCGGTCACAAAGACAACCCCAATTATTGGCAACTGCTCTGGTGGGTTGGGCAACTCGGCGAACAGCAAGACGGCAGGCTTGCTGCAGAGGCTGAGCAGCTTGTCGCCCATGAACTCTCCTCAGGCTTCGATGTCGCCCTACAACAGCCCATCGCCGTCGCCTTCGGTGGGAGGAGCCAACTCAGCGAATCTGGGTCAACTAGCGAAGCCCACAGTGCCCGGAACAGTGGGTGGAGGAGTCAGTGGAGCAGCTGGTGTCGCCTCATCCTCGCCGGCTCCCAACTCCGGACCCACCAAGGGACTGCAGTACCCCTTTCCCAGCCACCCGCCATTGCCGAACACCGCTGCACCACCGCCAGCGGTGCAGCCAGCGCCGCCTCCTCCCCCGGAAGTTGGAAAGCAATCCCGGCCAGCTGGGCAGGCTTCGGGAGGCAATCTGGCCAAGAGTTTGAGCGTGCCGGATGCACCGCAACAGTCGCCCGCCAGAGTTCAGCTCCAGAAGTCCGCCTCAGTGCCCGGAAGCACCAACGTGGGCACCACCATCAGCTCATCTTCGGGGTCGGCTGCCAGCGCAGCGCCTGCATCCACATCTGCAACTACTTCATCATCATCGTCCAACGGTAACAGTTCCTCAGTCACAGCAGCCACACATGTACAAAAGCCTCCGACCCAGCCGAACACCGGCGAGGATGAGCATCCGAAGAAGAGTGGTGCCTCCTCGTCCCAATCCTCGAGTTCCAGTTCAAAGAAGAGCAGCAGCAGCAGCAACGACAAGTCGCACAGCAAGCATAACAACAGATCGGACGGCGACAAGAAGAACAAGAAGTCGGAGAAGGTATCGTCTTCCGATAAGCGAAAGAACTCGTCTACCTCCCAGTCCTCCAAGTCAGCCACTCCCCGCATCGAGGACGAGTCCAGTGAGCCCGAAGAGCCGGCGGAGAAGCCCGAAAAGGAGCAGCGCCACGAGCGAGAGAAGAAGGAGCGTCAGGAGAAGGAGAAGCGAGAAAAGGAACTGCGCAAGCAGCTCGAGCGGGAGGAGAAGGAACGCAAGGCTCTGCAGGAGGAGAAGGAGCGCGAGGAGCGAAAGGCCAAAGAGGAGAAGGAAAAGGAAAGAGAACGAGAACGCGAACGAGAGAAAAGGCCCAAGAAGAGCGGGAGAAGAAGGAGCGAGAAGAGAGAGAGCTTAGAGAGAAGGAGCAGCGAGAGAAGGAGCAAAAGGAGAAGGAAATCCGAGAGAAGGAGCAGCGCGAAAAGGAGCAAAGAGAAAAGGAGCTGCGAGAGAAAGAGCAAAGGGAAAAGGAGCTGCGTGAGAAGGAGCAAAGGGAGAAGGAGCTCCTCCGCGAAAAGGAGCTTCGGGACAGAGAGCAGCGGGAAAAGGATCAAGCCCAAGCCCGCCGAGTCGTGGATGCCGAGCAGGAAGCTCGGATGGGCCGAATGCGCGAGCTCTCCTCGTACCACAAAAGCAAGACAGAGGCCACTCCCGAGGCCAGCAGCTTCTACTCCCACAACAACGCCACGCCCTCTGCAGCATCCGGTGACTGTCAGCACAATAAGGAGAACGCTGTGGATGCCACGGCTCCCGCAAATCCAAGTGCTACTCCCTCGACGCCCTCGGACAACGCTTCCAAGGACCGTTCGCGCAAGTCCTCCCGGAACTCGCCCGTGCGCCTGCACAAGCGACGCCTCAGCTCTCAGGAAAGCAACCACAGTGCCGGCGGAGGCGGAGCTGGCGGAGGTTCCAGTCATCAGAACCACCATGATGACTACGTTAAGCGCATTCGCATGGAGAACTCCCACAACGCGTCGGTTCACAACAGCAATCAGAGGTTGAACGACCGCCGGGACTCCAAGGAGCACAAGAGCAGCAGTTCCAAGGAGGAGAAGACCAGTGGCTCCCACAATTCTAAGTCGCACGGCAGCGGCGGGAGTGCCTCCTCAGCCTCGAAGCATCACCGCCGGGATAAGCATCACCAGAAGGCCAGTGCCAGCTCCGTAGAGACGAACCCCTCCATGGAGGTGGTGGTGGTGGATTCCGCTTCCCAAGCCAAGCAGCAGTTGAATACGAGTGAAGAGGAGCAGCATGCCCAGCCGAAAAGGGAGAAGGAGCGGGAGCACTCCAGCAGTCACCACCACGGCAGCAGTTCGTCCTCCAGGCACAAGAGCAAGCGAGACCATCATCACCATCGCGAGAAGAAGCGTCACTCTGTGGCGGAGTCCACCAACACGGATGAGGAGCACACACCCCAACAGCACAATCCTCACCGGAGAATATCTGCGGCTGGCAGTGGATCCGCTGGAGAGCTGAGCTCGGCAGCCACCAACACGTCGAGTGGAAAGCCCCACCATCATCACCACAGGCGAAGTGTGGAGCGGAAGTCCTCGAGGGGATCGGACGAAGGTCATCACTCCTCGTCGAAATCCCTCCGTGCCAAGCTGATGATGCTGAGCTCGGCGGACTCCGACGACACCGACGATGCCTCCAAGAAGCACTCCATCTTCGACATCCCCGACGATTGCCCGAATGTCTCCATGTACGACAAGGTGAAGGCCAGGAGCTGCAAGAACATGCAACGCCAGGCGGAGGAGAAGAAGATCAAGGCGAAGTTCTCGCAGCTGAAGCAGTCGCGTGCCAAGAAGAAGCGCTCGACCAGCTACGATGGTGACTCGGACACGGAGTTCGAGGACCGCCATCACAGGAACAGCGGCAGCAGCAGTTTTCATGGCCGCTACCCCGGACTTTCCAGTAGCGATGATGACGACGACGAGGAGCGCCACCAGCGTCGCATTTTCTCGGACTCGGATGCAGAGCCGGAGGATCAGGACCAGCAGGACGCCAACTCTCTACCGGATGCCAACAGGGTGCGCCAGATGCAGCAGAATCTGAGGAGGCTCTGCGACGGAGACGACAGCTCCGAGGACGAGATCAGAAGGAATGTGATGAAGCACAGCCACCTCGGCAAACGCAACTCGCTCTCCACCAGGATTGCCTCTGATTCTGAATCGCAGTCCCAGCCTGCGCCCGATTTGGCGGTCAAGCAAGAACCACCTGCAGCTCCCGCCCCGGAAATCAAGCAGGAGCAGCTCTCCGACAGCGAGCAGAAGTTCAAGTCGCGCCACGATTCCAACTCGTCGGTGGAAGACCGCAAGGTGAAGACGGAGAGGGAGATAAAGAAGGAGTACGGAGACTTCTACAACTCGGCTGCGTACGCCTACTCCGACTCTGGAAAGCTCAAGGACTACTCACCGGAGATGCGGAAAAAGCACAAGAAGAGCAAGAGGCGCCTGAAGTCCTCCTCCACGGCGGAGACATCAGCTCCTCCGACCCCGCTTGTAGTGACTCCATCTACGCCCTCCATCTTCGATGTCCACTCCTCCTCCGAGTGCAAGAACAAGTTCGACAGCTTTGACGATCTCAAAACAGAGAGTGCTTCGCTCCCGTTGGAGATCTCGGCCAGCGAGAGGAGGAAGCACAAGGAGAGGAAGGAGAAGAAGCGCGAGAAGCTGAGGAACATGGCGGAGACCAATAGCAGCTCCACTGCAAACGCGACGAACTCTCCCCCTACCAACGATGTTGCCTCCGAGAAGTTGTCGAAGGAGGAGCGCCATCGCCTGAAGAAGTCCAAGAAGTCGAAGAGCCTGGACACCTCCTCCTCCACGAGAGTGTACAACTCAGGCGGAGTCCACGCCAATGCTGCGCCCTTGCCTGCCACGCCGACCTCGGCACCTGCGATGGTCCAGCCGTCGAAGAGGGGAGAGGACAAAATGGAGTACATCTTCGGCATCATTTCCGACGAGGAGGAGTCCCAGTTTCCCGACGAGCAGGGAGAGGGCAGCAAGGACATCACCGCCAGCTGTGTGTCCACTACCGGCCCCATTGTCTCCGCTGCCCTGCAGACCTACAAACAGGAGCCCTCCACTCCCACCAGCAAGACTCAGGAAGCCATCAATCAACTGCCCGTGCAGGAGGATGAGCAGCAGCCACAGCCGCAACTGGAGAGAAGTCGCCAGGCGGGAGGCAGCGCCTCGTCCTCGCACGCGGAAAGGGAGAGGCACCGCAAGGAGAAGCGCGAGAAGAAGCGACGCGAGAAGTCGCAGCGAGAACAGCAACACCAAGCGCAGCAGCAATCCTCGAAGACGGAGACCAAAGTTGAGGACGACAACAGTGTGGATATGGACGAGGCAGGAAGGGCTCTGGAGGCTCAGCTGATGATTGACTTCGACAGCAAGACGATGCCAGAGGAGGCCACTCCCTCGACGGCCACCACCTACAGGTCGGACATGGCAGATGTGTTCCGGTTCTCCGACAACGAGGACAACAACTCGGTGGAGATGATCAAGCAGGGCGCCAAGCCGGAGCAGCAGGAGCAGCACAAGAGCAAGGACAAGAAGAAAAAGAAGAAGCGCTCCAAGGAAGAGAAGCAGGAGAAGCTGCTGCAGCAGCAGCATCGCAGGGAGTCCTTGCCAAGTGTGGCTCCCAGCTCGACCGCGCCTCCGACTCCAGGAAAGCTGACTGTCAACGTTCAAGCCGCCAGCAAGCACGCCGAGGACCAGATGGATGCCAAGCTAGCTTCCTCGCCGCCCTTGTGCAAGCCGTCGCCCAGTTTGCCTTGTCTGATCGGAGACGACGACGAGGATCTGCTGCCGAAGCCGAAACCCACGACGCCAACGAGCCGCGGAAGCGACAACCTCACTCCCTCGCGAGAGAAGCCGCGCCTGATCAGTCCCATTCCCAAAACGCCCACCATCGCCAACAGTTCCATGCTGTCGACGCAGTCTGCCGAGACTCCAGTGAGCAGTGGAGCCGGGGTGGGATCTTCCTCGGCTCTGGCCACCACGCCCACCTCCTCGACAGCGGCAGGAGCCAGTGCAGCAATTGCTGCAGCGGCAGGCGGAGTGGAGACCTCTCCCACCGGGGCCTCAGCCCAGGGCAAGAAGAAGGACATCTTCATTCCCGGCTTCGATGGCCAGCTGGATGACAGGATCAGCGAATCGGCCGTGCAGTCCATCTCGGCGGAGTTCAACTCTTCGTCTCTGCTCGACACCATGGCAGATGAGCCTAAGATTCCGGTGGCGTCGCCTCCGGGTGCAACCAAACCCCTGGACAAGCTGGAGGACAGCAAGTCGCGGGTGACCATCTCGCAGGAGGAGACGGAGAGTGCCGTGTCCGCCTTGCTGGGCGAAAGCTTTGGCACTTCCTCCACGGCGGATTACTCACTCGACGGCATGGACGAGTTGAACTCGGTGAGCGAGTTGGAAACGCCCGCTCTGGTGGTGGCGGAACCCGACGAGGAGGCGGCCCAGGCCGCGAGGGCCATCGAGGCAGCCGTGGAGCCGGCGGCCATCCTCGGGGAACCGGAAATTGAAGCCGAACCAGAACCCGAGCCAGAACCTGAGCCAGAGCCCGAAAACGATCCGGAGCCGGTCGCAGGGCCTTCGGACACTGATGAACTCAAGAAGGCGGTGCTCAGCTTGAAGCACGAGGACATGATGGACATCAAGGCTGACACTCCGCAGTCGGAGAGAGATCTGCAGATCGATACGGACACGGAGGAGAATCCGGACGAGGCAGACAGCAGTGGGCCGAGTCTAAAGATCGACGAAACGGTACAGAGCTCCTCGTCTCCGGAGAAGTCCATCGGCAACAGCAGCTCGTCCGCCAAGGAGCCGCCGAAGGTGGACACTCCACCAGAGGAGTCCAAGTCGAGGAACAGCAAGGAGACCGCTCCCCAGCCCTCGGTGATCACCAAACTGCCCTTGTTGGAGCAGAAGAAGACCACTGCTCCAAGTGGACCAGGACTGTCGTCTTCGCCTGCGAAGATTGAGCCACCAACCATCAGCAAACTGCAACAACCGTTGGTGCAGCCTGTGCAGACCGTGTTGCCAGCACCTCACCCAACCGGAAGCGGAGTGAATGCCACTCCCGTCATCAACCTGGACCTGTCCAACGTGATGAGCAACTGCTCTAACTCCAGCGCGGCTTCCACCGCAGCATCGGCGTCTGCCTCCATCTCGTTCGGAAGCCCCACGTCCAGTCAGAGCATTATGCCTCAGGCGTCCACTCCCAAGCAGCAGACTCCGTTGACTCCGCAGCAAACGTTGCGTTCGCAGTCGCTCATCATGCAGCCACCAACGATATCCATTCCGGAACCGACGCCCCACTTTGTGGTGCCCCAGATGGTGCTCTCGCCCCATCAGCAACAGCAGGCACACCACCCGCAGCAACCGGGGAGCTACATGGTTGGCATTCGGGCTCCCTCTCCGCACAGTCCGCTGCTCTCGCCAGGACGAGCTGCACCCCAGAACCGCCTGGTGGGTCAGCTGAGTCCCGTTGGACGACCTGTGGCGAACCAACCGCAACCGCAGCAACAGGTTCAGCAGGCACAGCAGCAACACGTGTTGATCACCAGTCCGCAGCAGGGCAGCAACATGAGTCCGTTGGCCAGTCCCACAACTCGAGTGGTCGCAGCCAACAACTCGCCCACAACCAGCAAGCCGAACAGTTACCAACCCAGAAACCAACAGCAGCAAGTGCCGCAGCAGCCCTCGCCGAAGTCGGTCATCGAATTGCAGACCTCGCCGCAACTGATGGCCCTTCCGCTGCAGAAAATGCCAGCCATGCCGGTTCCCCATCATCCGACGATCATCAGCAAGGTGGTCACCGTTCAGCCGCAGCAGGCGACCCAGTCGCAGGTGGCCAGTTCGCCACCTTTGGGCAGCCTGCCGCCGCACAAGAACCTCCACGTGAACCCGCAGCAACCGCACCATCAGGCTCAGCAGCAGCAGCACTCGCCGCAGATGATAGCAAAGATGACGGCCCACCAGCAACATCAGCACCAGCAGCACGTGCAACAGTTCATGCACCAGCAGATGATGCAGCGACAGCAGCAGCAACAGCACATGCAACAGCAACAGCTGCATGGTCAGCCGCAGCAACTGACGCCTGCGCAGCAACACCAGATGCAGCAGCAGCAACTAAACCAGCAACATCAGGCTCAGCAGCACCATCAAGCCCAGCAGCAACATCAAAGCCAGCAACAGCTGAACCAGCAACATCATGCCCAGCAGCAGCACCAGGCTCAGAAACAGCATCAGGCGCAGCAGCAGCTAAGCCAGCAGCATCAGGCGCAACAGCAACACTTGAACCAGCAGCAGCAGTCCCAGCAGCAGCAGCTGCAGCAAATACAAAAGCTGCAGCAACAGATCCATGCTCCCCAGCAGCAGCAGCAACAGTCGCCTCAGGGATCCGCCCACCTGGGAGCTCCTTCGTCGATGTATGCCCCGCAGCAACACCATGCGCCGCAGCTCCCACGAGCTCTGCCGCAGCAGCCACATCCGCAGCAGTTGCCGCACAGCCCTCCCTGCAAACCGAACAGCTTGGTTCCCGTGCCGCAGGGCGCGCAGTCTGCGGCAATATTGACGCGAGTTGGACCCCCAGCGCAGCAACCACACCAACCGCCTCCGCCAGCACATCATCAACAGCAGCAGCAGCAGTCTTCGCCCGGAGGCAATCTGTCTCACCCAACACCACTCAATGTGATCCAGAATGCTCCGAAGTTGATTGTGCAACAGCACATCGTGCCCCCACCGAGTCAAGTTGCCGGACCTCCACCACCGACTGCAGCGAATGCCATCCACTACCCTCCAAACCAGAACAAGGAGAGTCCAGTACCAGTTCCAGTTCCCGGCCATGTGGATCCGTCGGCCCTCAAGACGTCGGAGAGTGTCTCGGTGATTCGCACACCGACTCCCACCACCAGTTCGGCGGTGATCTCTCCGAAGACTGGTGGCTCGCTGTTGACGGAGGAGAACCTGATCAAGATCTCGCAGCCCAAGCAGGATGAGCTCGTCGAGCAGGACTCCAAGGAGGTCGACAGCGATTACTGGTCGGCCAAGGAGGTAAACATCGAGAGTGTGATCAAGAAACTGGACACACCACTGGCCAGCAACATCAAGGACGAGAAGCGACCGGTGGAGATGCAGAGAGTTGGCCCAGCTCCTGTTTCCAATCCCCAACCTGTGGATACTCCAGTCGCTCAGGAGACTCCCCTGCCAACTCCTTCTGTGGGCGTGAACAGCTCCAACGACCACGACACTGAGGATGAGACGGAGACCAGGCAATTGCCGCCCGTTAAGCCCGCCACGCCCACTGTGGGCAGGCCGCCGGGCAGAGGAGGCACCGCGAAGCGTGGTCGCCAACCGAGGGGATCGAAGAAGCAGGGAGGCTTCCCTCTGAGCTCAGCGGTAGCTGCCCCTGGAGCGGATTTGGGACTGGTACTGCAACCGGGAGACAACGGAGTGCAAACGCGGTTGAGGAAGCCAGTCACGGCTCCAGTAACCAGAGGCAGGAAGGGACGTCCTCCGCGCAACCTGCTGTTGCAGCAACAGCAACTGCAGCAGCAGCAGCTCGACCTGCAGCGAAAGGCCATGGAAATGGTGGCAACGAACACTCCACCAGTTGCGCAGCCAGCCGGTCCCACCCCCTCCGAATCCTGTGCTCACGGCCGCAGAGAAGAAGGCCAGGAACCAGGCGCTGACTCAGGCGCAAGCCCAGCACCAAGCTGCCAGTCAACAAGTTGGAAGCAGCCAGGACATCTACGAGTTCCACGAGGACGCGGGGGAGGAGCCCAAGGGTAAGGCAAACTCCGCTGCCGCTCCACCTGCCGAGGACCAGCGGCCACGACTCATCCTGACCATCAACAAGACCCAGCCATCGATCAAGAACAGCAGCGAGGTGGAGCAGGCCATGCAGCCCCAGCAGCAGCAGGCGGAGGCTGCTCCGCAGCCGGATCTCATCGCGGGCGACAGCTCGGAATCCAGCAACACACGCAAGTCGCGGCGACTGCAGGAGAAGGAGGATCGCAGCACAGTGGACGACATCATCGAGGATGTGGTGCGGAACACCAACACGCCCACTGGCGCAGGTCAGCAGTTGCCCAAGGGGGCCCAAACCCCTCCGCGACGTTCTGGCAGGAACGCGCAGGCTAAGAAAGCGGATGCCGTTCATCCCGTCAACGCAGTGGGTCGCCCAAGACGGTCCAAGGACAGGAAGACCATTGGCGAACCGCCGGCTAGCCTGATGGAGGAGCCAGTGGCGCCGAATCCCACTGCAGTTGCTTCTCCGGCCATTAGCCTACCGCCACCGGAGCCAGTGCAAGTGCAGCCCCACATGCCGCAGTTGGACAGCAAGGAGGTGGAACCAGTCCAAGCCGTGGCTCCCACTCCCACTCCTGCTCCTGCTCCTACACCTACTCCTACTCCTACTCCTGCTCCAGCTCCTGTGACCGCGACTGCGCCCGTTCCCGTTCCTGTGCCCAAGCCAACAATGCCACAACATCCGAAGAAGAAGGCGATTGCGGCGGCGGAGATCGAGTCCTATCAGGCCATCAACTCGTCCATCCCCAGCGGAGGACTGCCGATGCACCAGACAGCCGCCCCCGCGACGCAGAAGATCACTGGCGGGGCAGCGGATGCGGTCAGCAAGGCCCTGGTCGATCCCGTCACGGGGGTGATAACCGCGGGAATGCCGCAGGGCAAGGAGGGAAACCTCCCCGCAGCGACGGCGGCTGCTCCTGCCAACAGCAGCAACGAGGCGGGTCCCCCGGCTCCTCTCTCGCAGCAGCAGCAACACCAGCAGCAGCCACATCAGCAGCAAGCGCCGCAGCAGCAGGGAAGTATGCAGATCAGTGCCACTGTGATTGCATCTGGCGCTCCCACCCCGATCACCACTTTGGGCAAGCCTGTGCAGCTTGAATCCGCGGCAGCCGCTGCGCTGCTCAACAAGAACGTGAGTGTGCTGGTGAAGGGAAACACCACGCCGGTGGTGATCCAGCAGCAGCAAGTGCCGCAGATAGTGGCTCCGCCGAAACAGCCCATCGTCCTGCAGCAGAACCCGCTGCCCACTGTGCTGCAACACGCCCAGCACAGCAACGTTCGCCCGCCGCAGCCGCTCAAGGCCCACGTGCTGAACAGGGAGAAGAACCTCCAGCAGCAGCTGACGCCCACCAAGCAGCCAGTGAGTCAGCCGCAACCGCAGCCGCAGCAGCAGCAACCGCATCCTGGACACATGTTGCTCACAGATGCGGCAGGGAACCAGCAACTGCTGCAGCCCCAGATCATAGCACGTCACATGCAGCAGCAGCAGCAGCATCTGCTCGTGAATGTGCCGCCTCCAACGGCACACTCGCCACACTCTCCGAGGATTTCGGGTCAGCAGCAGCAGCAGCAGCTGGGTCCGCCAGGAGCCTCCTTGAATCCCCAGCAGCAGCAAACGCTGGTCATTAAGCAGGCGACTTCGGCAGCCCCGCCGCAGATATTGCACGTGGTGAGTTCGAAGGCTTCGGTGGTGCCGCAGCCACAACAACACCCACAGCAGCAGCCGCCACCCACGTCGTCGGGAGGAGCTCATTTGCAGCTGGGCAAGCCCAACTATGGCTACGCCCCCTCCGTCTTGCCGCCCACTTCCTCGGCCGCAGTCCAGCAGCAGCAGCAACAACAGCAACAGCTGTATAAGCAGGCCAACCAGCAGAAGGGGGCGCAGGTGCAACTGCCTCCTCACGGCATGATGCTGCCCAACCACCCCGGAATGCTGTTGCAGCAGAAGCCCCCACCACATCTGCAGCCACAGCAGCACCAGCTGACGCCGTCGCCGCCGCCTGGCAAACCGAATCCCGTGGTGCACAGCCTGCAGGCGGGACAGATTATGCCGGGCGGTGTGGGCAGTCCGCCACCGGTGTCCGCTGCCGTGTTGAAGTCCGCGCAGCAGCAGGTCAACTCCGCAGCAGCAGCAGCTGGTAAGTTGGAGAGGCTTAGCACCACCCCGAAGATTCCTGCTAAATCTGACGTCCTTCCAGGCATGCGCACAGCAATTCCGAACATCAGTCCGCAGGGCCAGCCGAGGGTATCGCCATTGGTGCTGCCACCGGGAATAGCCGTAGTGCCGTCCTTCGATGCCGGCTTGGTAAGTCTCCCAAGATTATGTTTGTATTCATTTCCTTCACTTGTAGACACTGTTTATACCCTTGCAGAGCCAAAGGGTGTTATAGTTTCATTCAGAAGTTTTCAATGCAGTGAAGGAATCTAGAAAAATATTTTATTATAATCCGACAACATTATCATATAGCTGCCATAGGAAAAATGGAAAATCTATAAGAAATATAGAATCAACCAAGCATTGATTTTTGGAATATAGAGTTTTCTATTGACTCTTGAATTACGAATTAAATTTTATCAAAATCGGACAACTATATCATATAGCTGTCATATGAACAATAGTCGAAAATATGAAAAATTAATAAATAAATATGTATCTTGTTCGACATATTTGATGACTGCAAGGGTATATAAACTTCGGATTGCCGAAGCTAGCTTCCTTTCTTTTTCCTTTTCGTTTTTGTTGGCTTAAACACACACTCACCATTCTGACCTCTTTACTAACCCTGAACTAACTTTACCATTAAAAACGCTAACTTTGGATGCAGCATGACCTGGGCGCCTATGTCAGTGGACGGCGAACCCAGAGTCCGCCGCCAGCTCATCAGCAGGCATCGCCCATAACACCGGTAATGCACAAGTTTTACTTGCGGACCTTTCAAGTAGCGTAACCAACCGAATCCTTCCCTACAGCCATATGATTTATAATATTTCCCTGGCTAATCTCTTTACTTGTTCCTTTCCATCCTTTCCAGAACGATTCCACGTACCGAGGAGTGGCTGCTTCCAGGGACTTCATTCTCTACCAGCATCACCTGATGCGAGGCGGCGACTATGATGACAAGATGACCAGCAGTCCGCCGCTGGAGCTCCGACGACCTGGCAGCGGACCTCCGAGGCCCATCGCCGTACCGCATAGTTTGCAGAGTCCTCAAGATCGCACAGCAGCTGGTAAGTGTTGCAAGTCTCTTTCGATGTACAGACAAATACCAATAATCAACCAATTATTCTCTGCTCCACTAGACTCCCCGCAAATGGCCCAGGTGTACGTGCACAATGCACGCATTCCACCGGCCCATTACAGTGACATCGCCTCGCGAGCCGGTGGCTACTACGAGAGTGGTGGCCTGCAGCTCGAACCGCCGCCAGCCCACCGACCCACCGCGTCTATCAGCGTGGTGGTGCCGCCGCAAATGCCAGTGGTCTCCACCGGAAGTCCGTTCATCGGGCGCGATGGCAGCGTTCAGCCGAGCAGTCATCTGCACCCGGGCAAGGCGATGGAGATGCAGCTGGAGGAGATGGAGCGCATGTCCATGATCGCAGCAGCCGGTGAGTGTTGCCTGTCCACGAACCGGCTTTGTGCAGCCGTAACTAACGAGTGTTCTTTTTCCCACATTGCAGTCAAGCAACAGCAGGAGCATCTGCCACCTGCTCTGCACGCCGGCTTGGAACTGGCCGCCCAGCAAGCTCCTCCAGCGATGGCTCCGCCACCAGGCGACTCCCTGCTCACACTGCTGCAGCGTTATCCTGTAATGTGGCAGGGTCTGCTGGCCTTGAAAACCGATCAGGCTGCTGTTCAAATGCACTTCGTACATGGAAACCCGAATGTGGCAAGGGCCTCCCTTCCCAGCTTGGTGGAGACCAACACGCCGTTGCTGAGGATCGCGCAGAGGATGCGACTGGAGCAGACGCAGCTGGAAGGCGTTGCCAAGAAGATGCAGGTATGTGCAGACACCAAAAGCAGTCTTGTGTGGTGTTCTATTCTCGGATGGAGTGTGTCCGAAACTAACTATACGACTTCTCAATTCACAGGTGGAGAAGGAGCACTGCATGCTCTTGGCTTTGCCATGCGGACGCGATCACGCAGACGTGCTGCAACATTCAAGGAACCTTCAGACCGGATTCATCACCTATCTGCAACAGAAAATGGCCGCCGGCATTGTGAACATACCTATTCCGGGCAGCGAGCAGGCGGCATACGTGGTGCACATATTCCCGGCCTGCGACTTCGCTAACGAAAACTTGGAGCGCGCTGCACCGGACCTCAAGAATCGCGTTGCCGAGTTGGCCCACCTCTTGATTGTCATCGCCACTGTGTAAGTCACAAAACTGGCCACCAACTGGAGAATTCAAAACACCACGGATGCGACACGCAAAACAACCCGGATGTAAAACACCACAGGCAAATACAAACCCTGAAATGAAACCAGAAAGAAACTAACAAACAAAAACAAGTTACGCTCTTCTAGTATTTTAAGTAATTTTAAATAGCGATTAAACAAGCAAAAGTTTAAAAAAGCAAAACAAAACAAAACAAAAGGAACTTACAGAAGCAGAAACATGCAAACTTTATTGAATAAATAAATGCAAGAAAAGCAGAAGATTGAGGCCAAGCTCACGTCAAAACAAGCGGAAGAAGAAGAAGTCCATTCAGATCCCGACACTTTGAAAGCAGAAGCGAAACGATGAAAATTTATCTAAATTAATTATTTAACTTTCCCTAATTTAAAACCTTTAAGAAAAAGCTTGCAAAGTATCGTTAAGTTTGATCTCAAGAAAGAACGTTTTATTTTTGCTTAATTTAAAATGAAAGAAACACGAAAACCTACACTTAAAAATGAAAGAAATGTTAAACAAAGCTTGCAACGTAATAACTGTTTACTGTACTATGCATACTACTACCCATACATAATATGAATATCCGATCCTATCCCCTAACACGATTAAGTTGTGATTGGTCAATAACTTTCGACTACTTCGGTGGGAAGATCACTGCACTGCTCCGCGTTTTACAAAGTTTCCGCCCGCGAACAAGCAACCTTTTTAGTTTCGATCGATCGGTTCCTTGGCTCTATGGAATGCCTGTCTAGAAAACTAAAAAACTGAAAAACTAGAAAACGGGGCCTGGCATAGACCCAAAGAACTTCAAATGAGTCTGGTTTGTCAAGCACAATTAGGTTTAGAGATGCGCCAAGAGGCTTTTCCTACGATTACATACATTATGCATTACATTATATTACATTATCTAGACGCGTATTTAATTATAATCAATATGTTAAGCCAAATACTTTAAAGATTAGACACGTTTCGCATCGTTTCGTGTTGTTATTTCCGCTCTGCACCAGAGTTTCTTCTATTCTCCTTTCAAAGAACCCTGCAACGATTGCTGGTCTTTTTGTTTGTTTGTTTCCTCCGATCTTCTGTTTCTGTTCTACTTTTTTGAATTACCATCACCACTGCCACAAAGCTAAATCTAAAGATGATCACTGATATCTAAATCTAAATAAAGGCGTTCCGATCTCCTCCCACTTTTTAGTTTTTGTGCGCGAAACTTTGTACAATGCTGGGTAGTTTCGGGACCCCCTTTATACCATTATGCTGACACCCCACAAGAAACATAAACAATATGATACAATAACCTATATAGTACCCTCTCTGTACACTCCTTAAACTTAAAGTAAGTTCTCACACCCACTTGTAAAATACGTGACCGACAGAATAATAATAAAAAAGATAAAACACGAGTAAAGAAAAGAAAGCAAAACTCAACTGTAAAATATTTAAATTATTTAGACTCTAACAAGTATGAAATGTAAATACAGTTTAATTAGTATTTAGCGCGTATTTAGTTGTATGTTTTAAAACTAAACTAAAGAGAAACTGTACATTATATAACAATTAACGATACAAGAACACGAGAGATCAGATCTGCAAGAGGTCACCCAGAAAAAGATCCCGATAAGGGAAAAAGAAAAAGAGAGAAGAAAGCAGCAAGTAAAAGAACACACATTTTTCAAGTTGAAACAGATGAAGCGCTGTTAAACATATGTTAATGTATAAGTTGTATTTTTTAAGAAACTTTTTAGTTATTTCCTAAGTTACTTTGAAGAAACCGATTAAATTACACTTATTTCTTACACTTGATTTGTTTTAATTTCTACCACCCCCCGACTCCAATTTTTGGACCCAAATAGAACCGTTTTCTAGCTCTCACTGTCTCTACAGATTTCTCGGCCCATAAAACCAAATCGAACCCCATAGCGAAATGCAACTTATACATACATACATACATAATATATATAGATGTTAATGTTATAACTGTAATTAAATAAATTCTATATCTATGCAGTAGTTTTGGGTTCTTGGAGTATTTGGGTGATTTTTACTTTGTTTTAATAAGCGGACTTTGTTTGATTTAAATATTAAGAGTGCCCCTCAGCCAAATCGATATATTTGCGACATCCGGAATCACGAGATGTTGCCCGTTAGGGTGACCATCTCTCTAAAAGAACTAGTTCAGGAAAACGGTGTTGCCAGAGATTTCACACTGCAACCAAAAACAAAACGTGAAGCTCTACTCACGTATTGTTTTCTATATTAAAATAATAAGTTAAAACAAGCAAATTAGATACTTTTAAGAATAAAAGGATCCAGCATTAGCTTTAAAGCATGACGAGCCTCGTACAGAAAAGTAAGTTTCCTCGTTTTCATTGATGTACTCAGTGATTTCCCGGGCCGACATTTTTGTTGTGTAACTGAATGCTTATGAACGAATATATTATTTTATGGTTCCAGGCCTTCCTCTGGCCAGGACCAGCACTCCGGCGCTGCAGTTCCTCCGCTTCAGGGGCAAGATCAACATACAGCGGCCCAAGGCGCCGCACTACGAGCGAGCCCGCGTCATCGCCGTCACCCAGCCGAAGTACCCGGAGCCCCCAAAGTCAAAAAGCTGCTTCAAAACACGCGAAGAGCGCACGCAGCAGCAGCTGGAGAACCCCTACAACGAAATCATAGCTCGCGAGGTGCGCAACTGGCTGGATCACTCGCGGCTAGTGGCCATCTTCCACCTGAACTCGATCTCCGCCGACGAGATTTTCCGCGTGCGCGTCCAGCTGCACAAGCAGAACCTGCATCTCAAGTCCTACGGCCGCAAGATCATCGGCCAGGCGGTGCAGGGCACTCGCTACGAGGCCATCCTGCCGCTCTTCCACTCTAACCACTGCATCGTCTTCTCGCCGGACCAGCAAAAAATCGCCACGCTGCTAAAGATCACGCGCAAGGTGCCGCAGATGGTGCTACTGGGTGGCATCGTGGAGGAGACTCTGCTCAGCCGCAACGAGCTGATGAACTACGCCCAGATGCCCGGCCTGCAGGCGGCGCAAGCGCAGCTAGTTCAAACCCTGAACCAGGCGGCCGGCCATCTGGTCCAGCAGCTGCAGGCGCATCAAAACAGCTTCGTGCAAGTGCTCGACGTCCATGCCAAAGGTGAGGCCCAGGAGGCGGCGCCGGAGCCAGCGGAGGAGCCCAAGTAAAATCAAGTTTGTTAAATAACAAGAAAATCAAAAATGTTATCATTGTCTTTCAATGTAAACTAGCTGCTAATGTTAACTATTCGGCGAAATCTGGATTTCAATGCGATAATGTGAAAACCAGAGAAAGCCCATATGACTAGATTGCACTTTCCAACGGGGCCTAGAACTTCTGCTGGAATGATGGCGTCAGTTGTGGAGTCTTCGCTTGTGCCGCTCAGGAGCTGATCGTGGTGTGCTGGTGCCAGCGCTGTCTGCAGTTGAAGGCCAGGTTGGCCAAGGCCTCTGCGGCGTCCAGTTCGTCCTTGTGATGCAGCTCCCAGCGGTCACTGCGTGCTGCTGCCGTGGCGTCGCTAGTGAAGATCACTTGGCTCGGAGCAGTGGCCATGCTGCTGCTTTTCTGCCTGGAATGGAGGAGACTAGTGCATCGTGACGATCACCAAGCGAATAACTAAGTTACCTGCTCATATTCCACTCGATGTGGTAGTTGTTCCTGTCTGGCGTGAACTTGGCTGCGCTTTCTAGCCACTTGTTGAGCTGCGTTCCCGAATGGGTGGCCTCCCCCGCGGAGGAACTGTCCCGCAAGTACTTTTCCATCATCTGGTGCTTGTACTTCGCCCTGCCCGCCACCTGGACTTCGGGCAACGTGGGTATCCGCTCGGGCGTATCCGCTGACTCCACGTAGAAGTTAGGCTTGTACGGAGATGAGGACTCGTTGTTGGCACTGCCATCGCTGCCAGTGCTGTGGCTGGACAGCTCGTCGTCGTCGTCGCCCTCGTCGTCCTCCGCAGGACTCGAGCGCATCTCCTCCTCCCAAATACTGTCCTCCGACGAGATGCTGAACTGCTCCACGTTGCCACGCGCGTTGTGGTTGTAGTTCTTGATGAGGTGACCCCACGACTTCTTCGCCTTCTCCCTCTCCGAGTTCTTCAGCTTTCTGCGCCAGTTGGCGAACCAGTTGCAGATCTGGGTGTAGGTCAATCCGGTCTCCGCCGCAAGCTGCTTCTTCTCCTCCCTGCTGGGATACGGATTCTCCCGGCGCCGGATCAGCCAGTCCTTGAGCATCCTCTTGATGTCGGGCGTGAAGAGCCGCTTGGTGGCTCGCGTTGGCGGCTGCAGCTCGTCCTCCGGGGGCCATGCGCGTCTGGAGGGGGCAGAGAAGGTATCAGGTAATTCCCCAGCTATTTCCCAAAATATCCCACCTGCTGTGACGACGATTTCGCTTGGGCCGCGTTGACTTCTCCATGACGTTCTGAAAACAGAGAGGACGTGAGTAGCAGAACTGGCACGCCATGGCTCATCGCTGTCTTTTTAAAAATACCCTGTAAGTCAATTTAATTTCAAAACTTTCGGTGGGTGGCGCTATTTCTGGCCGCCGAATTTTCATGTTTTTTGGCTCTGTTGCTGTTTTCTTTATTTTCATGCTCTCGAATTAACGAAGCACTCGTAAATATTTTGGCTTTGTCACTTCTAAGGCGCGAGAGATGGGGAGATCGAATTGGATATCACAGCGATCAAGAGAGAGCTTTGTTTCTCCCAAAAGATGTGAAAATCTGTTAAGGGTCTCGCCTTCCTCCCACAGGTGCCCTCAGTTCGAATTCATGCCAAGGTGTCTGAGAAAGCCGTTCATGTTTTTCGCTTTCAGTCGAGAAATTCATTGATAAATTCGGCAAAACATGTTTTTCCACCTAACAAACTGTACAAATGTACATATGTGAATATGTGTACATGTTTTCATAATATAATAATAGTTCGTAAAATGTTTAAGAATCTCTGCTAATTTTTGGGTGGACGTGACCCTTAAACGACTCTTTCTGCTTTTCTTCCGTATGGAAACTTTTGGGAAAAGTCCAATTAATCGGCCGATGCATCACTTTTGTTGACATTCTCAGGCAATTGTGGTAACATTCATTATATAACTCGAACATAACACTGTTGACTTGTTTTTCTACACCTTACTAAATCTGTGTCTTTTCACTTAAAACTTTTTCAAATATATGCTTCTCGGGGCCCCAAAAATATCTTCACCCACCTGTATTTGGCTTTTATTTTCTGATTATTATTTCGTTATATTTCAGAATTTGGAAACTGAAAAACGCTTCTGCTTTGCTCGACGTTCTGGGACAAACTGAACTCTCAGAAAAGTTTTCAAAACAGCACGAAGAGGCAACGAATGCTACTTTATCATACGAGTGGGGCACTTTTAATCTATTTACAAAATACGACAGATATGTGTGCTTATTTTAAATGATCGCTGCTCTTTCGTCATGGGAACTCGATGTGCGAATTACTTTCACTCTCGTTGGGATATTTTGTGGTGTGGTGAGTCGGTGGCATGGCGTTCTAAGGTCTCAAGAATTGGTTGGGGAATTTGGGGAAAATTCAGGATCGGGAGTTTCTAGGAGGTCTGTATAAATAATTTAAGCAGCTGGAGTATAATAAATATTCTGTTGATTATGATTGCTTGGTGTCTGAAATCGAATCATTCGATCGAAAGCAACCCAGTCCGGACCAGAATTTTTCATCTAGATAGCCAAATTGGACCAGCAAGTACCAGGCGATCAGAAATGCCTAGAAGGTGGCTGTATAATATGATGAGCTCCTTAAGACTTGCAACAGTTTTTTGCATGGTTCGGAACTCGACTAGGGGGGTCGAAGCGGTGCGGTAAAAAAGGTTTATTTAATTTTTATTATTGCCAATAACCTAAATCCTTTATAAATATTGTTTAAAATGCTTAATAAATTCCTAGTCTAAATAATAAACATAAATTCTCTAAAATTGCCCACCGCTGATCTGGCAGTAACAGTCCCCTTCCCCTGCGCCAACGGATAGTATCTTTATAACAGGTTGCCACATCGACAGAAAAAGGCGTTGCAAAGTGACCATGCTCTGTAATTTACCCGACGATTAAACGTTGACAAGCAAAACGGGCAAATTTAGTACCTTCACTTGGAAATTGTTTATATCTGAAACGTAATAGCGCAGAATTAATTGAACAAGTCGAAACACGCAGAGCTCATCGCCGGCAGCCATGAACGAATCGGTGCGCTACGACCGCTGTCAGCAGGTGCAGCTGGGCGTCCTCAGCGAGTCGCAAGTGTCTTCCGCGGAGGAGGAGGTCCAGAGTCTGCCGCCGCAGGGAACGGGAAACGTAGGTGCCTCCGTCCGTCTCGCCTAGTTTAGATTCGCCTGACTCATTGTTTTGTGGCTGGCATTACGTGTTTTGCACTTGCTCACTAACTTTTCACCTACCACTCCAGATCCTGTTCACCCACGACGGCGTGCTGCTGAAGAAGGCCAGTGCGGAGCACATCGCGGACCTGAACACCAGTGGCTCCCTGTCCCTGGTGGAGTACATGGGCTCCGCGACGGACCTGCCACGCAGGCGACTTCTGCTGGAGTGGCAGCCCAACGACAGCATCATGATCGCAGACGACAGCCAGGACCAGGGCGACTGGGCGCTGGTGGACAGGATTTCGGGGCGGACACGCACCACCTCCGAGTGTCGTGCCTTTAATACGAAGCCTAGCGAACCAACTGGAGGGACGGCCACGCGCTCGCGGGTCATGCGCGAAAAACTGGAGGATCTGTCCTCCGTGGAGGTCCGCCATCGGGGTCAGACCCTTCGGTTCATGCGCAAGGGAGCCGGTGGCCTCCACAGCGAGTTCTTTTTCCAGCACGGGAACGCAGACCTCTTCGTGCGCTCCATGCGCGACCAGCACTTTATTGAGAGCGCCGAGAGCAGTCACGGCGGCGGCGAGGAGTACGCCATCCTGACCACCGAGAACCAGAAGCTGCGGAAGACATTTGCCGAGCTGGACATTGGCCAGATCAAAGCCAGCCACTTGCCGCGCGAGAGCTGGCTGCCCAACAAGCTGGCCGGGTTCCTGGGAAACATTCCCGATTACGTGCAGCCGCCGTTCCAGCGCTCCCCTAAATCCCGGCCAGGAGCTCTGATTTCCGGCGATCGACAGACATCGCCGGACAACTACCAAATCATTGGGCTGAGCGGCAGCACCAATAGTGCCTGCTCCTCCAACGGACAGAGTCGCGGAGGCAGTGCAGAAAAATCTCCGGCTGACAGCGAGCTAGAGAATCTGAATGCGCAGGACGAGAAAATAGTTAACAACTTACCGGACCGGCAGCGGGTAGAGCGAGGTTGGTTTATTGAAGCTATTCCCAAGTGAAGTTCCAAGGCATCCTAAAATTAGCGAACAGATAACGATGAACTCAAATACTTGCAGGTCTTCCCCTCACCGAGATGCAGTGGCTGGAGTTTCAGATGCCCGACGGTCGCATTTCGGACAGCGTTCGAATTAGGGAGCTCGTTTTCCGAGGCGGTGTTGTGCCCAGCTTGCGATCCGAAGTGTGGAAGTTCCTCCTGAACTATTACCAGTGGTCCGACACCCAGGTGGAGAGGATCGAGCGGCGAAAGCAGAAGTCCATGGAGTACTACAACATGAAGGCGCAGTGGCTGGCCATGACGACAGCCCAGGAGGCGAACTTTTGCGGCTACCGGGAGCGCAAGTGCCAGATCGAGAAGGACGTAAAGCGCACAGATCGCTCGCTGCCGTTCTTCGCCGGCGAGGACAATCCCAACCTGGACCTGCTGCAGGGCATTCTCATGACCTACGTGATGTACAATTTCGATTTGGGCTACGTCCAGGGGATGTCGGATCTACTTGCGCCCATTTTGGAGATCCAGGTGAACGAGGTCGACGCCTTCTGGTGTTTCGTTGGCTTCATGGAGTTGGTGTTCACCAACTTCGACGTGGACCAGGCTGGCATGAAGACGCAGTTCGCCCAGGTCCGCCGCTTGATCGAGTTTGCCAACGCTCCGCTGTTCAACTACATGCGCACCCACGACTCGGACAACATGTACTTCTGCTTTAGATGGCTGCTGGTCTGGTACAAGCGAGAGCTGAGCAACGAGGACGTTCTAAAGTTGTGGGAGTGCCTGTGGACTCGGCTGCCCTGTCCCAACTTCCACCTGTTGTTCTCCGTGGCCATCCTGGATCAGGAAACCAGCGTGATCATCGAGAGCCAGTACGAGTTCACCGAAATCCTGAAGCACGTCAACGAACTGTCGGGAAACATAGATGTCCAGAAGACCCTGCAGATCGCAGAGGCCATCTACCTGCAGCTCAAGGCGTCGGAAACGCTGCCCAACGACATCCGCAGTATCATAGGCGAGCCTCTACTGCCACCGGCCGCCGGCGAGGAGGTTGACGGAGGCATGGCTGATGAGGAGCCGGCCTACTCGGACGACGGCTTCGACGAACTGGTGAGGGAGCTCACGCCCGAGGAGAAGCTGCGCCAGCAAAATCTACTGGAGGAGGCCTGCGAACGTTCCCTCTTCCACCAGTTCCACTAGCTTGAATGAGACTCCTAGCCAAGAGCCTATAGCAAAGCATGCGCAAATTGCACTGCCCCTCATGTTTGTTTGTCGACAAGATGGTGTTTGGAGTTGCAAGTTAAGAGACAAACTTATCAAACAACATCCCAAAAAAGGGGATTTTTTTAAATTTCCTGTGAAGAAAAGGATCCTTTGAGGAACCTAATATTTCCATTTGAACGGGTGTAAAATATATGGCTTTTTCGTGTTCAACACGGTGCTCCCGTCAGCACCTCAAAAATCAAAATCTTGGAACCAATAGATTGAGGGGCAGTGCATCTTAGACTCTAAGACTCAAAGTTTACCAACGCATCGAAGCAAAGCGAAGCGAGCCAAGTGCTTTAACTGCTGAAACACAGATTTATATACTGTATATTATACATATTTGTACGTTTTTTGTATTTATTGTAAGTTCTTTCCCCACCTCAAAATCTAAACACCTCCCCATCCCTAAGCAATCGCCCCTAATCATACCAAAACAACGTTTTCAATTATGTAGGATTTAGTTCTTGTGCCTGTCGAACTTGAAAAATTTTGGTTTATCAGAATTCCACTCGCGCAGCTTTTGTTGTCTTTTTCTAAGTTTACTCGATTGCTGTAAAAATACATCGATATACAAATACATTTAAAATGCGTAGTAAAAATACAACACCGGAATGCACATGAAAAAGCACCTTTGTTTCTAATCAGCTTTTATTGGGAAAAATAAGTCTGGGCGTGATTCAATAAACTGATTAATTGCTGAATCAGCTTATGCAGCTCAAGAGCCGCTGTTGCGCGGCCTAATACACCTACTTCAAATTTATGTTTTCCTGGTATTTGGCGTCCCAAAAACAGGCGATTTTGCTACACAAATCGATTTTAGACACCAGGCCAACATAACTCGTAGCAGGTTGCAGCTGGTAAATCTGATCTCCCTCAAATAACTGTTCTTTTTAATATATCAAACGTTGATCAGCTGATCGTTTTGCACCTTCTAAGCGGTTCTGTTTGCCTGGTGTTTTAGACACCAGGCCAACATAATTCGTAGAAGGTTGCAATTGCCAAATCTGAATTTACTTAAATAACGGTTCTTTTTTAAAATAACTGCCCTTGGCACGCTTCCCCTCCCTGTTTCCACCAATCAGAAAGCATCTTGCTGGAAGGAACCGTTACTTTAAAATAGCATCAAACGTTGAACAGCTGATCGATTTCCACCTTCTTAGCGGTTCTGTTTGCCTGGTGTTTTAAACACCAGGCCAACATAATTCGTAGAAGGTTGCAGTTGCAAAATCTGAATTTACTTAAATAACGGTTCTTTTTTAAAATAACTGCCCTTGGACCGCTTCCCCTCACTGACGAGCCAATCAGAAAGCATCTTGCTGGAAAGAACCGTTACTTCAAAGGAAGCATCAGACCAGAGATGCGAAACCACGCTGTTTCTTTGTGCGTGTCACGAAAGTGGCACGCCGCGCACGAATAATTATTAAATTTCTATGTGGTTGTTGTTGGCGTGACAAGAATAATTGGTCACGCGCTCAACACTGAGCATGCCAAAATTAAGCTGATCAGCTGATCGATTTCCACCTGCTAAGCGGTTATGTTTCCCTGGTGTTAAAGTTTAGAACCAAACAAATTTGTATGGGAAAAGTGTTGTTGTTTTCATACACAAGAACGCTGTTGCGCATTCACCTACTTCGAATTTATGTTTGCTTGGTGTTTGGTGTCCCAAGAGCAGCCAATTTTGCTACACAAATCGATTTAATACACCAGGCCAACATAACTCGTAGCAGGTTGCAGCTGGTAAATCTGATCTTTCTCAAATAACTGTTCTTTCTTAAGATAGCTGTCCTTGGCACGCTTCCCCTCCCTGTTTCCACCAATCAGAAAGCATCTTGCTGGAAGGAACCGTTACTTTAAAGTATCATCAAGCGTTGAACAGCTGATCGATTTCCACCTGCTAAGCGGTTATGTTTCCCTGGTGTTAGCAAATCACTTCGTCACAATTTCGCTAGAAAATTGTTGTTCTTTTCGTATTTGGGTGGGGGGAGGTGGACTGATAAGGTTGGAGTATTGAACTGGAATAATTGATGTAAAAACGCTGTGATGGCAAGATATTCTCTTGACTAAAAACCTCCTCTTTGATAAAATAATAACTCTTGATTTGTTGTAATTTTTGAAATTTATTTTTTATATATTTATTTATCATCAATATCAATAGTTGATGCCTGGTTGTTACTTGCTGTTGCTGTAGTTGCTTCTTCTGGTTGATGTTGCTTTTGTATGTTGTTCTGCAGTTATATCATAATTTTAATTAAGAGTTATACTTACAAGTTAAGTATGCAATATATGTTGGTTGTTTTTTTGCGTTCTCTCATTTTGTGTGTGGTTTTGTCAACGTCTCTAAATGAATCGTTCTCGTAAAGTGCGAACTAAATGAATCCGTAATGCCCTAATTATAGCATTGCTGCTCATCAAACGTGCAAGTTGCATATTTTCCGATTTCAATTACATTAAAATTGATTTAATTAAAAAATTCTATTTTTCAATAAACATTTTGCATTTGTTAGTTACGCGCCAAGTCTGCTTGTGGGCTTGTTTGTTCTTCGGGGGAAACGTACAATTACAAGAAATTAAAATCTACTCTTGAACGATCGCTTGTTGCCATTTGCATTTGCATTCGCATTCGCATCCTTTCACTTTCACTAATTACAAAATTAAAATTATCAAAATTACACGCAGTTTTCGTGGGACACACAGAGAGTGTAGAGATACAGTATACAATACAACATAGTGGGTGGTGGAGGTGTGGAAAATGATTCGTACGAGAATACATGGTGCCTTATTATATTAAAAACGGTTAAGCAATGCGAGAGCCATTTAAAGATTATAAATTATGTACAGGTATCATATATAGAGACTTTGCATGTGGGAGGACAGCGCAGGAAACCCAAGTGTTTGTGTTTGTGTTGGTGTCTCTTCTCGTTATGTATGTATGAATATAGTCTATTATGTATGTGTGTGGTTGCAATAATTTAAACGGATAATCTTCATGCAGCAGCACTTGCTTCTCTCGTCACAATTAAATTATAAGCGCTTTTTAATTCTGTTCGTAACTGTATGAATATTTAAGCAGCCAGAGGGAGGGATCGATCGCCTTGTCAAGCTCCACTTAAGCAGCAGATGGAACTTGAGTAGGCCATCGGTGGGGGATGAGGCTCTGCCCTCCAGTCGAACGGTGTTGCAGCAGTGTCCAGCTGAAGGGCGTCGCAGCAAGCCCAGGCCGCTCCCTCTTCGGTGGCTCCTAACCTCTATATATAGTTTATATATGCTTCTTATACTTTACACAACTTTAAGCTTAAGGGATCTAGTGGTAACAGTTAGCCTAGCATTCAATTTTCGCCTCGATCTCGTCTGCATCTGCAGCTGGTTCCTCATCACCTGCCGTTTCTTGATTCTCTGCTTCGGTTCTTGTTGTGGCTGTGGTGGCTGTCTAGTGGTGGTGGTGCTAGTGGCTCCTCCTCCACCGCCGCGTAATCTTCTCCGGCTCTTCGGAGGAGCCGTGTCATCCTGCTAGCGCTGGCGCTCGGATCTGCGCAATACTCATTCGTTCCGCTCCTCCGCTCCCGACTCGCTTCCGGCAGAGAGGTTTAGCGTGGTGGCGTCCGCCGAAGAGCGGGTATGGCGAGTGGATCGCAGCTCGCGCCGCTTCTCGGGCGGCTGTCCTTCCACGGAACCGGAGCCTTCGTTTCCGGACCTCGGCCGCTTCAGGCGGTTGGAGGAGCGACGGTTCTCCTCGGCTGCCGCTGCTGCCGCCGCCGCTGCCGCAGAGCTGGAGGAAGAGCCACTCAGATTCGCCGCCGAGGTATTTCCCACTGTGTCCAGATCCTCGACGCTTCCGCCGTGGCTGCTGCCCGGATTGGCGGCGGCCGGCTTCTTGAGTATGGGTTGTATGATCAGCTCGTCGGCCTCCTCGTAGGGCGGCGGAAGCTTCGCTGCATCCGCTGCGTTCGTGATGGTCAGCGAGATGCGCGACTCTGACCGCTCGGAGCGTTCGCTGCTGGTGCTTGCTCCACTGCTGATGGGCGGAGCTATGGTTATTGTTGTCTGGCTCGGCAGATTGGCCGCCAGTCCCGCAGCAGCTGCCGAACCGGAAGAGGAGCTGCCCGATCCGCCTCCAGAGGCGTTGAGGGGCGTCAATGTGACCTTGTCCTGTTCCGCAGACATGGGTGCTGGCGTGGAGCTGCTGCTGGAGCTGCTTCCGCCCCGCAGACTCTTCTCTATGCTGCTCATGCTGGCTCCCAGGTTCAGCGGGAGTCCTGCAGCGAGGGCGGCAGCGGCCAGCTCCTCCTTCGTGGGATGTATATCGCCGCGCGAGCGCTTGGACAACGCCTTCTGTTGTTGCTGGTGCTGCTGCTCTGCATCCAGGGCCGCAGCATAGGCAGCTGCTGCTGCGTTCGCCGAACTGGAGGAAGCGGACGATCCTCCCGCCGACGAGGTGGGTATCAGGGAGATTCCCGATCCCAGACCCAGCGTTTTGGTGTAGTAGTCCATCTGCTGTTTGAAGGCATCCTGTTCGCGCTGGCGCTTCGACGAGGAGTGACTGCCGCTGCCCGACGCAGAGGAGCCACCGCCGCCGGATCCTCCGGCAGAGCCTCCGGTCAGGCCAGCCAAACTGGCCAGGGAACCCGGACCGCTCAGTGGCAGCGATCCGCCGGCAGCAGCCATCGCCTGGGCGGCCATCTCAGCTAGGAAGGCCTGCGAGAAGTCGCTGGACATGCCTGGAATCTGTGGCAGTTGGGAGGCCGCCGCCGCCGCTGCTGCTGCAGCAGACTTCGAGCTCTTGCCCGATGAAGTGGATGATCCGGTGTTGGAGCTGGATGTGGAGGGCATCTTGCCCTGCGAGAAGGCCTGCAGGGCGGCCAAGTCCGTTGGCAGGGCTCCACGGGCCAGGCTCTCGAACCACTTCTGCTGCTCCTTGGCCTGCGCGTTCGCCTCGTTAGCTGCTTGGCTGCTCCTCTTGCTCGAGGACGAGTTTCCTCCTCCGGAAGAGCTCGGTGTTCCCGGCAGCGGCGGCATTCCCAGAGAGCTCATCAGCCGAGTGGCCTGCGCCAAGTCCATGTTGCTCATGCGGCTCAGTGACTCGAGGAGATGCGGGTCTGCGCCGGGCATGAGCAAGCTGCTCAGTTGGGCCATGTCCGCAGCTGTGGGCGTAGTTTGCGACTGGTTCCTGCTGCTCGATTGCCGGCCACGTCCGGATCCCGATGCCGAGGACGAGGGAGTGGTCACCGTGCTGGCGCCACCACCCATGCTGGCCATGGCATTCATCAGGCTGGCCGCCGAGTTGGCCGCCGCTGTCGCGTTCCTCGACTGACTGGATTTCGACTGAGACTGGTGCGATTTGGACTGCGTGGAGCTCGTGTTCGAGGCCGACGAGGTGGCTCCGTTCAGCAGGTTGTACTGCTGGGCCAGCTGGTCGTAGGCGGAGCCCAGACCACTGGATCCCAGTGAGTACGGATTGAGGCCGCCCAATCCCATGGGCGGGTAGAGCAGCGAGGGATTCGGGAACAGGAACGGGAAGCCGGCCGCCAGTTGCGATGCCGAGGCCGCTGCATTCTTGCCTCCCGCTCCGCCAGAGGATCCTCCAGTGCTGGCGCTGATGGCAGCCGCCAGTTGAGCAGCCTCGTTCTGCGCCTGCTGTTGGGCCTGCTGCTGCTGTTGCTGCTTCTTCTTGCTGGCCGAGGAGGACGAGGAAGCGGCGGACGAACCTCCGCCCGACTGCGACTGCGCCTGGCTCTTGCCGGAACCCGCTCCTCCGGAAGCACCGGTCAGTCCGCCAAGAGTTGGTCCGGCAGCAGCCATTAGCGCAGCCAGCGACTGGGTGTCCATGCCCGCCAGGTTGCCCAGTCCTCCCATTCCCGCCAGACTGGCGAACAGATTCATGTTGTTCAGGTTACCCAGTCCGGGGATGTTTCCCATTCCGGGCATGCCTCCGAATGACATGGAGAGCAGTGGGTTCTTGGGGTCGAAGCCGGCCAGAGGATTCTTGGGGTCAAAGCCTCCCAGTCCGGGAAGGTTGGCCAGCAGGCTGGGGTTCAGACCTGCGAGGGAGCCGAACTGCAGGGCAGCCTGATCCAGGGCAGCGGACGCCGCCGTTTGCTGGCGCGAAGACTTCTTGGAGCTGCCCGAATTTCCGCCCGCTGGCGATTGAGCTGCCGACGATTGCTGCTGCTGCTGGGTGTGCGACGAGGAGGAGGCGTTGCTCGAGTTGGACGACGGGCGACCGCCGTGCGACTTTGCTGCCGAGGAGCCGTAGCTGCTGTCCATCGAAGTCGGCTTGGGTGAGGGTGCCGACATGGGGTTCTGCATTTGCTCCAGCCACTTGGGGTCCACCTCGTAGTTGGGGTTCTCGGTGAGCCTATGAATGGTAGTTGTTTTATGAATAAGTTACTTATATTGTTATATTTATGCTGTTTGCCACACTCACCACTGCATAAGTCGCTTGAGCTGCGGCGCCTTGTTGCCTCCCAAGCGCTTCCCAGTCTGCTTATTTATCACGGGCACTGGCTCCTCGCCTGTCAGATTTTGGGGCCCGGGCATCGAGTGCTGCTGCTGCTGCTGTTGTTGCTGCTGCTGCTGCTGTTGCTGCTGCTTCTGGAGCTGGGCGGCACTGGAGGACTGCTGCGTGGAGCTGCCCTGCTGGCGGTTGGAGCGCCGGCTGTTGGCACTGCCAGAACCGCCTGCTCCGCCGCCGCCCACGTAATCAATGCTGAGCTGGTCGCCCAGCGGACTGGTCATGTCCGATAGCCACTTGTTGACCTTCACGTCGTGCGGGGAGTTGGTCGAGAACTTGGAGCTGATCTTCATGGCCTGCTCCATCTCGGCCAGCATGTTCTCGTAGGCCTTCCGCTGGGCGGGCGGCAGGAACTGCATCATCTTCTGCTGCTGCTTGAGGAACGTCTGCGGGTCGGTGGCCATGGTCTGGGCCAGCAGGGCGTTCAGGCTGTCCTTGGAGGAGAGTCCTCCCATCGCCATGTTCTGCAGGGCGCTCAGCCCGCTGCCGCCGGCTCCTCCGCCGCTGCCCGATGAGCTTCCTGCGCCGCCGGATCCGCCGCTGGACGATCCGGCCTTGGACTCTGCAAGAGATAGATACGTTCGATTAGTCGGGAACTCTTTTGTGCGGGTGCCAATCCTCGGGCGGGGAATAGGTAAAAGCGCAGAGACTCAAACTCACTTCCGGGCACTGTGGTAACAGTGATGGTAAAGGGTTTCTGGTTCGATTGCTGGCTGGACGAAGACTGCATGTTTGCCGGCGTCACGGAGACGCTGGGTGGGATCTGCGGCTTCTTCGAGGACGGCAGCGACGGGTCGGGGAAGGTCTTCTGCTCCTTGGCAGCCGAAAGTCCTAGCACGATCTCGTCCAGCTTCTTGCGCTTCTTCTCCTTGCCAATTACTGGCTCTTCAATAGTCTGCAATAAATCAGTTATGAGTTAGTCTGGATAAACTAAGCAATGGGGACTTGGAACTTACGCAATTGTTCTTCTTCATCAGCTTGTTGAGCGTGTCGTCCAGTTTGCTCTTGTTGCCCATCGAGGGGAAGGCTGAACTTAGCGCAGCGTGCACGCTGGACTTCTTGGAGGGCATGGAGAAGTCCTGCACCTCGCTCAAATCGATGGCTCCCGCACTGGAGGCCGACTTCAGCATCTCCGCCATGTTCACCTTGGGCAGGCTGCTGCGAAAAAGAATGTAAAGATATGAGTACAACGCGAAGCAAGCTAAAAGCGGTTTTTATGAACCCACCTTGAGGACAGATCCATTGGAGCGCCCATTGAGGGCGGCGGCGTCTTTAGGGCAGGCACAGCAGGCTTGCTGAACTGGCCGGAGGACTGTCGCGAGGCGTGTTGGTGAGCTGGAGGCGGCTGCATGCCACTCAGGGCAGAGGAAGAGTTGCCGCCTCGTCCGCGCCCAGAGGAGCCAGTCAAGGCCTCCATGTTGGCGATCTCACTCTCCCAGTCCTTGGGCGCCACTGCAGTTGCAAAGAGGTTTTGTTAATAAAGGATCTATGCTATTACGCTGTCCCGAATGCACTTACTTGTCGAACTGTTTAGCAGGGCGTGCAGCTTGGCCCTTTCCGTCTCCACGTCGATGGCGATGTGGCGCTTGCGCTTCTTGCCGCCTCCAGATCCGGCGCTTGGGACGTTCAGTCCGGCCACTCCGCCGGCTGACGAGCCAGTCGCCGCACTCAGCGACATTCCGGGCAGCAGGGAAGATAGGGAGGTGGCGTTGCCACCAGCTGCAGCGGCAGCAACGGCCGCCGCCACGGCAGCGTTGATGCTGTTGGCATCCAGCCCCGGCAAACTGGTGGCCGACGAGGGCTTTGACTGGGTAACCTGGGGCATTCCCGAGGAGCCGGACGCGGCGGACGCCGAGCTGGCCACCTGCTGCATCTGCGAGGCCTGCAGGTGCTTGGTCACACCCTGATCCGTGGTGATGGTGATCACATCGGGGGTCGTGGAGCGACGCTCCAGGCTGCTCAGGTGGGGAATGGACTCGTGGAGGGCGATGCTCAGGTCGGTGGCTCCCTTGCAACTGGCGAAGGCGCTGTACTTGCTGTCCACCGGCCACTTTCCGGTCTCCACGCAGGCCACAATGTGCGCAATGCGGCGTTCCAGGGCGAAGTCCTTGAACCAGCGGATCATGCACATCTCCAGCTTGGGCTTCTCCAGCTTCTGCTGCTTCACGGTGGCGGGTTGGATCACCTCCAGGTCGGGGAAGCGGGCCTTGAGTTCGGCCGCCTGCTTCTTGCACTCCTCTTCGACGGCCTTCTCCTTCTCCTTCATCACCTCGTCGTCGTCGGGATCTGTGGGTCCAGCCACCAGGTCGAGAATCTCCTGGTCGCCAGAGGGTTTCTTGGAGGGAACTGCTTCAGGTTCAGCTGCAGCTTTAGTCTTCTCGGAGGGCTCAGTTTCGGCAACCGACTTCTTCTCCGTATCCGCATCCTTATCCTTGTCTTCCGCCTGCTCCTTAGACTCTTCTTTTGATTCTTCTGCTTTCTCATCATCAGTCTTAACAACAGCCTTCTCTTCAGACTGCTTTTCGGTGGATTCCGACACCTCTGCAGACTTGTCTTCCACCGTAGAGGGTACTTCGTCTACTTCCATTTTCGATCCTTCCTCTTCGGCAGCGTCAGGTTTTTTCTCTTCTTCCTCGGAAGATTTCTTTTCAGCCACCTCAGTGGTTTTCTCTGGGGAGCCCTCCTTCTCCTGACCATTTTCGGCTATGGCTGCCTCCTCCACTTCCATTTTTTCTTCGATAGACTTGCTTTCCTCTACTTCTGGATCCAGTTTCTCACCAGAGGATTTGTCCTTATCCAAGTTTTCACTTTCTTCTTCAGCTTTCTTATCGGAGGTTTCTGCCTTTGCGTCTCCTTCGTCGTTGACCTCGACCTCAGCCTTTGCAGCCTCTTCGGTGTCCGATTTTTTGGCTTCCGGACTCTCAGCTGGGTCCTTCTTTTCTGGGCTCTCTTCCGCCTTAACCTCATCTTTCACGGGAGTAGCCGGCGTTTCCTTCTTGATGACACTCTCGTCCGTCATGAGTTCGTCGTCCAGATCTATGACCTCATTCTTAACGGAAGCTGCCTTTTCTGCTGCCGCTTTTTCAGCTGCAGCTGCAGCAGCAGCTGCTTTCTCCGCTGCCGCCAACTTCTCCGCCTTCTCGGCGTTGAAGGCCTCCAGTTTGATGGTGCGCTGGATTTGAGCTTCCAGCTCCCGAATGAAGCGCTTTTCCGACTCTCCGAAACTGAAGTTGGGATCGTTGAAGATGAAGGTTTCCGAGCGGTACAGTCCGTGCTTGAGGACGGCGGTAATCAGTTCCTTGTCGTGGCGACCAGGCTCCCACCAATCCGGCGTATCCGCATTCATGGTGCAAAGCTTCAGGCGCTCCTCGAGCAGAGGATTGCGGGCCACCTCTCTCAGCTTGGCGAGGACTTCCAAGCGATCCAGAATGAGCTTGGCGTGCTCCTTCTCAATTTCCTCTATGATGCCTTCCAGGCCGCGCTCCGATTCCGTGAGCTTTAGGCCGGCCTGCCGCTTGCACATGGCCACGAACACCTTGTAGTAGTCGGTCAGCGTTTCATCGCTCTTCCGCTCCAGGTGAGCCATCTGCTTGAACTTGGTCCAGTCGGGCGTCAGCGAACTTCCGCTGCTGGAGCCCATGGGTGTGGAGAGGTGCAGGTCGACACCGTAGCCAGTGAGCACTCTGAGGAACTCGTACTCCTCACGGCGGTTCCACTTTTTCGGAATGAGCTGCAGGCGCTGGGACTCGCGTTCCTTGGCCGCCAGTTCCATCTTGCCCTGCCGCTCCATTTTCTACAAGAATAAAGGGAAGGAACAAATTATTAAACATTGTAGTTACTTGGATGGGATGACTAATGGAGTGTAATGAGTTTGTTCTGGTTGTTAATTGGTTGAAAATAAGTATGAGTATTTGTAAGCAAATCAATTTTTAGGAGTACGACATCAGAATGGTAAATAGTATAGTTAAATTTAAATCAATCGATAACCTTTTTTTACGTTAATTACACCTTGACCTGACTATTTTTAAATTCTATTGGACTATTATTAGGGTACAAAAACCTCGCATATAATATTTTTGTTTCTTCTAATTTACACTATTATCGTTCACAAACAATTCCTAGAAGTAAGATAATAACTTGTTAACTTCGCCATGACTCAATAGATTAGGCTGATATGTGATCCATTTGAATCAACAATTCGAGTAAAATTTAACTTAATTCTAGAGATAAGATAATTCCAACTACGACGCAAACTTAATAGACCTATTAATAAAAATCACTGAATATCGTCGAATTAGGTCAATTCAGGTTGGTCATCAAAATAAGCTGCGGTAACATTCTTTAATTGAGCATTTATCTAATAAAGCTCAACATTATGCATTAAAATGTTTACTACACAACAGCCGAATAAGTAAATAATCAACGGTTTAGTACTATTTTTAAGAACATTGAACCTTTTTGAATGAAGTAACTAAAGGGTTGCCAGAATTGCAAAAAGTCTGATTGCTGCTTCCATTATCCTATCACCCTGCAATTATTCTAAAGTTGGGCAACCCCCGGAGTAAATATAATAAACCTTTCCACAATATCCACACATAAAGCGAGCAACCCGATGCACGACGTGTGTGCATTTTGCAAGTGCAAATTCATTACGAATATTTACACAATTTGGTTGGGAAAAGAATTAAAAAGCGTCCACCAGGAACGACCCCGTTGCCTGCGCACCACCCTTCCCGGCTTCCCGAGGGGGTGGGATCACCCAGCGGCGCTGCGGTGGTGCTGCTTTGGGGTGACGGCGATAGGGTGACCTCCCTCATCACCATCGCCATCGTCATCGTCATCATCATCTCTATATGCCAGACTTTCGAATTACACACAAATTTTTGCAAAAGGCAAAAGCAACAGAGAAGCTAGCGGAAAGACACAATGCGAATGGCAAGCGCAAAATGAAAACGAGAGCGAGACAATAGCAAAAGCAAAGAGAGAGGCGACCAAAACTGGAAATACAATAAAATCATAATAATAAAAGTAAAAAATCCATTTTACACCCCTAATAACGCTTTGGCCATGGGAAAGAGGAAAGGGGACAGGGACGATAGACAGGGGACAGAGGCCAAAGGGCGACGGCGACGACGACGGCAAACGAGAACGAGGTGGAAATAGAGACACGGCGCAATGAGCACGGGGCACAAGTACGCCGCACTAAGCAATGGCGCCCCACAGAAAGCGGGGCAGGCGAAGGAGGCTCGAAACGGAGACGGAGACAAACAAATGAATCCTGTGAGACCAATTGCACGCGCCACAGCCAAAGGAGCTCATACGCCCACCCACACCCACTTCATGCCCTGTTTCGAACGTTCGTTTGGATGTGTGCCTAGTTAGTTATGATAATAATAATGGGGGGCACACATTGCCGCAAAGTCGGAGCCAACGGAAAGAAAGGCAGCGCGAATACACAAAATTGCTTGGGAGCCGAGAATGTAGTAAGCGGACCCAGTGGACAAGAACATGGCAACATCTATTGGGATACCCGATACCATTCAACTTGCTAATTGCTAGAAACAATTTTTCATTATGACAGAGTCTAGGCGCCATATCCTTAAGAACAAAACGTCTGCTGTTATGTATAACTTCAAACTGATTCGTTAATGTAATAATAATTAGTGTAATAACAAATAAATTCTCTAAATTGGAAGTAAAAGTTTCGTCTGTACATGGATGAGCAGTAGGGGAATTTACGATAGGTGTTACCAAGTTGACAAATATATAAAAGCCAAACCACCATCTAAATGCAATCCTTGCTAAGATTACATAGTCATGTGCAGAATACGAGTATGTTCAAGTGTTTGTGTATTTAGAGCTCCATATCCTTGTGGGCCGGGCCCGAAATGGGGAAAAAAAAAGATGCCGAGTGGCGCGCAGGTTGGCAACCCTGTCTGCCGTGTCTCCTTCTGCTTCCCTGTTTTTGTTTATACAGCTAACGGCTTTTTTACTAGTCCTCCCAACAACTTCCCATCCCCAAATCCAGATCCAGAGACGACGAACGATGGCATAACGAAATCCGAAAAGGGGGGCAAACCAAAACAAACGACAAAAGAAGATAAAGCGACAGCGACTCGAGACCTCTTCCTTCTCGCTTGCACCCACAGCTCGCTGCAGCCTCTCCTGTCCCGCTCTGCCACGTTTAAACGATACAAGTGCGAGGCGACTCGAGCGATTGATTATGATTATTAGTAGAACCGATGGCTATGACTATACAGAAATGGCTGCCACTGTGACTTCGTCTTGGTCTTGGAGACGATAGGTAAGGCGCGGGGTAAGGGGTGAATAAGCAAGAGAGAAGGGGGAGCAGTAAGCAGTCGCGGAAAAACGAATTTAAATGAGCGCCGCTTTGAACAGCCAACAAACAGATAAAACACGAGTGCTCACACAGTGATGGTCAACAAATTAAGTAGAGAAGTTAAGGTAATTAGCAAAAATTTTAAAACCGATTTGTAACCCAAGAGACAGCTAACGTTTTTTTGGTGAAATTAGAATGCATCTAAAGTCGAACCATCTTTACGTATTGAAGATGGCAAGAAAACTCAATTTTAATGAAGTCTAAATAATTTTTACCGGTTGTCAAAAGCCCTTTTTGACCCTGCTATTATTTTGACCGCAGGTGTCTTGTTCTTTCTCTTCTTCAGTTGCCTTTGGCTTGGCAGTTACACATGCTACTCTGCCTCCCCCACCCGCAAACCCCTTTCGACACCCTCCTCCCCCTCCCCAAGTGGCGTGTAAAGTGGCAACGACGATGGCGACGTTTTCCGTTCTTCGTTCATGTGAAATCTATAGGCATAAATTTATTGTTTTGTATTTTCGCTTGCTGCTCAGTGAATTGAGAGCGAGAGGGAGCCAACAGGCCCACTGGTCCCCCATCTTCTGTTCTGCTCGCACTCTTGAGTCTCGGTTGCTTTTTACTTGATTTGCTGCCTGCACACATTCTTTGCATATTCTCTCTGCACTTTTGCATTCTCATTTTAATTAAGAGATATATGCCCATATATAAAATTGACATCGCATCGCAATAGTTGTATTTTTTGCTTTTACCTCCAAATAAATGCCGTTCCCATTGTTTAACGTTGTTGTCGGTATTGTTGCAGTGGTCGTTGCAATTTGTGACGATTTGTTGAGATGCTCGCAGAAAGCGGAGAAACTGCTGAAGTCCATGGGTTTAATAACCTCCATTTTTGGACACACAATAATATCACAGTCTCACTGGTAATCAAGAATATATATATATTGGAGCGAAATCGAAGCCTTACGGTTTCGTCATGATTATTGATTTCAATTAAGCACTAATTATTATTCATTGCGCCCCAATGACAACTATTTGCACGTAGTTGCTGTTGTTGTGGTTGTTGTTGTTGCCTCGGCAATTACATTATTCCATTCCGTTTGATTATCACTCCCTCTCCCTCTGGCGCACTCGCATTCTCGCGATTTATCGCGTTTCGTTTTCCCACCGTCTCCGTCTCGCTCCGAGTTTCCACGAGCACTTGGACTTTTTACAACTTTACACCGCGGCGCTCAAACAAATAATGAGCGGAGCGCATTGCGGACTAAAATACAAGACACACTCCTCACACACACACACACGCGCGCGCGGCAGCGGCTAAAATCGAATGCGAATCAGCCAGCAAGAGAGACTCAGAAGAGAGGGAGCTCGGCAGAGTGGGAAACCAAACAATCGTGAGATTAAGCCAAACGCCGTTTTGGGTGAAATGTGAATGTGAATATGAATGAGATGGGCTAAAACTGAGACCGATTGCCGACTCTGAGGTGAATGAGCGTCACTTGCAACGGGGGAGAGGAAAGCCAAGGAAAGAGAGTGCCGACTTCGGCTTCGCGAGAGAGTGCGACTCAAGAGAGGGCGGCAGCAGCATAAAAGTGGATGTGAGTGTGCACTGGATGGACGAGTTGAAAAAGAAGAAGCAGCCGCAGCAGGCACATTGTGTCAACTGTGTAATGTAGGCAAAGAAGCAGCAGCCTGCCTGCCACACACTCACACTCGCATCCGAAAACCCAAGGAGCGAAATGGGGAGGGGAAGGGGGAGCTGGGGCACATCACACGGCAGAATCGGAGGCAAAAAAGCCAAGGCAATGAAACAAATGTACCACAAAAACTGTTGACGACACATAGAGAACGGCATAAAAGAGCGAAAGAGCCAAGAGGGGGCGGGGAAAAAGGGGTAATGACGGACGCAGGACCCAACGAAAAAAGGGATAAAATAAAATAATAACAGCGGCAGCAGAACGAGAAGATGGAGAAGTGAAACCATGAAAATGGATTAATTCCAACAGCAGGTACAAAAGTTAAGAAATGATCTTTGAGGAATTACAGTCCATACTCTATATATGGAAACTGTTTCGGTAGACTTATAAAAAACATTGAAGCAATAAAAGAATTTAAGTATACAATTTATCATCTTTACTTATTGAAGTTCAGCACTGTCCCCCGAACTGACTTTGATTATTGGCGTTTTGCAATTGTTTAATTAATTCGACCTTTGGGCTATCTACATACGGCACTTATGCCGAGAGAAAGACAGGAAAAGAGAGCAAAGCCAGAGCGAAAGATGGAAGCAGGGCCAAAGTGCGATAAGCACGTAGCCAGAGCAAAAACGAAACGAGATTATTAATCAATCCGCAAGATACAGATGCAGATACCCGTGAGTAAGTGAGTGTTTGAGTTCGGATATCGTACACACACAGTTACAGCGAAAAACGTACATGCATGCATGGGTGAGCAGGGCGGATATAATCGCACAATCGATATGCAATGGCGACACATCTTCGGCAAATGCACTCACTCACACCATAACAACTCGCATGCAAGATCGACGAGTGAAGAGCCAAAGAGAGGGCGGCAGTCCAGTCCACTCTTCTCTATCCTAAATTTGACTAAACTAAATCAGGCAGGAGAATGAAGAAGAGGCAATAGCAATAGCAGGTACACAGAGTTGGCTCTCATATCGGGATTAAAACTCGAACGCAGACACGTAGCCCATGGTGAATTGATGGACTGGCCAGCCATTCGGCATATTGGATAGACAGCGACTTTTCCCAATGTTTTACGACTGACAGGTGTGAAGTGAAAAATGCGCCGACGCAGCAGCTGCATCTCGTAAATGCACTCAGCGGAGAGAGCGAGAACGAGCAACATTGCAATGCGACAACAACACGTGAGGCGCACGCGCACAGTGGGGATTATTTAGGTGATAATAGAAGTAGAGAGGAAATTATGTTATGATTAACACGAATAAAATTAATAGTATTGCTGATAAAATTACCTCATTAACATCTTAGTGTTATCAAGAAATAAAGATTTACTTAGAAACACACACGACGTTATTTTACAATCTCAAAACTATTGTCATTGCCCCACTGTGCACAGCGAATGCGGCAGCCAAATGCTAATAAAATAATAAATCGAAAGGCAGCAACAAAAAAGCAATAGCCAGTCTAAAAAGAGCAACGACAGCGGTCAGCAACAAAAGCAAAAGCATCCAAGCAAGTCGAAGGTGGGCCCAAACCGAAGATGGCCACAAAATAAAATGGCAAACCCACACCAGCGCACTCACACGCACGAGAGGAAAGCCAACAACTTCTCTATGCTCGTTGTTCTAAATACACGTTGCAAATGCAAAAAAGGAATCAACAAAACAAAGCGAAAAATGCTTTTAAGCTGCAGCAGCAGCATAACGTGCAAAAAAAATGAACTGGCGAAGGGGGGAACCAGTGGAATGGGAGCTCAAATGAGCACAATTAGGCGGCTTTATCGAAAACTCGCGCTATGCGAAAGAAGAGGACAGGAAACCGAAACGAGACCGAAACAGGAACAGGTCACCATTATCCCCATCTCCTTTTTTGCCTCCAAGTCACATATTGCGCTCAATAATTCAGTTCGTGAGAGCAGAAGCAGCAGCAGCAGCAAAAGCAACAGCAGCCGTCTAAAGAGAGAGTGCCATCCCCCTCCCCTAAAAAACATTTGGGTGGGCGCACACGAAAAGGAAAAAAATTAAACATTGGATAAATCCAGAAAATGTAAAATTACAAACACACATTGCAGACAGAGACAGAGAGTGAGGCACACTCGCATGGAAAACTAATACATACAGAGACAGCGACGGCGACGGTGGCAGCGCAAGTACAGCCAACGTAGCTAGGCAGCAAAACCAAAACCACCCGATGATATCGAATGCCCAACAACAAGAACAACAACAACAGCAACGGTAATAAAACCAAGTCGTCCACCAACGCCACTGCTTACGTCGCCGCCTCAGCCGCAACAATCATCGTCACCAAAGAAGAACTTCACTTCGTCAATACAAAAACAGCAACAACATAGGTAACGGCAGCAACAACCACTTGGCTTTGCTCTTCTCGCTGCTGCCGACTGCTTCCTTCGACCCCCTTTTCCTTGCTTCTTCTTGTTGTTGTTGTTGGGGGTTTGATTGATGGCGCGCTGCCTTCACCGCTGCCTCTCTGCCTTTTGATAATGGCGGCGTCGCCCATTCAGTGCTGACCAGTTGGCCGAAAGTGGCTTTCCAAATTGTTTTTTTAACTCAAAGGAGTTGGGTTTGAGATACTTTGCCTTTTAAGATTATATTAAAATCGTGTGTATTGCCGAGAAGTTTAGGTCAAACAAAACCTCGTTTTTAAATGGGCCCCAAATTTGGCCCATCTTTTTACAAAACCCAAAACATCATCTAAAATCAAGATATAATACTAATGATGTACAAATAAAACCATACTAATTGTCTTTCCTTCTCTATATACATACATACATAATTATGTACAAATGTATAGTTATTTACAAGAGTTGGCTTTTTTCTTGGTCCATCTCTAATGTCTGCCTCTACAGTGGAAATGCGGCGAATCGAAGCGTCAGGTTGTACAATTGACTGCGGGCTCCTCGCTTTGGCTCATAATTTGACCCAAGCCTTTTGGCCAACACGATGTGGACTCCACTGTGTTGCCAAAGTATCTGTTGTTGTTGTTGTTGCCACCTCAAGGGGCAGCAAAAAGCGAAGCAAGGAAACGAAAGCAACGGTTTTGCACTAGGCAGAGGAATTGGGCGGAAAAGCGGGTTGGGGAGACAAAGAGGTGGAGTTTAGTGTATTGCTGTTTTTGTTTCTGCCGCCGAGTGTGCAAAGTGGTTTGACATTTCCTCCGTTTTGGCCGCTCATTCGCGAGCCGAGATAGAATGAGATGAGGAAAGAGGACGGCAGATCCGAGATGAGAGGACCAGCAGGCGAATAATCTGAGCTGAGCATCGTGTGCACCGCATTTTGGGTTCAAATTCGAGTGTATGTATTTCTTTTATTTTGCATAAATTAAGCATAAGTGTATTTTCTGTCGTTTCTCTGCTCTATCTGACTCTTTTTCGTTTTTCTTCGCCGCTTTTGTTGGCCCGTTCGGCCAGACACGCACACACTCACACACACACGCAAACAACAAAGGGAGGATACACAGTCGCACGGCGAGTTGACAGACTTTTCACCTCCATAACACCAAGTCCCACACCCTCAGGTGCCAGTTGACTTTGTCTTTTATTTACCCAGATTTCTGGGCTTTTTTTCGGCTTTTTACACGACCCCCTACCAAAACAGATTTGTCGATAGCGCTAACAAACGGGGGTGTATCAATATTTTTAAGAAAATGCCAATAGCTATTCGGCATTGGTAAATAGCCCTGTCGACTAATTAGCACTGATTAGCATTCAGCAAGGTGAAGTATTGGTTATCATTAAAAAAAACTTGGCTTCTTAGGTACTCTCAAAGGATTTGGGACTTGTAAATATAACGATTAAAAATAGGTATTATGATCGAAATAACTGTTCCATACTTTGCTAGAATAACAACTCATGCAGGTTAGTATGATAATGCAAGTATGGTTAGTAGTTTTTGGTGTAGTGGCGTGGCTTTTAATGTCAGTGTTTTGGGTTTAGGTTTAGGTCTTTCTTGGGGGAGTTGAGTTCAGTTTTTCAGACTGTTCACGGTCTATTAGCGCCTCAAAGGGTGGCATTTCGGTGTTGTGTGGGCTGCATTGTTTCGGCTCGGCCACCGCCGAGTGGTAGTTGAGGATTGATTTCCACCCGAGAGGGGGTGTGAGTGGGGTGGATTGGTTGGCAAGTTGAAAGGGCAAGGGGTTGATGGTAGTGTAAGTGGTAAGTGGTTATAACATTTAGAGCGAATACATATAAAGAGAGCAGGTACTCATCACTAGCGTACATTGTTCATGCTGACCAGGTACATGGCCAGTTTGTTGATGTCCAAGTTGGCCAGCTGGCTGACGTCGGTGGTGTTGAGGATGCTCAGCATCAGGCTGATGTCGGCGGCGGTGGGCATGGCCGGCATGACTCCGGCTCCACCCACTTGCCCGGACCCGCCTCCGGATCCTCCGGCTGCTGCCGCGGCGGCCGCCGCCGCTGCCGAGGTGCTGGCGCCCTGCGACTGCATCAGTGCCTGGAGACTCCGGTTGCCGGAGTCGTGCTGGCCGGCGGATCCCACTCCGGAGCCACTGCCGCCGGAGCCGCTCTGCAGTTGCATCTGCATGGACTGGAGCGTGGGCGTGGTGGGCACCGACAGCGGGGGCGTCGATGAAACCAATGCCTGGAGCTGTGGGACAAACGGGACAATCACAGAGAAAGAGTTGGAGGAATCGGTAAGATCGCAAGTTCGGATTCTCATAGAAGGGGGCTGGATATGAGTCTATTGAGATGATCATGATGATGGTGGGGGAGTTGTGTGCTATCCTCTGTCAGCGGTTTACATAGTTTTGTTGATCAGCTGTTGGCCATGGTTGGCTTGGGTTTTGGCCATCTTTACTTTAATCTTTGGATGCGTTTGATGGTAACCAAACCAGGTCCGGATCCGTTCTCTGTCCGAGTCTTGGTCCACGGTCCGTTCTGTTCGCTAACTACGGTGCACGGTTCGCAACTAACTACGGCCAACAGCTAAGCAACAAAACTACGTACTTTCAACACTGGACACTACAACATAATCGTAAAACATAGAAAAGGAAATTCAAAAAATATATTATGAGGTCATTTATTTGGGTTAGGCAAGTGTAGGCGATTTATGTCCTTTGCATTTCGGAAATTAAAAATTTGTGAAAAAGGTTCTCAAAATGATGCAAAGCTGCATCTTTTTTTTTTTCGAAAATCGACAATGAAATGGGGACGCAACGGATGTTGGGAGACTCAGGGGGATGGGGGGTTAGTGTTGGAAAACGTTGGAGGACTCACCTTGGCCTTCTGCTGCAGCTTCAGCTCCTCCTTCTTGTAGTTCCTCTGGTAGGCGGTGATGACCCGCCGGAGACGCGTGTTGAGGTCCTGCATCGACGGCCACATGGTGGTGGCGTCCTCGACGGCTGCCACGGTGGGCGGATAGCTGCCGGCGACGCTCTCCTCCTCGTCCAAGCCTAAGTGTGAGTTGGAGTTAGCATGGTCGGTGGTGTTGTTGGGGGCGTTAGAGTTAGCCGCTTTGGATGATGGATTATTGGTGGTGGTGGTGGTGGTGGTATTGGTATTGGTAATGGTAGTAGTAGTAGTAGTGGTGGTGGTGGTGATGTTTGTGGTAGCATTGTTAGTGCATGATTCCGCTTTGTCGCCTTCGGCTTGGGCAGTGGCAGTGGCAGCGGCGTCTGGCTTGGTTTCCCCAGCAGGAGCAGCAGCAGCGGGCTCTGTGGGTTCCTTTTCGATTTCTTTTTTCTCCGATTCGCTGTCCGATTCGCCGCACTCGCCGCCAGTCCTGGCCGCCGCCTCCCGATCTTCTCCTGCCGCCTCCGGGGGGAACTGGAGTCGGCCGGATCGCGGGAGTCCGCGGCTGAGACCGGCGTGCGCACTTTGCTCGGCTCGGGATCTGATGTGTCTGCCGATTCGGGAGCTGCTGATGATGCGTCCTGCTGGGCGACCGCCGCCTCGACATCGCTGCCCTTGCCGCCCGGCAAGGCGTCGGCGTCGGCTTCAGCTTCAGCTGTGGCGGTGGCGGTGGCTGTGGATTTGGATGAGGATTCGGATTCTGATTCGCAAGCGGTCGTGGCCTCTTTCTCGCATTCCGGTTTGCCGTTGGCGCCGTTGACACCTTCGCTGTTGCTCTTACCCGACGAACTGGGGCGCTCCGGGTCGAGGAGCGAGTCCTTGTTGTCGCCCCCGGTGAGTTTGGTGGAGTCGGAGTCTTTGGTCGTGGTGGTGCCGTCGTCGTCCACCTCGTCGCCATCATCGTGCTTCGAATTTGCGTCGTCTTCGTTTCTGTGGTGTCAGAAAATGGGGTCAAAGGTTAGTGAACAATCTACGTAGCCTTCGGAGGTCGCTTATCGGGGGGTGGAGATCATGCCAAACGCAGTTAAAACGTTCTGAATACACTGAGAGAGAAAATTCACAACACTCACGCACACACACATTCAGCGCAATGGCAATGGAATCAATGCTTTCAATGTGCGTATTAATGGAGCCCATTACTTGCAGGGAATTCGCAACGTCTTATGCAAAATGTATCAATTAATTTCTTTGATAACTACATCGAGTTAACCTCACTTGAACTGCTCTGATATTTAGTTTCAAAAAGAGTTAAAGCTTACATTTAATTGATCAATAAATAGTATGACAAACTTTACAGTCCTGCTAGCTGAAACATTAAACTATTTGAAGCATTGGTCAATGGCATGAGTTGGGATGAATGCGTGTGTGCGAGGGAATGGAAATGAGTCATAGCAATTCCTGTTCCTTTCCTTCACTATCGGGAATTCTGATTCGGAATTCGGAGTGTCTGACCTTTGGATATTCTCCTCATTTTAGTACTTGTGTGTGGCGTATGTGGATTACTTAATGGCTTTCAGGTATGGATGCTAACTACTTCGATTTGTGTTTTTATATCCAGTGTGTTCTGGGGACAACACCTTAATGCATTTCTCGAGGGCTCTCCAAAACACACCGGGTCAATTTAGATTTGGTTTAGTTCGTTCTGAAAAGACTTACATCGGCAAATTCGTGACAGCCAGATCGTCGCCGGCCGCACCGGCGCCCACATGGGTGACAAAGCACAGATTGGGATCGGCGCGCATTTGACGATACATTTCACAGCCATGCTTGTAGGTTCCGACCAACAGACTCTTATCACAACAAATGGGATTCCACCATGAGGATGGCACTTGATCTGGCGTTGGCGGCGGGCGAATGGGGAGCTCGCTACATATGATCGTTTCGTTTCGTTTCGGTCGATGAGTACATTCGATAACATTCAAATGTGTTTGGTGGTTCGTGGTTGGTGGTTGGGGGTTTGAGAGATGCGCGAAAAGAGAAATGCGTTGGTTTAGTAAAATTCAATTTGGTTGGTTCAACAATTTCTTGGTTTCGGTATGAGGTTAAATAAAAGAAACGTAAAAACGAAAGGGAAAATGGGAAATCATAAGGGGTAATCAAATAAAGATCTTAACATTGTTATTGCCAATTTGCACTACAGATTTACCACTACAAAATGCAGAAATTCATACAAAGCAAAACGCAAAAGGTTTGATGGACTTCTCCACCGTCTTTCAGTTTTTGGTTTTTTGAATTTGGAAATCGTTCAAAAAATGTAAATTAAATTATTGAATTGCATGTAGAATCTCGGTTTTTTTTTTTTTGGTATGAGGACGACTGCACGTGTGAAAGATATAGAGATATAGAGTAGCGTGGATTTCCCTATTCGCCTGCTTCTTCTTGAATGCGAGATATAGCGAGCGTGCGAGCGAGGGGACGAGCGATGGCGATCGATATATCGGTGGTTGGGAAATTGATGGGGATATTACCTTTCCAGATTCAGATTCAGATTCAGATTGAGTGCCAGCTGCTGCTTGGCTTTCGTACTGCTGCAGTTTTTGTCGGTAGTTATATAATATACGTACAGATATTCGCAATGGAGTCAATTAAGTATTTTATAGGTTGGTTAAACGAATCGAAAAAACACAAAACACAGCGATAGAAATAGAGTCGGTATGCCGAGGATTAGTTGGCAAAAAATAGAGTATGCAAGTAGTGAATGGAGATGAGCAGAGTCGTGTGAAAATGTACAAATGTTAGCATTTCAATGGACAAGCGATCGAACATTTAGAGTTAAAGTGATAGAGATAGAGAGCGGGTAAAAGGAAGGGGGTTGCATTCCACCGGAACCTCCATAAGTCAGCTGCTCAGCAGCCAACAGAAGGTTGTTTTGAAAATATACAGTTAAAAACTCTTAAGAACAGCTGACAAATTGGCGTTAGTAATCAAAGTATACGTGTAACCAAATCAATACGAAATAAAACGTTAATCAACACTCTTTGGCAATCAGTCAGTCAATCAATCAACAACAACAACGAACAAAATGGTTAATGAATGCCAAGTGTTTAGCAGGCGACTCAGAGTGCCACGCCTACCTGATGGGCGTATTGTCCTTGATCTGCTGGACAAAGTCGCCAATGACCTCGTGCTGGATGTAGTAGAGCATCCTCACGCGCAGCAGGACCCTGTGAACATTGAAATTAGGTAAACAAAATGCGGAGAAACGGAAGGGAAGAGAAGAGAAGAGAGCGAAGAAAAGAAGAATTGTATTAGCAAAGGTCGTCTTGCAGCTTGGAAGATTGGCTTATAACAAGTTCGATTCCACACGACTCACTTATTGGCGTGTCTGCCCAAATGCTTCTTGTAGGCGCCCTCCAGGTACGCGTCCGCGTCGTACTTCTCCTTCTTGCTCCAGTGGTTGGGATCGTGGATACTGGTCACCGCGGCGGCCACGGCGCTCGCGCTGATCCCGCCTCCGTCCTTGTCGGATCCGTCCAGGGCACTGGACTTGTGGGCCGGGGTCGTGTTGCCACTGTTGCTGCCGGACGCAGTGCCCGGAGCGGGGGTGGAGTTGCCTGCCGACTCCTTGTTCGACTTTCCACCATTGCGGCCTGTAAACCAAAAACGTGTTCAAAGACATTAGATTCGCTTCTAGTTTGAGCAGCCGCCAGATCCTCTCCGTGGGGCAACTCCTTGTTAGCTTTATATGATCTCTGATCGTTGTAAATTTGATTCGGTTTTAATATATACAATTCATAAAATTATTTTTTTTATTGTACATTCCTACTTATGTAATTTAGGAAGCTGGAAGCTAACATTTTAATTTTAAGCTTTAAGTTAGTTCGACCAATTAGTAATGAAACATTTTCCAAAATGGTTAAAGCAAGTTAATTTGCAATATGAACTGTTAAGATGATTTTTAGCACTATACATTTACGGGTTAATGATTATGTAGATAAAATTAAAAGACATGGTATAGTAAAAGGGATACAATTGCATGGCAATAAAACATACACACACTTCTCTTCGTCGTGTCGAGTACACAGTTTGATTTAGGTCTCCGTCCAGTTGAGAGTCTTTACTAATAGATTGGAGTTATTGAAAAGATGGCACAGGTGGGCAGTTGTAACACTGGGAAAAATCAGAGGCCGCTCAATAGACCCAAACACACTACGCAATCGAATTTGGTTGGTGGACCAGTACGGATACGGAAGGGTGAAGACCACAATTAATTAAACGAAAGTAGTTGAGCCTTATACAGATAGTGTGTAGGAATTTTGTACAGAAGTTTGTTGGATGTTTTTTGTTTTCTCGAGGCAGCTCGCTTGATTTAATTTCTCTGTTTGATAACTCTCTACGTCCGTGCAGCAGTTGGAGTGTGCGTGAATGTATCTTTTACCATACCTTTGGCATTCCTACCTCGTGGCACCAAGTTGTGTAGGCCACTATGATCCCTGCTGATCTTCTGCACCTCCCCGTCCTCCGTCGGCGTGATCAGGTCCCAGATGAACGTCTTGATCTTCTCGTCGCCCTTGTAGACCTGCAGGCAGTAAAGGAGCTGCAAGGAGGGTAGAGGAGTCGTGCGTTACTGGACTGTTGAAACTGCATTGAAACTAATTTGCATTGCTTGTTTTTTCAGCGGGTTGAGAAGTTGGTTTTTACTCAGCGGAAACCTAAAGTTTCCTCAATATTAGCATGGTTGGTCATCACTAAGTCAACTTTTGGACGTTTGAGCCTTTGGTTCTGTTTTACTTACGATGATGCGGGCACAGTCCTCGACGTCAACATCGCGCCAGCCTCGCTTGAATTGCCCCAGCTCCAGGAGTTCCGACCAACGGCCCCAACTGCAAAAGAAACGCAACAAACAATTAGCAATCAGTTATGAGTCCGGAGATAACTCATGAACAATCTAGGCACATCTCCCTTTCCGTTCATCAAAACTGTTACACAAATTAAGAAGCCACAAGCTTAATATCCAAAGAAGTTAAACGTTGGTTCACAGACTATTCCACCTCACTTTCGGCCCCAAGATGAGTAAGTCAGCACACAGCCTGAACACCGATACGCAGAGCCGGCGGTCGATGAAATCGCATCCGAGCAAGTTGCATGTTTACGAGTACGTTGCGCCGCAGGACTTGGACGTCGTGGCCATTATATACAAGTACTATCTGGAGGACTTCCGCAACTTCACGGAAGAGGAGCGCCAGGAGCGGTTGGCCGGCTTGGATGCGCTGGACATGCTGCGGACCATCGAGCAGGTGCACAACGATGTGGCCACCCTGCGCCTGGAGAACCACATCATGGTCGAGTTCCTCGAGAAGAACGATCCGAAGCTGCTCTTGGGGCTGCGGCAGCGTCGCACCTCGATTCTCCGGAAGCTGCAGGTGAAGCGCGGATCCGCGCAGGGGAGCCACGGCGTGAGCAGCCGGCATTCGAGCTCCAAGCGCTCCATTCCCATGTCGGTGAACCAGCTCGTTTCCATCAGTGGCATCAGCGCCCCCGAAAAGCGCCGCGGAATGGACTATAAACTGAATTTCAAGGCCAAGGCCGAGATGGCCGAGAAGAGAGCTTCCGAGGTGGAGAAGCGGGTCGCGGACATCGAGAGGAATGGTGAGTTGGCACCAGAATCGGAATCAGAATCAGAGCAACTTTATCACCTCCATTTCGTTCTTTTTTTAGCAATGACCGAGGTAAAACAGCTGAGGGCCAAGATCGAAGAGCTGCGTTTTCGCAGCGAAGAAACCATCGAGACGGAGAACAACTTCATGCTCCACTTCCTGCGCGATGAGAACGACGTGGCCTTCTTGGAGTCCGCCACCGAGCGGCAGATTGAGCGCAAGCTGCGCAAGTTTACAACGAATTGGTTCAAGAATGCGCGAGCTCTGCTGGGAACCATGAAGCTGACCATTGTTTCTCTGCAAGAGACCTGCCAGCAGCATCGAGCAGACCTGATCACCAAATCCGATCTGAGCGGCATCTTGACGGCGGTGGACTTTGAGAAGCTGATCATCAAGCGAACCGAGCTGGTCAATCAGTTGGAGGAGAAAAATATTCACATGGCGGGACTGAAAGGAGTCACCGGAAAAACGTCCCTGGCCATGACTGAGGAGAAGCAGGCGATGATGAACCTGGAGTCCGAAATGCGCACCGTTTTGAACAGAACCGAGGAGGTCACGCGAGCGATCCAAAAACTGGAGAAGGAGGTGGCCGCCGTGCAAATACACAACTCAAAGGACTACGTGACCCTGGACGAGTTGAGGGCACAGCTGCAGGAGTACGAGGCGCCGAGTGTCAGCGAGTACATCGAGCGGAAGGAGGAGGCCCACGTCCTCGAGAAGGAAGAGAAGATGCTGCAGCGCAAGATCTACATCCTGAACATGAAGCTCAACAACGCCATTCGCCGGCGAAACCGACTTGAGGACAATTGACTTGTGTTCGCGATTGTTTCTTGAACAAATTAAAGCATATATTTAAATTTATTCTGTCAACAATTTACTCACCCGAAGGAAAGCAGTCCCTTCTCCACCTTGAAGCACTCTGACTTGGCCCAGTTGCCGTATTGGATCTCCTCCAGCCCCAAGGCAGCCAACGCGTCCCGTTCGCGTGGAATGTACTCGTCGTTGCCCTTCTTTTCACGGTTACGATCTCGCTTCTCCTTGCGGCGACGGGAACGAAGGCCTAGCGGATGCAAAAGTTTAATAAGCATTTAAAGGTAAATTAAGGTGATTCGTCTAGCCTACCTATTCCTCCCTCTTCATCGCTGTTCTCGTTGGAAGAATCCTCCGAATTGAGCTCCATCACGTCCTCGTGACCGTAGCGTTTGATTTGAGTGCGTCTTCTGGGCTCGGACAAGACCAAGTCCTCCGTTTCGTCGCGCTCACAGGCATCGGGATCAATGTCAACCTTTTTGGCCCACTTGGTCCAGAAGTCGGGATCGTCTATGGTAATATCTGATCGGTTGCCGGAGGCAGCGAACGAAGCCTTCGAGAAAGTGGAACCCTTCTCCGATTCCATGGTAATGACCTGAGTGCGGCGCTTGAGGATCGAGTCAATGTCCTCTTCGCAGAACTTATCACCCGCATTGTCGTCATCCATGACTGCGCCGTAGGCGCCCTTCTTCAGAAGATCCTCGATCTCCTTCTTGGAAAGCTGCTTGTTGTTGCCATCCTTAGAGCCCTGGGTGTTCATCGACTGCAGGACAGCCTTGTCCAGTCCCAGTTTCATCGAGGCCTTGTCGAACATTTCTCGCTCGTAGGTGTTCCTGCAGAGCAATCGGTAGATCTTCACCATCTTCCGCTGGCCGATACGATGGCATCGGGCCTGGGCCTGCAAGTCGTTCTGCGGATTCCAGTCAGAGTCGTAAATGATGACCGTGTCGGCGGCTGTCAGGTTAATTCCCAACCCTCCTGCTTTGGTGCAGAGCAGAAAGACAAATCGATCGGAGCCTGGCTTGGAATAACGATCGATGGCCTCCTGACGAAGGTTTCCGCGAATGCGTCCGTCGATTCGCTCGAACGGATACTTTCTGTAGACTAGATAGTCCTCTAGGATGTCCAAGCAACGCACCATCTGACTGAAGATGAGCACGCGATGGCCGTTCGCCTTCAGCTTGGGCAGCAACTTGTCGATCAAGACCATCTTACCAGCAGAGAGGATCAGGTTCTTGTAATAGGATTCGGGATCCTCGCCATGCTGGGACTTGAAATCATATTGGATTTGTTCCTCAGCTCCGTTTAGAAGATAGGGATGGATGCAGCACTTCCGCAGCTCCATCATCGTGTTCATCAGGTTGGGGATATTGGCAGATGTGGTTCCCTTCTTCAAGAAACTAAAGTTCTGTTCCAGGATGCCTCGATAGTATTTCTTTTGGATGTTAGTCAGCTCCACTTCGATAATGGTTTCCTCCTTGGGCGCCAAACTCTTCTCCACATCGTCCTTCAGACGACGCAGCATCATTGGTTTGAGAAGGGCTTGCAGTTTGTTCACCTCCTCCTCAGTGCGGAGACTTCCGAACTCGGACATGAACTCCTCCTGCGAGGAGAACTGCGAGGGCTCCAGGAAGTTGAGCAGCGAGAACAGCTCGCTGATATTGTTCTGCAGGGGCGTTCCGGAAAGCAGGACCCTGTGCTCCAGATTCAGCTGCCGCAAGCCCTCGAGGAGCTTGCAGTTCCTGTTCTTCAGACGATGAGCTTCGTCGATCACGCAGAGGCGCCAGTTAAACGCCTTCAAATCCATGTAATCCGTCACAATCATCTCGAACGTGGTGATCAGAACGTTGAACTTGATGGGCTCCTTGAGGACCTTTCCCGTGTCCGTCTTGTAGTAGTACTCGTAGTCCTGAATCATCTGTTTGCTGGTCACGGATCCGTGGTAGACCACCACGTTCATGTCCGTCCAGCCCTCAAACTCCCTCTGCCAGTTGGGAATCGTGGAGAGCGGAGCGATGACCAAGAAGGGTCCTCTGATCCCGTACTCATAAACGGAGTGCACGAAGGTCAGACTCTGGATGGTTTTTCCCAGACCCATTTCATCGGCCAGAATGCAATTGTGAGTATTGTACCAGGAGAACTTTAACCAGTTGAGGCCCTCCAGTTGGTAGGGTCGCAGGCTGTTGCCTCCCTTGTAGACCGGCGTCTTCTCCAGTTTCTTCCAGAGTTCCGGATGCGGACGCTTCTTAGACTTCCATTCGCTCCTCTGGGGGATCTTGTTGAAGCGCAGATACTGCTCGATCTTGTCGTTGTCCACGTCTTCCTCCAGCTCCCAGGTGCAGTCCTCGTAGGGAAGGGACTTCCACTTGACCAGGTAGTGCTTGGTGGTCTCGCCGGTGGCTTCATCAGTGTGAACGGACATGTCCAACACGCGATCCACTTCGGTGAAGTCCTGATTGAAGGGCTCGTCCTCGATGTTCTCGAAAATGTTCAGCTGCTGAGATTGCTTCTGCTGGAAGCGACGAATCTTGGCGGCCACGCGACGGTCGCCCTTGAGGAGCTCCTCCTCGGTTCTCCACTCACAGTGGAGGTAACTGAAGTTGCGGTACTTCACGAAGTACTCCTCCACGTCGATGAAAACGGGTTCGGGCTTGTTTTCCTTGTCAGCCTCGCCTTCGTCGCCGGCCTCCTTCTTAACTGGCTCCTCCGCTGATTTACTTCGCTCGGTTTCGCCTGCCTTTTCTGAAGTTTCCTTCTCGTTTTCCACAGTAGCCTCTTCGGATTTGGCTTCATCCGCGGACTTTTCATCAGATTCTTCTTTGGACTTGGGAGACTTGGCTTCACCTTCATTCTCATCCACATCCATTTTATCGGCGGCATTCTCTGGTTCCTTGGTTTCCTCAGCCTTTTCTGCATTTGAGGCTTTGTTATCAGTGGTCTCCTCACTTTCCTCGGGCTTTTCTGCTTCTGATTGCTCATCCGGCTTACTTTCTTCAGCTGGTTTCTCAGCTGCATCATCTTCATCCATTTTCTCCGCTTCCTTATTTTCCTCCTCCGATTTCTTGGTTTCCCCTCCCTCCGAAGCTTCTTTATCGTCCACCTCCATCTGCGAGGATTCGGATTTCTTTGCCTCGGCATCGGATTCTTTGGATTCACCTGCCTCGCCCTCAGTTTTGGGTGTTTCTTCGCCATCTTCCTTTTCGGCTGATGCTTCGACCGATTCCGATTTCTCCTCCTCCTTTTTGGGTTCAGGAGTCTTTTCTTTGGGTTTCTCTGGGATAAGTTCGCGTTTTCCCATCCGCATGGCCAGGACGAGTTGCACTACCATGCTGTCCTCGTCGCCGGTGTTTATGTACACGTAGTTGGGCTTGGAAGACATGGCTGCGTTAGCGGCATCAGTGGATGCCTGACGCTCCTTCTCGCCGGCTGCTGCCGCTGCAGCGGAAGTACTCGAACTGGCTTCCAGCTGACTGCTCTCGTCCAAGGGCAGAGTGGCCTTCTCTTCGCCCGCCTCCTGTCCGGCCTCCGTTTCGGCTCCAGACTGCGGTTCCGCCTTCTCCACGTCACTGCCCGCATTGGAGTTAGCCGCATTTGCGGTGGCTTTCTTGTCCTTCTTTACAGGAGAAGCCACCAGCAGGGAGTTCTCGTCGTCGGAGAACCTTAGCATTACGTCGTCGATGTACTTTTTCCTCTGGGTGTTCCTCGAAGACCTACGCTTGTTGGAATCCATATCGGAATCTGGCGGAGGCGATGGCGGTGGAGTTCTGTCCAAGGTGTCGTCTTCGCCATCGGATTCGGGTACAATCCGTCCCCTGTTCCTACGCTTTTTAAGAGCCTTGGCGGAGAGAGTTCCTCGGTTCTTACGCGCACTTCCACCCTCCTCGGAGTTCGCGTTGCGACGGCTCCTGGCGGTGGAGCGTTTGCGATCCCTCCTGCTCGGAGTGGAGGCCGGATCGCCTGCCGAGTCTGGAACAGAGTCCACTGTTTCATCGCCAGCCTCGGCGTCCTTATCCTCTTCGTTGGCGCCCCGTGGTATTTTCGAAACCGGTATGTCATCGTAGTCCGGAGACTCGCCGTCCACGCCAGTTCCGCCCGACGTAGTCTCTGCCTCTCCATCGGCGGAACCCGCTTTGGGCACCAGTGGCTTGTTGTCCTCCACTTCACTGCCCTCCCCCGTTTGCTCCGCTCCATCCTCCCCGTACTGCTTCCTGCTGCGCTTGCTAACGCTCGCTCTCTTCTTGGCAGCTGCTGGCGTCTCGGTGGAATTGGGATCATTGGGGTCCTTGGGCTTCTTGGCCTTCGGAGTCCTATCCCGCGGGGGCTTGTTCGGGTCCTTGGGTGTCCTGGGCTTTCGCGGCTTCTTCTTTTTGCCGCTGCCATCGGTCGAGGTGTCCAGCTCGTTGGCCGAGTGCACGTCCTGCGAGAGGTCGCCCATTCCTTCGCTGTACTCCAGCATGCCGACCACACTGGTGTCGCCTGCTCCTTGAGTCACACAGTCCTCGGACACGGGCAGCTGGGTCGTCGGTATACTCGGCGTGGCGTTGGCTGCTCCCACCACCACATTGCCGCTGATGTCCATCAGGTCTTGCTGCTGGCCAGCCTGGCCCTTTTCGCCCTTCTTGGCGCGCGGTTTGCGAGGCTTGTTCGCCCCCTTTCCCCGACCCCGTCCCGTGGTGCTCGACACTTGGGGGCTTTCTACCATTTGCTGGTTGAGCAAAGGATTGCCCGGGGGTCCGTACATCGGCGGAACGTTCTGGAAGAGCAGGCACTGCGGACCTCCGGCACACTGTTCGTTTATCTCGTGCTGCGTGAGGAGATTCAAGCGCTCCTGCATCCGCATCAACTTGTCCTGGTGCTGGATCTCGTGCCCTGGCGGCATGCAGTAGAGTTCCTGGATTTGCTGCTGCAGCGCTGCAATTTCCTGCTGATGCAGCATCGGGTAGGGCGGATACATGCCCGGAGCTCCGCCATACGGCGGCATCATAGGTGGCATGTGTCCCTGTCCCTGCGCCTGAGCATCGTACCCCGGGGCCATTGGATGCATGGGCATTCCCATGGGCGGTATCTGCTGCTGGGGCGGCTGTCCCACCAAGGTGGTGGGATCCATAGCGGGCACCGTAGGAGCTCCAGCCTGCGCTTTTTCCTCTCCCAGATCCTCTATGGCTTTGGGTTCCTCCGACAGAGACGTAGACAATTCTCCAAGAGGCTGGCTAAGTTGAGTTTGTTCCAATTCCTCTGAAGGCTTCTCCAGCAGATCCTCCTGGACCGCTGGCACATCTGTGCTCAGGCTGGCTTCTTGGGTTTTGGAAACACTAGTCTCGTCCTGGGGCAACTCAGTTTCGTTGACAGAAGCTCCTCCAGCACCAGACAGGCCGTCGCCTTCGCTCTGATGCTTCTCAAACTCCGTATTCGAGGACTGCGAGTTGCTGTCCAGGAGCGCTGCTGCTGCAGAAGCCGCATTGGAGGCCACGGCGGCCACAGCTGCGGATGTGGAGGACATGGAGTTGTTGTCGAAGAGTCCAACATCGACCCCAACATGCTGGGCCGATTCAGAGTTGCCTCCGTGCGAGTTCGTGTTGTCCATGAGCAACTGTTGCTGGTTGTTGCTGCTGCTGTTGATGCTGCTCTGCGAGTTGCTGTCGTGGACCGAAGTGGGCTGGTTGTTGACGATGCTGTTCGTGCTGCTGTTGCTGCTGCTGTTGTTGCTGTCGTTGGCGGCCACTGCCAAAGTGGAGGAGTCATTCGAGTTGGCTGTCTCGTTGAGAATGCTGCTCAGGTGATGCGACGGCGTCGAAGGCTGTTGCTGCGGCGCCTGCTGCTGTTGCTGCGGCACCTGTTGTTGCTGGGCTTGTGGTACTTGCTGGGCTTGCTGCTGCTGGGTCTGTTGCTGCTGCGGCTGCTGTTGTTGCTGCTGCTGCTGCATTTGCGCGGGTATCGGCGAACTGACATGAGCAGGGGACATTGTCTGTTGGGTTGCAGGTGGCTGACTGTCTCCCAGGATGTTGGCAAAGGGATCGAATTGCTGCTGCGACTGGTTGTAGCTGGGCAGATGTTGCTGGTGGTGCGGGGACTGTTGCTGCTGCTGCTGGTGTATCGGCGACTGATGCTGCATCTGCTGGTGGTGCGGCGACGTGAGAGTCGCCTGCGGTTGCTGCTGTTGTTGTGGTTGTTGCTGCTGCTGCTGCGCCGCTTGCTGCTGCTGCTGCTGCTGCGGCGGCGGTTGTGCCGTCTCCATGGTGGGCTGTATCAAATGGTGCATGCTCGGCAGGCTTTGCTGATGCAACGGCGACGACATGGCCGCCAGCTGGGGCTGCTGCTGTTGTTGCTGCTGGCCTTGTTGACTGCCGCCCGAGCCTCCACCACTGTTCCCGCCCCCGACAATATCGTTGATGGAATGCTGCAGTTGATCGTTTAGCGATTGCTGCTGGTGTTGCTGCTGCTGCTGCTGTTGTTGCTGCTGCTGTTGGGGGGTGGCCACCACCGGCGGTTGCTGTGCAGCCACCGGCGGCACAACCTGTTGCTGCGGGGCTTGGGGCTGCTGCTGCCCCATCGACTGGCCGTACATGCTCAGCTGCTGTTGATGGTGTTGCTGCTGCGCCTGCAACATAGCCGCCTGCTGCTGCTGCGGCGGCGCCTGTTGCTGCTGCTGGGCCTGCTGTTGCTGCTGTTGTTGCGCCTGCTGCTGCTGCTGCAGTGCGGCCAAGTGCTGCGCTCCATGGGCCGAGCCCCACTGCTGGTGGTGCTGCTGCTGCTGTTGCTGCGGCGATGCCGGCATCCTGGGGCCCACGGTACTTCTGTAGGCCGACGGATAGTCCATGGGCGGCAGTCCGAGCGCCTGGGACGGCATCACCATTTGTTCGAGGGCCTGCAGAGTGTTAACGGGTGCAGCCACTGGCGCCGGACCCTTGGCCACCGCTCCTCCCGATCCGCTGGTCGGCGGCTGGGGGCGTGGCGACGGCAGTCCCACCATGCCCTGAATGCTGTGCTGGCTGGGCTGGTTGTTCACCACCTGCTGCGGCTGCTGGGCCTGCGCTTGCTGCTGCTGCTGAGGGGGCGGTGGCTTCGCCGGCGACACGCCCACTGGTCGCGGAGACATCTGCGGATGCGGCGACATGGTCGGCGGACGTGGCGACATCTGTGGCGAGAGCTGGGGGAAGGGAGCGCGGTACTGCGGCGAGGAGTTCAGCTGGGCAGCCGCCTGTTGATGCTTGCTGCTGGACATGTAAGGCGGAGCTGCCTGCTGCTGCTGCTGCTGGGCCTGTTGCTGCTGCTGCTGTTGCTGCTGGTGGTGGCTCCCGTAGCTGGGGGGCATTCCCATGTGTGGCGGCGGCAGTCCGGCTCCCGGTAACTGTTGTTGCTGCATCAGCGAGACGTGGGGCTGCTGCTGCTGCGCCTGCTGTTGCTGCTGCGACTGGAGTTGCTGTTGCTGGTGGGCGCCCAACTGCTGCGCAGCCTGCTGCTGCTGCGCGGTCAGATGGTGGCCCGGTGGCGCTGCTCCCGGCACGTGCTGCCCATAGGCCGAGGCCTGGTCCAGTCCCGTGTGACCGTAGCCCACGTGCTGCGGCGCTCCTCGGCCCGGCTGGTGCTGCATGGGACTCCCGTACGGACTGTGGGCGTAGGCCTGGGGTGTCGGGGGCTGGCCCGCCTGGACAGCGGGTGCTCCCACCCCGGGATACAACGGGTGCTGGCCGGGAGCCTGCGGATAGTGCTGCGGCAGCCGAGCCTGCTGCTGACTCTGCTGCTGCTGCTGTTGCTGCGCCTGCTGCTGCACCTGCTGCGCCTGTTGCTGCACCTGCTGCTGCTGCGGCGTGGGTGGCTGCTGCTGCTGTTGCTGCTGCGGCGCCAGCGATCCGTAGCCGGCCATCATGCTCTGCTGGGCGCCATAACTGGCCAGCTTCTGCTGATCCTGCTGTCCGTAGGCGGGCATGTGTTGGCGGTAGGCGCTGGCGTTGCTCTGGCGCTGCTGCTGCGCCGGCGGAGCCGCCTGCGGGTGACCATAGGCGCCCAGGCCGGCTCCCGGATATGCCGCCGCCTGTCCGGGCACCGAAGGCGCCCCGCCCCAGCCGCTTAGATCGCCCATTCCGGCGCCGACTCCCACGCCAACACCCAGGCCCATGGCCGCCTGGTGATCGGCGGCCCCCAGCCCGTAGAGATTCTCCGCCGTTGGCTGGTACGATGGGTATTGGGGCTGTTGCTGGAGCGGATGCGGGGGGCGGTGGCGGGGCGGGTAGCCGCCGGGCGGGCCCATTGCCCGAGGATTTGCCGCGGCGGCGGCTGCTGCGGCGGCTGCAGCATCGTAACGGTAATAGGGATCTCTGTGGGTCCAGAAGAAAGTTATTTATTAGAAGCGTTTTTAAAATACCGAACTTGCTCTTTCATTAATATTATTCGTGACTTTTAAACAAATCATTTAACATCAATTACCGTTAATTACAAGACACTTCAACTCATTGAGAAACAAACTCACAAGTTCAGCCCCCATATCATGCGTACTTTTCCCGATTTAGCCCATTTTAACCCGACTTTTGGGGTGACAATCCCAAAGAGTCGAGGAAGGAAAACTCACCCTTGATGATTTCCGTGAAACATATTTTGTGCATTTCCATCCATCAGATTTTTTGAAACGCAGCGCACACAGAAATGTCCGTTACGCGTCGAAGGACGCGACGCCGCTGCGTTTTAGGTTTGGTCGTCTATTGGCTTAATTTTGATGCTGCTCTCTGCGCGTGGCCGTTGTCAAAATGTCGAAAGTTCGATAGGTAGCCGGTGAGGTGACTGAGAACCAGACGGTTGCGGAGAAGTTCCACTTCTCGGGGTGCGGATATCCTTTCCCCACTGCTCACTTTGCCCCGGGGATCTGTTTTCAGGTGTCACCACACTCCACTCCACCTTTGACTTATCGATTATGATTATATATTGGTTGGTTGCGGGTTCTAACTACTAAGCTTAATTACAACTGGTGTGCAATTTAACGTCTTGTTGTTGCTTTTATATGGTAATGTCATTTGTGTCTCGTGTTTCGCGCACTTCATGGCCGACCTTTGACATATTCGCAGTGAAACACATTCGCTCACAGCTGTAAAAAGTATTTTGGAAAGATTTCGGTTGGGTTAGTATCAATCAGATTCGTACAAAAGGTTTCACGTCAAACGGTAGTTTATCAGCGAACACGAGTGCATTATTTTAGTTCCGAACGTATTTTAAGCGAAAGTATGCATTTGGGTTTTTAAAGTCTGTAAAGAAAAGAGAAAAACGGGACTTTAGTCAAATAGTTATCATTCGCGCTGTATTTTAAAGCTATCAGTAATAAATCAGTAGTACATGTAATCTGTAGAGAATATTCAGAAGTTTTTCGAATTTTTAGAGATTATTTATCGGTCACTTTTTGTTGGTGTTGCATCAACTTTTAAGGGGAAAAGCTATACGCTTATGGTTTTTATAATAGGGCACATACAACGTACAGTTTCACCCCTCAAAATGTTGAGCAATAAAATCTTTGGCTTTTACACCGTTCGAAAAAAACGAAACACCCAACCAAAATCGGTCGAAAAGGGAGGAAAATACAAACTAATTAATGATTCAATTCTGGCGCAAAGGGGTTAGATCAAACTGAGATTTCTTTGCTTCGTTTCGGTGTGGACTTGGAGTTTATGGGCAGGTCAGAGTGGGTGGTGGTCTGTGGGTGCGAATCTTGGTGAAAATCTTCTTCGGCGACAGTGAGAAAAACAATGGCAACTCTATCGATTTTTCGCATTGTCTCTGCGGCTGCTTTTAGCCGAAAATCTAAAGTAGCGGTGGAAAACCCGCAGAGAGCCAAGGAAAAAAAAATGCGGGTGGGTTGACTGACTGGTTGTTGTTGTTGTCGTTGGTGGAAGCTGCGAGAGCCCAAAGATATGCAAATGGGGCGGGGATAAAGGGGGGTGGTTGGGAGTCGTGGGGTGGCAAGGTGTGGTGTCTGCTTTATGTGTGTGCAAATGGAAAGTGGAAAGATATAGAGACAAAACTGCAGACAGTACAGTACATAGAGATATGCACTTACACACACAGACAGACAGACAGCCGAAATTCGCTGCTTAGTGTACTGTTATAAATACGTGTGCAAAAAGGGAAGTCGGTGGGGAGGGGGTACGTAGCGCAGTCAGTCAACCACTCACACACAGATACTATATGGCACATCATCAGCGCAACTTATGTGGAGTGGCTGACATGGGCTAAGCGGCGAGCTTAGCACCGCTCCACCCCCTCGGCCCCCTTCAGTCACACACCTACCCACTCCCCTTCTACTCCTCCTTACCCCTTCACCCCCGCGCCACTGCCCCCTTGCGTTCGCCGTGAGTTGTTCGCGCTCATTGGACAATCATTTAGCCAGTCGTCGTTGTTGTCTCTACACAGAGATAAACCAATAAGCAACTTGTTTAGTGAAACATTTCAAGCACGAATATTTTTGAATTTAAAACTTAAACAAAGGTACATATAATCAATGTGAATAGTTGAACTATTTTATAAACTTTTGTAATCTTTTTGCCTTCGGTATTTTTGTTGTATTTTCTAATTCATTAATGTTTGTAGTGTGCAACCCAACAATCCTGCCAAAGTATGGATAATCTCTCGATAATTTCTCGCAGTGCGTATTCGTTGTTGCTGCCCTCTGGCTGCTTTGACTTTGCCGTAATCAATTACATTTCGCTTTTGCAATTTCAGCTATTTATTTATTTAGTTTCAGCTCTTGCCATTATTATTAGGCGAGCGAGCGGTATGTACACACGCCCGTACAATAGCGATGGTGTTCGGCGAGACTTTACTTTGTATATCTGGCAGATATCTATCAGTGAGTGTGTGTATGTCGCATTTTTCTTCTTTTGCTTTAGTTTTTACTTCTTGCTCGCTTCTTCTCAACTTTTTGGCGTGGCTATTACACAAACAAATCAGGCAGAGTAATTGCAAAAACAATAAACTAAAAGCAATAGTAATATGCATGTGTCTGTATGTGCGAATGTTTGTGGTATGTAGTTGGTTTGTGCGATTGTGCTTGTGCTTGGGTAAGCAAAGCAGACATCTGAAAAATTGTGAAATTATACTTTACTTATTGCCTCTCTCCGGTCTCTCTCTATGTCTATGTCGCTTTGTGTCTCTGCGCACAACTGTACGTTTGTTTTAAATAAGCGAAAAATCGATTAAAGGTGATAATAGACAAGCGAATTTCAGTGTGTCCAAACGACAAAGACGCGAGCCACATTTTTGTGACCCGACGACGACGACACCACCAACAATCCGATTCGATTCGACAAACCAACAACAGCACCACCATCAGAACGGCGGATTAGCTTTAGCTTTCGGGCCGGGTCTATTTCTATTTCTATTTCTTCTCTTTTCCCATGCTCCATCGCTTTATGAGCCATGAAAATCGTTCTCAAAAGAGTTCACTCAAGTCACAGTTTTCTCACCATTTAAAAGTGTTACCCGCCGATTGGTCTCCTTGTAAAAATATTAACAGATGTGGGCAAATCACTAGCAATGTTTGCATCTTTTCCAATTAACAAGCAGATAAACTGATAAAAGTTAAGGTTATTAACCTTTAATTGTACATATATAAATTATTAACCTTTGGTAGTCCCACTTGTTTTTTGTTAAAAAGTGTTATATGTATTACATATTAAACATGCCCTGCTATAGTTTTCTACATAGCTGTACCAATGGAACAAAATAAAAAACCTGAATGAATAACTCCCAACGCTTACGATTAAACATTTTGCAATAACAACAACACCCCAAAAAACAAAACACAAAAACGAGAAAAGGGTTCATTCACCTTGTGTCTTGGGCAAATGTTTTTAGTTAGCTCACAATTTTTGACAGTTGTTTTGCGCTCTTGCTTCGCTTTAGGGCCGACTTTGTCTGCTTTTTTATCTTTTACTTTTCAAATATCATGAATATCTGACCCACAATGACTTGGAGGGACGGGGCAGGGGAGGTGAGGTATTGCACACAGAACAAAATAATTGCAAATTTACAAAATTGTTTAAATATTGTTCTTAGCATACGGGCTTTCGACAAGCACTTTGAAAAATTCGAACTCTTCTTGTTACCCTTTTGTTTTATTTAAAAAGTACATTTTATAATATTGAAAATATTTTCTTCCTTTAATTTGGTGTGAGCACGTATGGAGTTTAATTCCCTTTTTATTTTTCTTACTATTACTATTGGTCTACAAAAATCAAATAAAAACTTAAGATACATTTTGTACTTTTTCTTCCAGTGCTCGATACAGAGGTGTTTGAAAAGTGTCGTCACATAATGGAAACACTCGGAGAACTCCGCACATGCACAGCGCGCTAAGATGATGCATATGTACGTAACGAACGAATGAATCTGGCTTTAATAACAATCAAGTCAAGTGGCTGGGTCCGCGCTAACAGTAACTAAAAAGTACAGTTGGTTTTTGTAAGAAAAGCAACATTCAACAACACGGCAGCCAAGTACGTCACTCAGCGCGGTCCAAAAAGAGGCAAAGAGCGACCAAAGCACAACAAGGAGGAACAGGGGGAGGTGGAGGCAAAAGAAGCATAAGCAGAGCAGAGACAGATGGGCGCAGCAGCAAAACGCGCACTCACACACACTCACTCACCCGGACGAACGTACATAAAAATGGTAATAAAATAGGTAAAGTAACAGCGGCAGCTGTAGCAAAAGAAGAAGCACAAAAGCAGAAAGCCACACACAGTTTTCGGAAAAGCCAAAGAGCTCAACTGAGAGGCCATCAGCCAAAACTCACACACTCTCCAAGTGCCAAAAAGCCTCGCACAACACATAACACAACCCACAAAAGTTCGCTTGGCAAAAATTACAAACACGTCGCAGCCTTTTGAATGTGTAACGGTACATTTATGGCAGGCCAATTGGCATTAGAGATGAGTGGAGAGCGATAGTGGCGACTTCGAACCAGGGAAATTCCACGCGTTGCCATCAACCGCATTGTAGTGCGATTTCATGAATGTTCTTCAATAAATTTACGCACTAAGGTGACAAAATGTTTGTCAAAAATAGCCAAATAGGTTAATATCGTTATACCAACTCCAGGGGAATAAATTATTTTTTAATTGTTAAACCCTTGAGAAACAACAATGTTTAATCTTTAAATATGTCGATGGTTGTAGCGAATTGCCAAAGGGTCAGGAAGTATCTGAAAGAGGCCTAGGCAGATTTGGTTCTGTGACAAAACTGACGCCACCTTTCCCGCTAGAATTACCAAAATTATACGAAAACAAGACAGCCAAGAAAGCCTTTAAAGAACCAACACACACAGATACCAGACACACAAGTCCTGACCCGATTATCGAGTTAAACGTTGTATAAAATTTGCACCTGGACCTAAACCGGATCGAATGGATATAGAGGTGCCCATTGTCAATCCAGCAACCATAAAACGGAGCGGATGAGAGCCGGATAGAGAGCTGCTCTCCAAAAGAGCGAAGTGCCGGCTGAAAAACGAGAGAGCGGCAAAAACACACGACAAAAGGGAACGAGAGAGCGAGGAGAAAAAAAAACAGCCCAACAAGTGAAACGAGCGTATAAAAGCAAAAATGTTGAACCGAAACACACACGAAGTAAAAAATAAAAAAAAAAAACAACAAAAATACTAAGGCAAAGCATAGCGTGCGCTAAAGAGCAGGCCAAAAGCAAAATTACAAAAGCAAAGCGAGTATATCACGTGCTGCCCCAGCGAAGGGGAGGGGGTGGGCGGCGGAGAGGGGGCGTGTGCCGGCCTTTGGCGGCAGCGCTGCCACCGTCGCAGTCGACTGCGAATATCAAGAAAGACGGAAAGCAAAAGCGACGGAGAGACAAAGCGACAGAGCGACTGTTTCGTATAGAAAGAGAGTGGGAAACAGAGACGACGAAGAGCTAGTCAAAACAAAAAGGGAGATAAAAGAAGGAGGTGGTGAAACAAAAAAAAAAATAAAACAAAATAAATTTATAAAAGTTTAAAAAATGAACACAGAATTATTCAAGCACATATGTACATATGAGACAATTAAAAGGTATACAAAAATAAACAAAGAAAGTATCTTCTGAACTTTACATTTATGTCGATGAAAGTTAAATGGAGACAGAGCCAGAATAGCTAGTTAACAATAAAGGTACAGCTTTAATTAAGAAGTACGCTCATAAGAGGAAAATGGGAAAAATCTAAGATTTTCTGAAGGGTTCTTTGCATGGGTGTTTCTGGAAAATCACGGAAAAATGGGGAAAACTTTAGCTAGGGGCTTAACAAAAATAGGTTGGGAAAGTGTGTAAAATAAAAGTATCTGAGATGTGGTTTCTTTAAGTCAGGCAAAGAAGTTGAGCTTTGCCGTTGTTTGTTGTTGGGTGGTCATCAAAAGTGGGAGATTGAGAGATTGCGAGGCAAGAGAAAATCCGCGAAACAAAGCAAAGCAAGGAAAAGACGGCGAATGGTGGCGACAACATTACGGCGACAAGTACGAAACACGTATTATGTGTGTTTGTGTATCGGAGATTCGCATGATTCGTGCAAATTCGCCGCATAGTTGTTGCTGCTATTTTATTCGCATTCGCATATCGTGGTGCCTTTTGTTTGTACATGTATCTGTATCTACAACTGTGTGTGTTTGTTGGGCCGGGCGTGTTTGTGAGTTGGGGTCGTCGTCGTTCATATGTTTGCCTTCTTGTTGTTTTTGTTGGTGCCTTGTGTTGTTTGGTCGGTTTTGATTCGGTTTTTTGGGATGGATGATATTATATGGTCGCTGGTCTCTGTCGCTGGCCTCAGTTGACGTCTCTGCCCGATTTTCCATCCATCGTTTGGTTCTCTTGCCCGTCATCAACTTTTCTTCTTACGCTCGTCAGTCTTTACGAATGGATACAGTCCTACCTCGACAATTTACACTTTAATAAAAACATTTACATTTAAATCAACATTTGTTACACTTTTCATAGCTTTTTATTTAGTTTAATTTATTTCAACCAATTTTTTTTTTACTATACCCCTCTATTGCCATTGTCGTCCAAATCAAGTTTTCGAAGCTCCACTGTGGTTTACCTCAGTTTACAGCTCCCTTGTTGTTCTTCTCATTTGCACGTCACGTAAGTATTTTTTCTTTCTTTTTTATTACTTAAATTTTTTCCCCACAGCTCCAACGAAAACAAGAACAACTGTAAGCAATGAGTGGAACTGCCCACTCGCCTCAACTTTACTTTAGCTTTATTCGCATATTAACGAGTGGGGGAGGGAAGAATATGACGAGAGAGGCGAAGAGGGAGAAAACAGGCGTGTGACGTTTTTTCGCTGCTTTTTCTTCTTTCTTTACCGAAAAAAGAGTTGATTGAAATTATTTTGTTGGCGTTTGTGTGTTTGTGACTTTTTCGCTCAGTTCGTTTGTCTGTGTATGTGTGTGTGTCTCGTCTGTCTTGCTGTGTTCGTGTACGTGTGTATCTGCTTTCGGTTAAAGATACATAATTATTTCTAAAAAGCATTTTCTGCCTGGCCATTGTTGTAATTCGCTCGGAATTTCACGATTCTGTTTACCGCAGAGTATTTATAATATAATTGAGAAGAAAATAGTATTACTCACCATTTTTATTTTTTGTGCTGCTAATCCATTTGGCTTTATCTTGTTTATTATCACCGGTTCGCACAATTTAAAATTCATTTGTAGGTTTTACGTTCACTTGGCTCGCCCTCTTTCCCTAGTGTTTTTTTCCCCGTTTTCTTTTGTTTTTTTCGGTTTGGTTTTGGTCACGCAATCATTTTGGACGCAAGTTATCGATAGTTAAGCGCAGCGGAATGACAGATGACGAATGACACGGCCAGCAAGAACAACAACAAGGCTAATTCAAGTGTAGATACACATGCGAAATAATAATTGTAGCACAATTGCCGCAGCAAGAAGAAGCGACGGCGAAAACTACAAAAGCGCAACGATTGCAACTGCGAGGCTGTTGCTTCTTCTTCGCCGCGCGGTCCCCGCTCCCCTCTTGCTCAAACACACTCACACTAACGTACGGTAATTACAATTAAACGTAGTTTTTTGCAGCCGAAACGAAACAAAGAAATCGATAGATATTGCTGGAAGTTAGTGGAAAATCTCTGTGCTTGGTAATTGCACAAGTGAAAAGAAAAGGCCGCAGTTGGAAGCAGAAAAAAAGAAAAATTGTTACAGCCGCCGATTGGAAGAAGAAGAGACGCACAACAGACGACGCGACGCGTCGGGAGCGTCGACAAGCGCATGAATTTTACGCTCTCTCATCAATTGCTGTGTGTGCGAGAGAGGGAGAGGCGGAGTGGCCCGGCTAGAAAAACGTGTGTCCACTGTGTGCGTGTGAGTGAGTACGAGCCGATCGAGTGGAGTGAGGAAGAGGGAGGCAGACAGATGAGTTGACACAGCGGCCGAAGCAGAGCTAAAAGCAATCAAAGAGGAGCAAAAGGAAGAGCCGCAAATGGGGATACCGTTGCATATGTGCACTGTATCTATGTGAGTGCTACTTTAGGCCATCAATATCGATATATCGATGGGGCAAACTACAGTGCACCCTGGACCGGTCAAACAGAAACAAATTATTTTTTTTTAACAATAAAAGTAACAAACTGAACTTACTGAAAAAGTTGCAGTAATAATGAATTTAATTGTACCGACTAAAACGATTGATAAAAAAAATTCTAAAAAATAATTTCATATCCTTACAGAAAAATAAAGTAATTAATTTATTTATTTCATTATGACCAGTGGTCCGATGTACTATGGTCGCACTGCTGGTAAAAAGTCTTATGAACTTTTCAACGTTTCAAAATTTAAGTAAAATTTACTGCCGAATTCCGTTAATAATTTGCACTTTAATTTATCATTTCAATTCATTGCACTTCGATTTCTCCATCGCAACAATAACAAAATGTTAGTAAAAAGCAGCGAGAACGTCGGCAGCGGCGTCAGCAGAGCAACTGTAGCAGTGACCATTGCGGCAGATGGACAAATGCGGGGGTGTGAAATGTGGGAGGGGATAACGCAGATTGTCTCCTGCACAGGTGCAAAATGTGCGGTGCTGCATCTCCCGAATAATGTTGGCAACACTGCAGCACCAATACATACACAAAATTTATGCGACGCGCGATACGCGAAATGAAAACGAAGCCAAGTGAAACACACAATATTTCTTTTATTTTGGGGTATTAAGCGGGGGCAAAGAAAATGGCGAGCAGAAGCAAGAGAAAAGAAATCAAAAGAGCAGGCAATAATCAACGCGATGATTACAATCAAACAAACATCATCATGAAGGCGAAAACCCAAACGAGCATCGCTTATACACACACACGCACTCTCTCACTCACACATTCGCAGATGAGGTCCATTTTTAATTGTATTAGACGGCCGCAGCTCACACTTTTGCATTTGATTTTCGATGTTCTTCGCCAATTTCGCCATTAATTAATCGCACACACTCGCACAGAAACACACTGGCCACACGTAGAGGCGCAAAAAGAAATGCACTCGGAACAGCGATGAAAAAACAATTGAAATTGGACATTGGCTGCTGCCTTTCTGCTTTTCCTCATAGTCTCGCGAAATACATATTTCTTTTGCTTTGCCGTTTTTCTTCCCGTCTCGTCGCTTGTCTTCCCAGCTCTTTTCGTTCTCTCTCTCTCGCTCTTCGCTCTCTTCTTCTTTGCACATTTTTTTCTTTTCAAGTGTCTCGGTTTCGTGCGCTTTTCAAATGCATTTTTCGCTTAAAATACGCTCAATTCCGTTCGGTTTTTGTGCTTTTCCAGTTGCCGGCAACCGGGCGAGCGCTTTTCCGCAACTTTGCTCAATTTATTTGCACTTTAAGTTACCGTTTAACGCAAAATTTTAGCAGCGAGACAACGCGACACACACTTCAAAGACCTCCATTTTGTTTTGTTGTTGTACGCTAGAGGTGCAAGAAATCCGATTTTAACATCGATAAAATTAATTGAATTCTTTTCAGACATCGATTCCGTTCTTGGCACTGGAATCTTCCTGAAGGATTCCAGGAATAGCATTTAAAAACAGCTGACATTGATGCATTGATTTTTTGTTACAATTTTAAATATAAAATATTTTCATTCCTAAGCACCTATCTTTGGATGACAAACATCAAATAACAATAATTAACTTTATTTTAAATAACCTTTATTTTATTTCGATATATTGTTTTCCCCGGCAACCTTCGATTGTTTTTAATATCGACGTCTCATACTATAAACATCTGTATGGACTCAAACCACCTATAAGGCACTTGATACTGGACATAAACCTGACGTGTTGCGTTTACGATACGTATGAAGTAACGCAAGCATGATTTAAATTTTCTGTTCTCTCCACTTCAGTCAGAAGCAATTAAAAAACAATACTTTTTAGCAATTATTTTCGGTGCTACGCCACTTTCAGTCGTTTATTGGCTTGCTTATTGTCATCGTTAATTTCAGATTCATTTTCTTCTCCTAGTTCCGATTTAAGTCCCTCCATTTCATCGTCTGACTCGCTTTGGTCGTCCTCTGAGCTATCCGAGAATACGATGGGTCCATTTCCCTTTACAAACATAATGGTTTTGCCCAGACGACGCGACTCAGCCTTCAGGAAGAGCTGCCTGCAATGACGATCCACAGCATTCTTGCCTTGGTCCTCCGACAAGCCAAAAATATAGGCCCTTAAAGAAAATATTTAATGAGAGTTCAATTAACGACTAATGTCTAGCTCACAGATTGGCCACATCGTAGGGTCCCCTCAGCTGAAATTCGTGCGCTGCTCCGCTGCTGAAGATGATGTTCTTAGACTTTCCTTTAGTGCAATAGTTTTGAGCGATCTTTATCATGTCTTTCCTGTTATTCGAATCGACTATTGCCGGGGCGTATTTGATCTCAAAGAACATGCCGCGACGCACGGCCACCTGGTAGGCTTTTCGATTAACCATAAGCCGTGATCCTGCCACAGGATTGAAGGTTATCAGATCACCGTTGAAGGCCGTACAGCAATGCTTTAAATAACTATATTAAAAGATAGTAATTAGCTTTTTTTCAACTTACTGTCAAGGCGGCGTCGGTTTTGGGCTGGCCAGCGACTAGATTAAACTTTCGCAGATTGAGGGAGACACTCTGGAAAGCAGAATATGAAAGTGAAATCATCTAACAATTAGTAAAATCCTTTGACTTATCTTACCATTGCATGCGCCACATTGACATCCACGTAGAGAATTGTTATTCTCTGCAGGATTCTCAGCTTGTCCTTAAACTCCTTGCGCAGATGTTCGATTTTGTGGGGCTCGGGAAACATCTCGGATCCCCGTTTGCCGGCCTCCTTTTTGCTGTGGTCGAAACTCTGGTCGATGGCGATGGTTTTGTAGCCCACTAAAGTAGAACCCGCTTGAAATCAAGGAGGAACTGCTTTTAAACCGTTAAATCATACTCACAGTCCACAAGTTCGTTGAGCAGAGCTCTCATCACTTTGTCGTCCTTATTATAGGGAACGCTGAAATCGTAGAACGGCTTTGTTTGCTCCATTTTTGGGTTTGTTTTGTTTTTTGAAGACCCCAACGCGTGCAACTGGTGTATAGAGTGACCAGAGATTTTTGTTGTCCGAATGTTGCCAGAATCTGGAAACGGGCGTCTAGTATATTTTGTATGACCATTTTTAAAAACGGTCAAATTCAAATTTAATATATACGACTTTTTTTAAAAAACAAAAAAACGGATAAAACATTAATTTAATTTGAATAAATGAACTTTATTTTGTTTGGAAAAAAACTAGTTTATCTTACGCTGTCATTTATTTGGAACAAAGAATCACACTCGGCACAATTCAACAACTTGACTCACCCTTCGATGTATGAAGTTCGTAATATTAAGTAAATTAACTTAATTAGTTAGCTTGTGAGAAGTACATATATTTTAAAAAGAAGGTCGCAATTTTCCCTATAGCACTGAGTAAAAGTCAGCGTCAAAGCGGATCCTGCGAATCAACTGCAGTCGTCAGATTGCTGACCGGATTTCCGGATCCCTTTTGGTTGTCCTCCTCCGCCACGTGCTCCTCGAACTGCTTGGCCTTGGCCCGGCGGGATTTGATCAGGATCCCGTGGCCGGGACAGTCGCAATCCGTGCTGTAGCAGCGCTCCTTGCAGCACACCCGGCACAGCCGGAACTCGCACTTGGAGCCCTGCGGATTGGCGCACTCCGTGCAGTACTCCAAACGGCGCTCGTGGCGAAGCTGGATCTGCGCCTCCGTCTTGTTGGGTCTTCGCTGCCGCCGGCGCAGCTTCTTCATCCGCTTGCGGGAGATCTCGTTGCCGTCCTTGTCGAAGTACTGCCGCTTGGCTCGATTGGGATCCTCGGCCTCGCGCTCCTTCTCGGCGATCTTCTGGCGGTGGGATTCGGGTGAGGCGCGGATGTACGGCTGGCACAGCCAGGGAGCCAGCGGCAGAACCTGCGGGTAAGCAAAATAGTTACTCAAAAACCTCTCGAGTGATTACCCAGTCAACTTACATCTTCCCCTGATCCATCAGCCATTTCCTCGGGAACGTAAGGCACTTCTCCCTTGTGGAACGGCTCGTACTTCGCCTGCACCTTTTGCACCACTGCTTGGAATTGCGCCAGCTGGTTGGCAGTGGCGAGGCGTTCCCGCAGCTCCGAGTTCGGCCGCAAGTTCATTCTGAAGAGTGGAGAACCAAACACTCGGAACAGTTCCACTTTAACTTCTTGGTAAACTTACATGTGGTGGAAGAGCTTGAAGAGGTGTCCTCGCACGTAGGAGCTGGGACAGGGATGGAGCTGCACGAGCTCCAGGTACTCGCTGGCCATTTGCCAGACGGGCGGTGAGACTCCCTGGAAGATGGCCGGGTTGTGGAGGTTTCCCTCGGCGCTCATCACGCCGTCGACGCCCGTTTCCGCCAGGCAGCGGTGCACGTCTTCCAGTCCGAGGATGTTGCCGTTGGCGAACATGGGGATCTTGACCTGCTGCCGCACCTCTTTTATGTAGCTCCAGTCGGCCACCCCGGTGAGCGGACCCTTCTGCTCTCTCGTCCTTCCGTGGACCGTGAGCAGCTGGCAGCCGGCTGCCTCCAGCATCTTCGCGTACCTGATGGTCTTCTCGCGGTCCTCGAAGATGCGGATCTTGCAGGTCACAGGTACGGAGAGCTTTGCGTGCAAGGTGCTCACTGAAATTAGAGAGGGTTTAGATTGTAGGAAGACTAGCTCAAGCTCAAGTATTTCCACCCACCGATCTCCGTCAGCAGCTGCCACTCGTCCTGCAGAAAGGAGCCGTAGTGACCGCGCTTGGCGATGGCCTGCGGACAGCCCAAGTTGATGTCCACCGCGTCGCAGTGGTCCTGGGCCAGGAGAGCCGCCTCCAGGATCTGCTGGGCGTCGTTGCCGCAGAACTGGATGATCAGCGGCCTGTCCTCGGGACACGTCTGCAGCGCGTCCTTGCGGTACTTGGGGTCGGTGGCGAAGAGGTTGGCGTGGTACATCGGCGAGTAGCAGAGCTCGGCGCCGTACCGCCGGCACAGCATCCGCCAGGCCAGCTCGCTCTGGTCCACCATGGGTGCCACTACGTACCGCGGGGATCCCAAGGCGGAGCGGAAGAACTCGTATCCGCCTGGCTTGGTGGTAACATTGGCTGCCTCTCCGCTCTCATCGTTCACCATGGCAAGTTAGGTGGTCTTGGGTCTGTAAGAAAAGGGAAACTTTAACTATAGAATAATCTGTATTTGTTGAATTCGACTAAAATAGTAAATAAGGTAATATACTTTGAATTCGGATTGTAAAACCGAGGATGTAAGGGTGCGGAACCCGCTCTTTTTTCCATTTTCCAAAACATTACTCATACTGCCAAAGGGTTGACAAACGCCCGCAATGCAGCCAAATACTGTGGCTCATTTTTTAGTGGCTAGAAAGGGGCGGGGAGTTTTCCCGAGCCCCACGCATTTTCACAGCCAACTAATTAGCGAAACATTAGCGGCGACTGGGAGCGGCCGAGCGACTGCGAAAAAAGCCACTCACAGTTGGGCAAAGTCAAACAAATTTTCACTGAACTGTTGACAGAAGCTCGCAGGAGGAAAACAGAACCCAAGGGGAAACTAGGTGAGGTAAAGGTTTAACTTTGGCGCTGAATACCCACTTACTTGCCTTAAATTCCTTAGTGCATTTCAGCCTTTAATGTAACTAATTGTATAACTATTTTCTTACAATGAACATTTTCTTTGTTGCCTCTGAGTACGAGAAGTACGATAAGGTAGTTGGCAAAATTTCACTTTTATTGCAGATACAATTGCAATCGCAATCGCACTGACTGCTGATTGTTTGTGTTTGCTCTAATTATTTTGCTTCGACTGCCTCCGTCGGGTTTTCTCTGCCATCTTCTTTATCTGCCGCTTTCCACCGCCTTCCCCCGACAACATTTCACTTTTCCCCGCTTTTCGCTTTCGTTTTCGGGGCTTGGCCCAGCCAAAGAAGCGTGAAAATTGCGCTCTAAGTCAATGCACAGCAGCAGAGGCAACAATTACGAGCAACAACTAATTGAGTTATTCGAGTTGTGCATGCAACTCAACTTAAAGTTTAAACTTAAGCCCTTCTTTCCTGCTTATCGAAGTTTTCAACTTGCGTTTTCGGATCGGATCGCATGGTATAAAAGGTAGCAACAAAAGTCAATTTTCCTTAAGTACAGTGCGTTACGAGGTCATTTAGCTTTAAGTACCTGTTGTATCATAACTTAAGGATTACATCAGTGATAGAAATGGGAGATCCGTATTCCGGGTGTGTGTGAACTTGTTTGTATTCCAACTGAAGAAGCTGCCTTAGGCTTACGAAACGCACCTGCATCTTGGCACACCCGAAAACAGGTGACCCAGGCAGCCAGCTAAATACTTGCATAACTTGGCTCGATTGGAAATTTACTTTGGGCACACTTGCACACAAACACACACACACAAACACAAACAAAGGCAGAAGAAGTTTTTGCATTGCAAGTTTACTGACCGGAAATGGCATGCAAGTTTATCAATGGCGGACGGCAGATCCCATCTCCACTTTTTGGGTGCTTTCCCCCTCCCACCGCCTTCTGGTTTCCCAGGACTTTTCAGACTTTCCTGTTGCTTAACTTTTTTCGCTGACAATGCGCACAGAGCCATTTGAAGCCAGTGTCTGCGAGTAATTAAAGTTTAAATGGCCAGGAAACTTTTCCGCCCCTCGGAACGTAAATTGCATAAGAACTGAACCGAACTGAACTGAAGTGAAATGCATGGCCCGGAAAAGGGGCGTGGCTGCTGTTGCGCCGCCAGCTGTTGGCTTTGTCATAATTATGGCCAAATTACAACCAAGTTACCAAATGAGACGTCCACGGGGGATTACGAGGAGCGGGGGGGAAAGTGGCGAGGGAGGCTACGTTTTGAGGCTCTGGGCATTTTGCAATTAAGAACTTTCCCCAATCCGGAGGGGGACGAACAAGCCCGACTGCAACATGAACAAGTCTGTTCATGTCGGCGGATTGTGCAAAAAGTGATTTACAAGTTGCAACTAAAATTACATCCCCCATTTACAAAAAGTTTGACACAACAAAATAGTGAGTTAAATTTGACCAAAGAATAATCTACACATTGCAATGTGTTAGCTAATGATGCACTATTAACTGAAAATGTGTTTCTCCAGGATCAATATGGTGTAATCGAATAGATTTGAAGATCCGATTACTATGGACTGACTCTGTCGGGCACTTTTTGATCCCTTTTATCCTCTTCTAAATGCACTGCCAGCTGAGTAAATTATGTAATTCCTGACTGATTCAGTTGGCCAGCCGCAGGGTGGCCAAAACCGCTGTGCAAAATGCGCAATGGCCGAGACCGCAGACAATTGCACTTGGGCTCCCATCTCCCCCAGCTGGCGGCCAATAATTGAATCTGCGGCATGACGCCGGCAATCGCTTTTCAAAGCTTTCGATTTCTGCGGAGCCAGGCAAAGATAATTAATAATTTCCGCACCAATTAAGACGCTCCAAGACCAAGTGCATGGCCAAGGCAATTGGGGTTTTCACTGGGAGATACCGCAGCCAAAAGGGAGGCACTGGAGCATGGAGGTACATCGGCCACGCCCACACAACTACGCTCCTCGCCTGCGGGGAAATTGCCAAGCCCCGGGTGCTCCTTTTCCAATTTTCGAAATAGCTTTTCGGACGGGCAGTGTAATGTATTTATTTAGTGTTAACCTTGCAGCACGTTGTTCACTGGTCATAAAAAATTCAAAACTTGAATCGAAAAGGCACGCTCACTACAAAATTGCGGGCAGGGATGGAAAAGCTTTGGAAAAGCTATTAACTTAGAAAGAGTTTAGGGTACTCAATTAATAAAATCATAGTAAATCAGTATTTAATACTTATGATCAATGGTTTCATTTAAAGGGAAATAATAACTAAATAGGACTTTCAAGTTTCTGTAGTTTTGAATGTACTTCCAAATCAACTTTTCCATATCCCTGGACTGGCAGATAAAGCTGACATATTAGCCGGGGGCCATGGGAAAAGTGCAGACGCTGACAACTGCCACGCCCCTCTGGCGCCTCCGAAGTAGCAAAACCCAAAGCTCAATCGAATCCTGGAGGCCACTCCACTTCAGACTGCAGACGAAGGAAGCTCGATAAAAAATTGGTAATGCGAAAAAATGTGAATTAACTTGCTTGCCATTCAACGAGGCGTTAAATCCTTTCAACCAACATAAATGGTTTGGAATGGGGATGCGGGGTGGGGGATGAGGACGGAGGTAGGAAGGAGGAGAGGAGGAGTACAGGAGGAGGGGAGGGGGGTGACCTGCTGAGCTTGCTATTTCAACTCTGCCATCTTCTCTTCTAATTCTTTCATGTGGTTGTGTTTTTGGGTGGGCTCCCCCAAAACTCAGACGAGGAATTCAACGGTTCCTCACCGCCATTTACTTACACTCAAAGAAAAGAGTATCTCTCTGAGTTGGGAGAGAAAAGAATTTGAAGAAGGGAGATCATTTAAGTTAACTAATGAAATAGTAAAAACTACAGCTTTTTAACTTATTGTTTTTTCTTTTTTTTTGGCTTTTGGAAGTGTTTTTCTGGAGACGTCGGCTGCTGTGTCTTCTTCCATTCCCCCATTCTCGCTGTTTTATTGCTCGACTTGCTTTACATTTGTTTCGCTGTCGAACTTGTGGCGCGACAGGCGAAAAGAAAGCAGAAGAAGAAGAAGAAGGGGGCAAGGAGTCAGCAGGAGACAAACACACTCGGAATAGCGATGCCAGCTCCGAAATATGACCTCATTTCCACACACTCGCACTCACTCTCTCGAGGGCTTCCCAGCGGGAAAAAGATGTGGAAAATATGCTATTTTTCAGTGGTTTCTTCATACAAGCGGAAGGGCAAAAACCTCCTTCACCCCTTACATTTTTGCCGTCTCTCCTTTCAAAATACACGGGGGTGACACACAAAAGGAAGGGGTAAAGGAGGTTTGCAGGCCAAAAACCTGTGGATGCTCTGGCTGCTGAAAGCAGGGCAAAATCCAGTGGACCTACGGCTGCTGAATGCAGGGCAAAATCCAGTGGACCTACGGCTGCTGAATGCAGGGCAAAATCTAGTGGACCTACGGCTGCTGAATGCAGGCCAAAATCAACTGGTTTTTGTCCTTCCCGCTTTACAGAATTTCCACATGTAAAAAACAATACTTTTTAATTTGGTATATGCATTTATTAATCTATATACAGTCCAAGGACCTTTGTCATAAGTATTTTTGTATATTATATTTTTTGCCTCAGTGAACGATGAACGCAGATCATCTTGATATTGGCGAAGACTGTAATTGTCGTTTCTGAGTGACTCTGAAAATAAAAACCATAATATATTAATATATAACATATTAATACAAATCAAAAAATATATAAAAAGTATTGGGAAAAATAGAGAAATTTAGAAAAACAAGTATACTTACCATACAGTACGTTGGAGAAATTATTATATGAATTTAAAAAAAATGTAACTACATAGTAACAAGCAAGGCTATTTAAATTTATTAAAAATGTAGTGAGTACTTACAAATGCTCCTGGATTGGCTTCGGCATCGGAGTCCAAATGGCCGAGTTCTTGAAATGATGAAATCGGAAATGCCCGCTTGCGCACGTTCAGATTTGCCATTAATATTGATATATGGGCCAGAATATTTGATGTCGAATCTATTACAAATTTTATGAAAATAAACATTTGTTTGTTCTTGTGAAATTTAAAATAAATTTAAATAAAAAACTTACTTACTTACTTGACAACCGCCTCTGGCGGCTAATATTTAGTTTTCGTAAAAATGCTTATGTTCACCATATCCGTAACGCTGAAATAAGGATATACAAACAAAAATATTTATGTTATAACTTACCTTTATCTTGTTTTTTAGAATAAACTTAACTTTTTTCACTTTTGACACATTTTGCACGACATTTTATACTGATGTGACCGTGCATATTCTGAAGAAAGACAATAATTAGTCACAACTTCGTTGTAACTTAAGGTCATATTCAGAAACCCACCCCATTTAGCGGTCCGAAATTTTCTACTCCTACCGCTACGCCTGCTAAAAGAAGCAGGTTTTCAAGTACTCTAAAAACCTCCTTCCCACTTTCCCGCTGGGTTTCCACGAGTTTTCTTCGAATTACGCACACAGTGAAAAGTTTACAAAAAGAATGGAAAAAACTACACAACTAGAAAACGATTGTAATGCCACATACTCTAGCAGAGGGTATTTAACATTTCTCTCTCACCAGCAAAAGCGTTTAATTAAATTCGAAAAGTGAATACATTTTTGATGAACATAAAATAAATATAATATGTGGTGTTGCCCCACAGGGCATTTAAGCCTCGACTCCCCCAAAATAGGTTAGCAGCCCATCTTTTCTCTTACTCAGCAAGTGCATTGAAATTTGAAACTTCAAGTGGTCAAGGATGGTAAATGGGTTTGGCAGAAAATGGGTTTGGGGCGCCATTGGTTGTGGTCTATTAAAGCGCAGGCTTGGTCAGCAGCACCACCACTCCCTCCCCGGAAAACTACACCCCGCTTAACATGCAACTGGCGACTCCCAGTGGCGTGATGGCGATCAAATTGAAAAAAAAAACTCTTTGCGTGCAGCCACAAACACAGAAAATAGAGGCACTCACAAAAACATTCAGCAAGGCGGCAGCTACAACTACAATGGAAAATAGCACGACAAGCGAAAAAATACACATGTAATGAAAATTGTTCCCAGAACTGACTATTTTATACTGCTCCCCAATTGGCATGACGCACTCTTGCTATCATCATATTCGGATGGCCGCGAGTGTGTCTTAAATGTCGGTGAAAAGTGATTAAAGTTGTGCTGATAAAATATCAATAAGCAAACAGTCAGTTTTATATTCCAACAACCCAATTACTAATGAATGGACGAATAATATTTACTTTCAATTAATTTGGAAATCGATTGTTTCGTTGCCTGCTTTTATAATTGAACAGTAATGGTTTTTCTTCACTATTATCTTTCTTTGTGAATCCTTCTTAATATATTTTTGTGAACGTCCTTGGCTAGCCATAAATTAGAAGGTTTCTTCCCACTTAGCGAACTTGGCCGACCAACTTTTTATTCCCACTGCTGCTTGAAAACAAAATGGGTTAATGGGCGGACTTTTGAAGCCCCGCTGGATGTCACCGCTTAATCAAGTGCAGGGGAGCTGCCTCCACATTTGGGGCAAATGCCAGTTACGTCTGGCATTTCTTATGCAAGCGGGTCAAAGTCAGGGCACTTGGCTCAGCTGGAGGTCCCGCCTCCCCATCCTCTGAACTCTTGTGCACCGAAAAAAAGAATGCATTTCAAGCAAAATTTAGATGGGTGTACCTGCATATCCATTGGATATTATTTCTATCTACCTTTCAACACAATTCGCACATGAAGTTTCGGATGATAATTGAAATAATTGTAAAGGTTTTCCAGTGTTCCTGCTGGCCAAGTACGCTGGTCGTCCTGTATGTATAATCCATTTGCTGACGTAATAAACCATAATAAAAGGCCGGAGCGCGTAACAAGCCCGCATTGTGCCATTTCAAGGACAACGATGGCAGTTTTTCCCCCAAACGAGGGGGGAAAGCCGGAGGCGGAGCTGTGGCGACAATTTGGCGTCTTCGGCTGGGCGTTTCCCGGCATCTCGAGACAATTGAAATGGGGCCAAGTTACGAATGCAGGCCCCATCATTTGGGGCATAGAATGTGCATAGAACGAGCTCTTTGTTTGGCCTGCACTCAAACTTTCGAAGGGTCACAACGGGGGCCGCCTGCTTAAATATGCCACGTTCACCTGTAACCTTTGCAAATTGGTTTATTAATTAATTCCCTGCGCTCAGGTCTCGGGTTGAGGGCTCTCCGTTCTCGCGCTTCCTCGTTTTCCAGTCGCCAGCTCTTTAATGTTGTTTGCACACTTTTGATGAAATTTTATTACACACAGCTCATTAGGACTAATGATGCTTGTTGCCTGTCAGCCTTGATTCGCATCAGCTTACACAGAAAAAAAGTTGTGGGGTGAGCAAAAGGAAAGAGTTTTGTAATACAATTTCGGAATCTTGTAGAGGGTGATATAGGTTATAAAAAATATAAGATACATAAAGCAATTATGCGTGGAAATTTGCACTAGGTATTTCTCTCTGTGCAGGGAAACTTGAGACGAGAGCCGTAGCCCGAGAATGTGGATAAGGAGGAGGAGTCTGGGATCCAACTGCAGTGACGATAATGAAGGGCTGACAGATGGCCTTGCTTGACATACAGTATTGAGAACATATATACGGTATCCGGAGGATCCGGGGATCCGTGGACGGGTGTGTGTGCGTTCGCCTGTCTGCCTGTGCACTTAATTATATTTATATGCCCAGACGATGACGATGACGTTGACGGTGACGAAGCCAGCTGAGACCAAATGGCCAAATTGAACGTGAATTCCACTGATTGACTTTCAGACAGAACGAGGTAGTCGGGGAACTAGAAAGGGTTGGGGGAAGAGAGAGTTTTCCTTGGAAGGCAATTACTTAGTCAGAGTCGCTAAAGTAGTCAGCACCTTAAGCCAGATTTTCAGAACCAGAAAGTTTTCGTGCTAACAGTTTAGAGCAGGCTTCAACCCTTAAGGGGGCTTCTCATGTAAAATTTAAAAAAAATCGAAATTTTTTTTTTTTCATAAATCGATAGAATAACGTCTTGAGAGTATATTCCCGAAGTTTTATGACTCAACTCTCAATATTATGGAAAATATCAGTGATTGAACGAGCGCGCTCAAGTTCAAGACCCACACTAACTCAAAACTTTAAATCGTTTTTTCTCAAAACTATCTTTTAAAAAACGCGGTACACGATTACGGAAAATCTACTGAACCGATTTTTGATTTCTAAAAAGTGTTTTGCAGATTATACATTGATCGAGTGCGTGAATATCTGAAATTGTGAAAAAAAGTTATTTTATACACTTTTCAGCCCAATTCAGCAAAAAAAAGACGAAAAAATGGCACTTTTTTTTCAAGACGTGATTTCAATATTTTAAAATCGAATTTTTTGAAGTGGCTGACATTCACGCACTCGGTTGAACCTTGCTGCATACAAAAAAATTTTTTTTTGTTTTTTTCAGATGAAAACTTTTTGCTCCACACTGTACCGCAATAAGTCCCTCAGCCGCGTCGAGCCACACGCGACCTTGAATAAGTCCGCCATTTTGTTTTTTAGAATTTTCAAAAAATGTTTTTCTCATACCTTAAACATGTCTTCAAATATGTGCAAAAAATTATTCGTGTAAGTTTTCATTTTCCAAGTGAAAAAAATTCCCAAAAAACCACTACTTTTTGGCATGTTACATGAGAAGCCCCCCTTAAAAAAAACTAGTTCACTGCAGTGTTTATTTTTAGCCCTCTTCACAAGTTGAATGCTGAAATTAGAGTTTTTTCCCCTTTTTGAACCCACCACTAAAACTAAAACAAGAATCGCTCCTGGAAAAAAGTGTTGCCTACTTATCAGGCGTTGCTCAATTAGTCGTCCCTTCTATGTATGAGTATAGACGGCTGGATTTGGTTGTTTGTGGTGTTGCCAAAGTGATGCTCAGACACCTACAGCAGCGCCCAAAATAGTAATTATTTCTGAAAAAAAAAAAAAAAAAACAAAAATTGTACATTAACTGATCCCCTTTCATTTTGTTTTATACTTGGATAGGATACATATTTTTAGCGAGCCTATTGCTATGGCCGCAGCTGTGGCCACACACACCCGCAGACAAGCACTTAGGTACTCCCAAAACGATACATCCTTGGGCACTCACGAATACCCACTCCTTGTGTTTATCTGCTGCAAAGTGAGGAGCAAACAAACAAGCCAAATGACACGTACCCATAAATCCCCGACGTTTTATTGCCAACGCGTTAAGCTCTGCGTGTGTGTGGGTGGGTGTGCTGTGTGCCTGTGTGCGTGCCAAGGTGTGAGCGAGTGTGGAGCTGCGTGGGTGTGCGTGTATGTCGTGTGTGTGATTTGTTTTGGAGAGGCAAACACACGACAGAGAAGGCAAACAGGAAACATAAAATGCCAACAACAATTTACTTTGTTAATTTACGTACGAGTATTTGCATAAATAATAAAAACAACATGCCAAAGGATGAAACAATAAAAGGGAAGCACAATAAGAAATTTTGTTACTTTCGATAGAGTTCTCGGGAAATTCCCTCAATCCCGTTCGATTATCGATTATTGGTGGGGTAAATTGCTGGGATTCGAAGGAACCTAACAATTCTCGAACCTATAATCTCACTTAAATTCAGTTCCGAAATTGAAAGCTTTCGAAACAAAACCAGAAATTAAATTGCTCATAAATTTTTGTACTCGACGGCACTTAAATGCAACCAATGTTCGCAATTAAGTGGGTAATAAACCGTTGGTTTACTTAAATATTCCTCATAATAATGTATACGCAACGTGAAATCAACACAATGATAAATAAAAGAGGGAAGAATGCGTAGTACCACTCATAAATAAGGCAGAACGGCTATAGTACTACTTTAAAATTACTTCAAACAACTTAAATGAAAATTACTTGCCTGGAATCGAACCACTTGGAAACCTCAAAATTGCGCATACGCAGCGTGGACAGCCGCAGATGACGGGGAGAAGGGGCGCAAATGCCGCACAGTGCCTCTGAACAAACGATGGAGGTAACTCGACCATAATGACCGCAACGTGGAGCAAATTCAGCAAACGGAGCCACTGCTCACGATGAAATTGTCAACACGTCCGGGGCAATACTCGAGTCCCAAAGCCGTCAGAGGCCCCACAAACTACTCTCGGTTTGGCTGGCCTGGTAAATATTTAAAATGCCAATGAAAGGGGTCAGAAGCGACCCCTGAGCCACGACAATCAGCGATGATGACCCACCCATTTGCCACCTGGTGGCCAATGATAGTTTTATAGCCAGCTAGTTGTTGCCACTTTTGTTTGCTCGCTGGCGTTTTTATTACACTTTTCTGTCCTTGCTCTTTTGCACATTCAACTTATAACGTTCCGGAGAACGTTTCCATAGTCACTTACTTCTAAAGGGGCGGCTTACGTAAAGTACTAGCAAAAATATCAAACGAAAATAAAGTTACATTTATTTATTTCAGATTAAACCAGTTTTATACTTATTTTATATGGTACAAAGCATTGCCCCAAATCCACTAAATTTCAACTCGTTTCTGTAGCATACTTATTTGGGTTTGCTTCCTTTAAATGTCTCTCTACTTTTCGCTTACTCGTAAATATCTTTCTATTTCGTTTTCATTTAAATTTGTTGGTAATGGACTTTGTTAACTGCACAATTTATCAAAATATATTTGTTTTTGCTTTGTGCTTTTCATTTCACATTCGATTGGCTGGGCTAAATTAATACAATTATTGTTTCGTTCTTCAATCTTTTATTCGGTTTCTTACATTCCTTTTCCTATCTCCGTGTTTCCAGTCTCATACACATTGTTATTTTCCTCAACTTTTCTTTGTTAATTTGTTTAAGCCTAAGTTACAGGAAGATCTGCCCACAAATCGGTTCAAGGGCCTATCTGGAAAGTCATTAACTAAATTGAAAAGCATATCAGAATCAGAGGAGGCGAGGCGGTCGGTCCGTCGGTCGGTAGGTCGGTCGGGTCGGCCACCTATGTCTATGTGCTCCGCATATTCCACCTGACTGGGAATTCAACAAAAGAGTGCAGGAGTTCGTTGAACCAACGAAAAAGGAAAGCAAAGCAACTGAAAATGTCATTGCAGGGCGCAAGTCGAAACAAAAGGCGTGGGCCTTTGGGGGAGTGGCACGTCGGCAGGTCGCCAGCCCAGGTGGAACGGGGTCCGGAGTTAACCCAACCACCACTGCTAATAACAACCCGGAGCGCAGGTGGAGGTGGAGCAGCTGGGCCGAAGGCAACTGTCTGCACTGATGAGACATCGCACCCAATTCGGGCCCCATCAATCATAATTCGTTTGCATAGAGCCAAGCCAAGTGGGCGAACCTCTCCTGCAGGCGACCTGAGAAATTAGACAAATTTTCGAGAAGGCGTTGCTGCCACACTGCGAGAAAAAGCCATTAAAGTCACTCACTGGTTGCTTTAAATTCAACCAACTCATTACTCACGGTTTATCCCAGTGCTTCACTGTGTCCCAGCCAAAAATGCAAAACATTTTCGGTTTGCATGTCAAGGCAGTATTGAAACGGCAACAAGAAATGTTTTATAATTGATGCACGGCAATATAACCTGGGCAACAACAACAACAACAAGTGGTCATGACAACAACAACAGGGAGTTGCATTTGTTGCCATAGGGAAAGTCAGTCAAGTGGGAGAAGCCCCCGCCCGGTTCTAGATGGAATATTTGTGCTTTATGTCTCGTAAACAAACTTCACAAGCGGGAATCGAACTGAAAAATCGAGGGCGTTGCCTGGCAGTTCTCCCTAGCCCCTTTCGGGGGCGTGGCCACAAGCCAGGAGCCAGCGAACATGACACGAACATGCAATTAAAGTCGAATATATTTTTATACAAATAAATACGCACAGACACATCCGGTATTTCTGTTGGCACTGCGTTTGCACATCCATATGAATACCTCCGCAGCGGAGTGAAAGCATTCGCGCTGGAAAAAAACCGAAGTCCTCCAGGTGTCTCCGGGACCTCAGGTGCATGCACACGGACAGACGCCTTCGGAGTGTGACTGAATGACCAGAAGGGATGGCCAGACAGCCGGATGAATGTGTGTAGTTCGGATACATGGGCGGCAACAGCTCAGCAAAGGCGAGAATCCGGAAAAAAGTCTGCCATTGCAAAAGATTGCGCGAGGCAGAAAAAAGAGCAAGAGATAGCCACTTTGGTGTTTCCTATTTAAAATTCAAATTTCAGCAAGCTTTTGTGCTGCACAAAGTCTGCAAAGAGTGAAGAAAAACTCTTGGGGGCAGAAAAGAAGCAACAAAATGTTTTATAAAGCGAACTTGCAAAACAAAACAATGGGAAACAAGTTTAAAACTCTCCACCAGAGAGAAGTCTAAAGATAGTTATAAGGCATTTGTATTCAGAGTAGTTCCCTGTCGTTTTCCAATTCCGTAATAAAACAAAACACGCAGGGAATAATGAATGTGGCGCACATGTCGGATACGTAATGAAGCGCGGCGGCTTCTGTGTTCGTGTGTTCTCAGGCAGCAGGTGCAGCTCCCAATGTTAACGCCAAGTGCCATCAAATTAAACATTTTCGCACACACAAACACACCAACACACATACACGCAGGCACACCCACACATGCACACCGATTGTGAGCCGCAGAAGCGCCCTCAAAAGTATGCAGCGGGTTTCGCTGGCGGAAATGAACGAGGCGAAATGAGAAAGGCAAGAAATTGTTGCTCCAGCTGTCAGTGGAGCCAAGTCTGCATTGAAAATCCATTTATAGTCGTTGCATTATGTTATTTTCAGTCATTTACCAGGCGTCTGTCCGCTGTCACTGCAAACGAACCGAACTCGAAGCGAGGCAACTGCAGAAATGCATGTCAGTCCGCCGGAAGTCGCGTCTTTTCAGATACGGGCTCAATGACTCCCCGTCCCGCTCCCCCCCATCCCCCGTCTCTTTCTAACCCCATCGCTGTGTTGGCTATCTGTGTGAGGCAGCCGTATTTGCAGTCGAGTCGAGTTGATTTGCCGTGTGTGGCAAGAACGGGGTCTCTATAATTAACTTGCCATTTATTTTGGCCCCAATCCGCCGACAGAGTGACCGAAATACTTGCGAAATGCACAAGAAAGCTGAATTAGTTAATTGGAAAGTTGGCTAAGGGAACACGGAACAAGTGTCAAAGAACCAGGCCATGTGACAAGAATGTTTTCAGCGTTATTTGCACACCAACTTATATTAAACCCATTTAAAAACGGTCCCAAGACTTTGCTGACTTGCAACAACGTTGTTAAATATTAAAACTAATTCAGTTTTCAATCTCTTATTAAATGCAGTTGGAGCAGCAAGCAAACTTAATAAACGAGTTAACAAAGTGAAACTATTTAAATGCCCAAGATACCCAAGAAAACTTTGGATTATGTCCTCATAAGCTAGGGGATGCCATTAAGAGCAGGAATAGTTGAAAGTGGCAAACGAACTCTACTCTAGATTCCTGTTTAACTATTTAACCAGAAAGTTTGTGAGAAGCTTTACCAACTTTGAAAGCAAATTAATCATGGTTTCTTGTTAATGGACATTTGTTTTGAGTTGCCTGAAGTCTAGTAGTTGTTCTATACCATCATCTATTTATGCTTTTTAGGTGGCATTAAGTACTGCCTCTTCACGTGACCTTTAATATTTTTAATATTTAATATTTACTAAGGTATTTTTAGAGGCCACTGAAACCATTAAAGACACGTTCGACCTCTAGTTGGCATTCTGTGATTCAGGTTGCCATAAATTGATTCGGACTGGTCACAAAAAATCTAATCACACTCAAGCCCGAGCCACTCAACGGACAGTTTGCGTACTCAAAGCGAATCGTTTGCAGCAATCCATCTGTCTGATACACCGGCCACTCCCACTCCCACTCGTAACCCCACTCCTGCTCCACATGCTCCTCCGCTGGTTAAAAATGGACTCCTCCCGCTGTCAGTTTCAATAACGCCAACCGCCGACTGCCTGGGGGGCGGCGATAAAAACCAGTGGCACCACCTGAAGCCCGGAGTGTCATGTGCGTAGTCGTTATGGCTGTCTATCCGTCCATGTGGCATAGGAATAGTATCCGTGCTTTTAGCCGGGCAATCCCCGATAGCTGTCTGTCTGACAATCGAGCAGGATGAGCGGTGAGCTCAATCCAATGCCGCCTTTCAAATTTGACGCACTTCCCCTTCCCCGCCCCGTTCAGGTCATGTTTTTCTTGACTTGTGCGGCATTAATTATTCAGCTCGGCATATTTAATGGGCCCAGCGACAGTCGTCAAAATCAAGTTTAGAACCCATGACAATTGCCATCGGCAGTCGGTTGGGCCTGCTTCCCTGCATTTGAATTTAAATCGAATGAAAACATTTGCGTAACAATTTGGCAACATGCTGCAGTGGTGCCCTCGTCCCCGTTTCCCCTGCTTTGCAGCCGGATACACAGCCTCACGGATTCAGATACAGATACAGATACGGGCGGGGATTCAGCTGCAGATACAATACGTAATCACCCGACGCCTTCGCTACACGTTTTCCAAAATGAAAATCAATACCAGCGAGGAGCGGGTGCGTCAGAAAGAGTGAGCTCTGGGGGGAAGTCACCCAACTCCCAAACTCCACGACATGCTGTTGCATATTTTATCAATTCAACTGCAAAGTCATTCACTGGATGCCAAAGACACGTTTAGTTTGGGGGAAATGCAGTCAGGGACTAACGATGCCAACGACGAAGTTCCGGATGGAGCAACGGGAGCTCAAAGCAAATGCCAGGCATTCATCCAAAAATTCCCTCGGACGAAGGGGAAGAAAGCGCTTCAAAGGATAACGCTTGGAAAATATCAATTTATCCAAGCATAAAATGAAGATTTACAAAAACAAAGCACATTGCACTTCAGAATGCAGCTGGAAAAGCTTTAACAGAACGAAATAACCGCTTCTACTTGAGATTTTCTTAGTAAGACTAGAGCTATAAATCAAAAGTTAAGAACCAAAGTAAGTCTCTGAAAAATTGTTATGAGTAAGGAGCCTTTGTGGATAGCCCTCACAATTCCATTGACTAATTGATTGGACCAGTTTAAATTTGTTTAGTTAATAAGCTAACAAAATACGTCAAACATAAAACATTCCGTCTGACCAAACGTCCTGCAAGAAATTCCCTGTTTCCCATTACCTATTCCCATCTGACTCTCAATAAATCAAATAAGCAGTTGGCCAACTCAAACAAAGACGCCCCGATCGAAAGCGGTAATTAAGTTGGCCATGAAACCGCTTCGCTTCACAGGCAATTTCCTTTCCTGGCCCTGACAGCCCGCCACCTACCACCCACTCCTCCTCGGGCTTAATTGATTCCAGTTATGACTTTCGATGCCTATTTGCGGATTAATTGATTTCCGGAACTCCTAACCTAACCTAAGCACTAAGCAGAAACCAAGACACCGGACACTACGTCTAGGTGCTGCTCGAATTGGAGCTGAGGCTCTGCAGGGAGCTGTTCGAGGCGGTCTTCCTCAGCGTTTCCCCCGCCAGGCTGCACAGGTTCTGGACCAGTAGCGCCGAGGGGTGTCCGGATCCCGCGTTGCGGCTCAGCAGCGGCGAGGACGTGGCTTTGGCCGGGTTGGAGTTCGAGGTGGCTGCGCTCTGGTGGAGGTGCCTCAGGGGCTGCGGCGACGTGGGGTTCGAGAGGCCGGACTCGTGGATGGGCGACAGGGTGGGCGAGCGGGTCCGCAGGAAGTGCTTCCTCCTCTGCCGCCGATAGACGTTCCCCAAGCTGGGCAGCGTGCGGCTGTTCGTCTGGCTGTGCTGGCTCTGCTGCAGTCCGCCGCCGGCGAAGCCTAGGGTCTCGGCCAGCTCGGCCAGCTCCTGGCTGGTCTGGTGCATCTTCCGCCTCGTCGGCGGCGGCAGGGCGGGCGGCAGGGTCAGCGTGTAGGTGGTCACGCTGTCGTCCCTGATCACGGACGTGGGCAGCAGCATCAGCTCCTTGTGGCCGCACGAGGGACTCGTGCTGGTGCAGCTGGTCAGCTCGCTGCTCTCCAGGGAGCTCCTGCTCGGCGAGCTGGCCGGCGGCGTGGGCGTGGCCGTGGAGGCGGCATAGCCTCGCCCAGCCGCCTGCAGCTGCAGCGGACGAATCTGGTTCTGTTTGATGGCGGAGCCGCCGTGGTTCTGGTGGTCCTTGCCGGCGACTCCGTGGTGCGTCCCGTGGCGACAGCGGGGTCTTCGGTAGCGTCCCAGCATGCGCAGCATGTGCCTCAGTCGGGAGCTTCTGGGCGGCGTGGGCGTGGCCGTCGCAGTTGCCTTCAGGGGCAGCTCCTGGTCCAAGCCGCCGTTCAGGGTGCGGATGAACTGGATGGGCAGCTCCTGGGCGTTCAGCTTGGCCGCGGCGGCCGCCTCCTCGCGCTCGCGGAACGTCAGGGCGGCCAGGAGATCGTTGGGCACATCGGGACTGTCCGGCACGGAGGCGCAGCAGTTCCATTTCCTGCGCCAGCGTTGGTGCTTCGAGATGTTCCCGGCCGCCGTCGCCGAGGAGGAGGATCCCCCGGTCTGGCTGGTCAGGGTGCGGGTGCTGCTGCTGCCGCCGGCGCTGCTCACGGCTCCCGAGGAGCCCGCCGCCCCGGATCCCCTCCGCAGGCGGAAGGTGCAGAGGGTGCACTGCTCCGTGTACTGCAGGTAGGTCGCCGGTCGCTGGGGACGCGGCTCCGCTGAGATCAGCGATCCCTTGGCCACGCTCACCCGCCGCTGCACGGAGCTGGCCGCGAAGCTGGAGCAGCAGTGGAAGCTGCTGAGCGTGTCCTGCTCCACCTGCACCTGCGGCACCGCCTCCTCCAGCAGCGAGCAGACGTAGATGGCCTGCCGGCTCTGGTGGAACTCCCTGGAACTGGCGCAGCAGTGCAGTCGCAGCGATTGCTCCGTTTGGCCCACGGCCTCCGGCGACTGCTGGCCGGGATGAGGGGCACTGGAGCAGCAGTACAGCTGCTGGCCAGCCGGCAACGACTTGGACGGATTGTGCGACTCGGGCAGGGAAGCCGAGAAGTGAACGCCTCCGTTCTTGGCCACCTGGCTGGGGGCTCCGTCCAACAGCTGCTTCGCCTTGGCCTCCTGCGCCTGCCGGTGGTTCCTGATGTACTCGTACGTGGTCAGGCCCAGGAACGAGATGTAGATGTGAAAGAAGCAGAGATGGAGCAGCAGGCCCGCACTAACGGCGGCCAGCAGTCCCAGGACTCCCAGGAGGAGCAGGAAAATGGTCTCGTTCACGCCGATTCCCCCCACCACAGGCTGGGTGACCGTGAGGTTGGTGAGGCTGATCCCCGGCTGCGTGGTGCTGGCCTCTATCAGGGCAGTGAAGTTCTCCAGGAGCGTGGGCAGTGTGGAGATGGTCAAGTTGGCCAGCTCCTCGTCCGCCCTTTCGGCACGTTCCTCCTCCGGCTGCTGCTCCATCAGCATCATGGTGCCGTTGCCCAGGCTCAGGGTGATGTTTATGTAGTCGCCGCCGTCCAGCGGGTGGCTCGTCTCCGCCCCGGGGCCGCCTATCCGGCACCAGTAGAAGCTCAGCCACTCCGGCTGGACGTAGTAGAAGACGATCTGGGCCACCACGGCGGCCACAATGACCAGGGTGGCCACCACCGCGCTGACCACGCACATCAGAAAGGCCACATAGTTGCGGGACCCGATGCAGTGGTTCAGCCACTTGCAGTGGTGGTCGAACTTGCCCACGCACTTGTTGCACACGGAGCAGTGCTTGGTGCGGCTCGAAGAGGTGCGGATGTTGCACAGGTGGCACCGCCCGTTCTCGATCACGTGGCTGTGCTTCGTGCGGTCGAACTCCGGCACGATCCGGTCGTTGCGGTGCACCCGCCGCAGCTCCTTGTCCGCCGGATCTGTGAGCAGCGCGGTCAGGTGCGAGGCGATGTGCACCAGGTAGAGGCCCGTGATCAGACCGTAAAGTGGTCCCTGGAAGGGCGCATGGAAGGCCGGGATGAGCACCCAGTAGCTGGCCACTCCGAACAGGAGCAGCACCAGCCAGCCAAACAGCTGAAGGGGATGCAGAGGCAGCTGGAGTCCGTGGAGGCGTCGCCCCTTCCGGTGCTGCACATCGGCGATGTTGTTCTGGTAGCTCACCAGCTGCGATAGCCGACAGAGGTGGCGGTGCTTCCCTGGTTCCTTAAGCTGTGCTTCCGGGGTGATAGCTTCTTGGTTAGCAACGCTGCCCAGGATCTGGGGCCCTCTTACTGGGGTGACTACTCCCTTGACGGGCTCCTCGCTGCCCGACTCCGTCAAACTGGCAGTGCTGATGGTTATGATGTGGTCCGTGGTCTCCGGCGTCCTGACTCCGTTGGCTCCTTTGGGTGCCGGCTTCAGCCCTGCTGCTGATGTGGACATCGTGTTGTTGGGTCCGGAGAAGATGGCTCGGATGATAGTGGTAATGAAGATGATGTATGAGTGATGAACGTTCCTGCTTGGCAGCTGAACATTACATTTGATGCTTAGCCACGCCCTCAACGGATGATGCAATCCTTCTGTGGAAGGGCTTCATATAATTCCCAAGCGGTTTTTTACCATATTAGACGGATTTACTTTCTGTGTTTGATTAATTTAAATGCGTAAATTTAACGCTTTAGTTTAAATTAGTATTTAACAGTTCTTTTATTTTGCTTAATTGGGATTCCACTTGGGGTAAAATATTGAACATTTAATTTCGTGTAAAAAATATTTCTTTTTGTGTTTACTGCTTTTCTTTTTTATCTTTCAAAGTCCAAGTTCGACATTTTATTTGATTTATTAAATGTCCTTATTTACCGTTTTGTCTCTATTTACATTGTCTGGCTTTTATTGTTACTGCTTTTTATTGGCTTTCTCTTTTACAGACGCAAACTTTTATTTTTATTTATATCTCCATCTTCACTTTTGTTTGTTTTTTTCAAACTTTTTTTTTTGATTTTGAGCTCCCTTTTTGCACATACACACACACAATTTAATTGTTTTGCGTTTGCTATTTTCTTTTTGTTGTTGCGAATTGTGAATGGCGCAGTTAACGGTTCATACGTGAGCGTATTTTGTTTTTCTCGCTTTTCTGCTCAAGTCCTTTTTTTTTGTTTGTGGCTGTGAGGGGGTGGTTACACTGGCAGCGGGCGCATAAAAGCAGGATGGTCGCCACCCCCGTCCGTTACTCTGTTATTTTTCTTTTTTGCGGGATTCCTGCTCTATGATTTCCTTTTTCGTTTTGCTACTTATTCGACTCCCACCCACACGGAGGCAGCCTAACGCATACAAAGGCACCGACACGTCGCGAGTTAAAATAACAGTAAAAAGGCGACGGCATTCGCGGTTACCGTTACTCGAGCTCCCCGAAACGGACAACCGACTCCTTCAACCGACGCGACCAAACGAACCAACTTCCCACAGAGTAAAGAGTAACAAACTTGGAAGCTCGGTTCCATTCGATTGAAACGAACCATGGTTGCCACAGTAATGTAATGTTTAATTTTGGCTTGAATATTTTCTTTACTTATAATATAGCTTTAACAACAGTATTTTTGTTTTTAAAAATAAAATTAGTATCACATTAAATTTAAATAATAATTCCTTTCCGGTGAAAAATCATTAGAATTTTTTTAAACTGGAAACTGTAAAGATGTAACTCAGTGTTCCGAACCCAAGTGGTCTCTCACAGTTCATAGTCGCTTAGATGAGAGAGAAGTTGCGAGAGAAAGCCTCTCTCTAGTTGAATGTGATTGAAAGTCTTTCTATATCTGATTGAAGGCTAAAAGCTTTGCAGTTGAAAGACGCAGCTTGTCAATTTTATTGACAACAAAGCCAGATGAGAGTGAAAGAGAGAGTTAAAGACAGCTGTGTGCGGTTTTGCCGGTACCGTTTGTCAGATGCAGAGGGTAAGTGGGGGTGACTGTCAGTGGCTTACGAAGAAGGTTTACGTTTTTATCACACTTCAATAGTGAGCTCCTTATTTTGCAAACAGGAAAATATTTGGTTACACAATAACCAAACAAAATTTTAAAAACTTATCCCTTCTTTAACCTCTCTAATGGTAATTCAGGGGGAAGCTGCAACACTATAACGAAGCTTCATCCTAGCATGCGTTGTGGGGTAGTAATGCTTTCTTATGCGTTTTTGGGGGTTGTTCGGGAAATCGGTGCGTGATCGCTTAAGATATGAAATTACAAAAAAGTGTATTAATTTCTATACATTAATTTTCATTTTAATTTCAATAAAGTTCAATATGAAATTCGCATGGTTAAAACCAAGATGCCATGCCATTTCCTATTTCCCTAAGGATTATTAGCTTGTTAGCCGAACGACTCACGCTGCCATCCCTTGGGACTCGTATCGAAGCAGGAAGTAACTATTATATAACGTAAAATGGGACAGGGGAGAATAAAAGGCCGTTGGAGATTGGCACGCACCTTTCGTTTTCCGACACAGGTTTTCTTTTTTCCTCTTTCCTTTTTTCGGATACCAGCATCATTTTTTATTTATGCCATCGGACAGGGGGTTGGGATGCCGTAGGTGTTAGATGAAATGGAAAGCACACTCGAGAGAATATTTGGAGCACGTGCTGCAGCAAGTACGTTTCAGCACTTGATGTGATTTTATTTACATGGAAGATACACGATAGCGTGCGGGAGTGGGTGGACTTTTCCAAGGAAAAGCCAATGCAGACATGCCGACGCCTGACCGACCGATTGGTAAATATTTATGCCCGAGATGCCCGCAATCTAGAGTTGTCCAAAGGCAAGAAACGAGGTCACCAGAAAGCGGGCGGAACTAAAGCCCATCTGCAGATGGAGACCGCGAAAGACGGAGACGAAAAATGAGCCGGGGATTTGTAAGAGCCCCAGACAATCGGTCGGGAATCTGCTGAAGCACAACTAATGATGCGGGCTACGATCCCGACTTGAACACTGGGATAAGGTTTTAAAAAGATTACTTTAAAATTTGAATTAAATACATTCCATTTCCCGAATCGCCATAAAACAACTTCAATAAATGTGATCAATTTGAAGTCATAGTCTAGAAAACAAGTCAGTGTCTCATTTTATTAATTTTGTTTGCAAATTTATTGAGTTGGGTTGAGCTTCCGGTTCAATGTTGTTGCCTCCTGGCGACGAAAACGAAACAGACGGAAACACCCCAAAATACCACCCACAACCGCTTACCCAACGTAGGGATACACCGGTAACAAGAAAAGCTTTGATAAGCAGAACTAAGCACTTCCACTGAACCATCAAACTAAGGAAAAACGCCATTAAACGAGATGGTTGCAAATTTTACGGGCTTTCCATTTTTTCGACAAAGGAAAACGTACAATCTGAAAGTAGGCCGGCTTTTATGGTTTAAATTTCGAACGATAATCGAAATTAGTCGTCAACGCTCAGAGAATAAATTTATTTGTTCACTCGAATATTTAGGGAATATAAATAAAAAGTGGCAAGATGATCGACATACTATCGCTGCCACGCCGCAACAAGGTGTCCGGAAATCCGGCCCTGCTGAAGATGATCTCGTTTAAGACCGGACTGCCCATAAACAGCTTGCCGGGATGGGAACTGATTCCGCTCAACTGCAAGCTGCCTATGCTCAAGTGCCCCGGAAATCAAGTCATATTCTCGAAGAACAAGATCGGGCAAGATGTGAGTGCAAAGAAAAGGGTTAAAACATTCTATATATTTTCCTAATCCTTCGCCAGTTCAAGAGCGGCAAGCAGGAGTTCGAGTGCTCCGTCACCGAGCACATTCCCGAGTACAATCCGTTGCACGACTCCAATCTGAAGACCTTCTACTCCAACGAGCGCAATCTGAAGCGTCTGCGGGAGAACGGCGAGATTACGCAGGAGAACGATGTGATTTGCAACCTGAAGGACTTCAACCAGCACCGCCAGGAGTTGCATAAGTCGCAGCTGTACTACATTTTGCAGGCGTACAAGCGGCGAGAGTCGGAGCAATATGATCGCATGTTGATCGCTAATGCAGAATCGATCACGAAGAAGGATCATCAGAACCTGGCAGCTCGGCACCAGTGCACCGAGGAGGTCCTTGCCAGGAAGCAGCAGCAGGAGGAGGAGCGCCATGAAAGGAAGGTGCACTTGTTAAATATTACGTACGAGAAGTTTAAGAGGTTGGAGAACCTGGCCACAATGCAAAACATGCTGCTTGAGCACCGCAAGATGCTCACAAATATGCGAGTAGCTGCCCACGTCAGCATGTGCCAGGATATCATGAGGAAGCTCCTAATCAAGCAGAAGAAGCTCTTCCAGTTCAAAAAGGACCGCTTCAACAAGAACATGCGCATCCTGAGAAAGCAAAGGCTGATGAAGAACACGGAGCACCAGATCCAGTCATGGAAGAAAAGACTGGATGAACGGATCGCCAATCAGCGAAGGATCAACTACCTCTTGCAGGAGGTGGAAAAGGAGCGTGAGGCGTTTATAGAGAGGCACAAGGCAATATACAGGGATAAGTGGCAGCGGATACAGGACGAGATTAAGGAGAGATCTCAGAAGTCCATCGCTGCTCGTCAGCCCAAGAAAAAGCGCCGCAAGAACAAGAAGAAAAAGAAGCCGATAATTGAACCACGTAAGCCATCCTTTTGCGATGAGTACCAGGCCACCTTTGAGGGTTTGCTGGACAGCGATCTCTGCTACGCCTTGAATGCAGCCATTGCTATGGAGGGCCAGACCGCTCTCAGCTTCGCCCCAGACGATCCTATATACAAGGCGGCGCAGTACATACTGGACTACATTATAGCCGGCTTTAACGAGGATCTCAGCGAGGACGAGTGCGCCCTGCAGGTGTTGATTACACGCATCCGAGACTTTGTCTGCGATGCGAAGAAATACGTCCACTACGTAAGTGGTTGACTTTACTTCTGCCTAACAGCTCGCTCAATACTACTCGCTACACTTGCAGAAAGCCTTCCAGATCATCGGTTTTGCCAGGGACCACAAGGCCATGGAAGTGCCGCCGTCGGTGGCCAAGCCGCCGAAGAACCAGTCGCGGGCCTCGCACGTCTCCTTCAGCGGTGTGGCCAGCACCATTGGCGTAGGCAGCTACGAGATTCATCCGTTTGTGGACGTGCGCCCCTGCGGCGAGCGTCGACCCACGCCGGCGGGTTCCCTGGCCTCGCTGGTGGTAGAGAAGATCGGGGAGCAGGTGATCCAGGACAAGGTACGCCTGCCGCACCTGAACCGCAACCAGATCGTGTTTATCGAGCACTATCTGGTAAAGTTTAAGCGGGATCTGCTGGTGGGCCTAGACAAACTTGTCTTTGCGGCCATCCAGTGCCACTTTGAGAACCGCATGATGGAGGTGCGCGAGGAGCTGCTGCTGCTGGACAGGAACTACCTGTTCGAGCAGATTGCACGAGGGATTCTTAGCTTTGCACTCAATCCGCTCAACTACCAGTCGGTGATGAAGCTGGCCGTGAGCGTTTTGTCCTGCGAGATCATCTGGGAGCTGCAGCAGACGATGCTCAAGCCGGGCATCGATCCGCGGGGCCAGAATCACCCTGTGACCTGCGGATCTGAGCGGGAGCGCGAATCCTTAGCTCTGTGCATACCCTAGAATCCTCACACGAAAGGAGACCCGGAAATCTTTCAGAGTATAATTATATAAATTCAAAGTATAAGCTGGATAATTTCGCACTTATTATGGAGTAATCATATTTCAGACATTCAGATGTACAAAATTTATGTGATATGTTTTTGTTTCGTTTTGAGATAAATATAATACGTTGTTTGCAGGAGACCCGAATATCAAATTTATTGATTATTTCTTTTAAATCGTACATTTTTAATGGAATGAAGTTAAAAAAATACTCACTGTTGCACCTGTTGGAACTTCTTATTTGAGTTTTGATTATTTCCTTAGTTTTCGGCAGAAATAGACTTGTAAACACTGCAAGATTGAATTTTTTACCAAAAAGCGTGGAAGCAACAGCTGGCAAAACAACCAGGGCTGCGAGACTTTATTCATCCCGATAACTAGGGCTTTACCAGCCTTATCTGTTATCGATACATTTATGCATTTTTAAATTAATGAAAAGAATAATTCGATCTAGACGGCTTATTTCTCTTTAAAACCATGCAAACAATTGTTTTTTGAAATTATTTGTAATTTACAACTTAACACTTTGTTAGCATCTTTACTGTACAGCAAAACACTTGAAGGATCGTCTACAACTAACTTAAGTACTAATTATTTAGGAAAACTGAACGGAGCCCCATAGGGATACATCATGGAGTTGTAAGGGGTGCTCGCAGCGCCCAAAAGGGGAAACGGGAAAACTTGTGGAGGTAGGTTTTTGGCGGTATTTTTTGCGCCGCGTTTCCGCTTCTGCTTGGCTACCTGTGGCTCGTCGCTGGATTCCGACTCCTCGCTCTCGCTGCTGTCATCGGTGGCCTCATCCTCGTCTTCGTCCTCATCCTCCTCTTCATCCTTGGGTTCAACCTTCATCCTTTTCTGAGGCGTCTTTTTGCTCTTCTTAATCGCCTTTTTGTCCTTTTTGGCCTTGGCTGGAGTTACTGGTACTGGCACTGAAACTGGAGAGGCGACAGTACCAGCTGGAAATGCAAATCGCTGATCGCCATGGAAAGCGGTCATCTGCTGCATGGCAAATTCCATAAATGCCTGCATAGCAATGTTCAGGTTTGGCGGATTCGGACAGTTCTTGAGACCGTGATACCGACCGGAACAGTTTCTGCAGATCATCTGGCACTGGAAGGAGGTGTGGCCCTGAAAGTGCACATTTTAAAAGACTTAATATATACTTTTATGGAACTCATACCTTCTTATCGCAAATACCACAAGCATCGGCGGCTTTGCTTTTGTTTTTTCCTTTTCCCGCCCTTTTTTCTTCTACATCTTCCATCTCGCTGCTCTCCTCTTCATCCGTGATGGTAAACTGGCGCTCCTGCGAACCCATACAGACGACATCCTCTTCAATCTCCTTTGACGCATGTTTACCCTTTTTCAGTGGCAAACTTTTATCGTCATTATCGGAATCCGAGTCAGAAGATGAGGAGTCGGAGGACGAGACAGGCTTGACAGCCTTTGGTTTGGGCGAAGACACCGTAGTCTTGCTGGCTTTTGTTTTAAGTGAGGCTGCCACAGCTGCAGTCTTGGCTACTATTTCGCCTGGCTCGGGTTCGGATTCCTCCTCCGAACTGCTCGAAGAACTGGAGGAGCTCTCCTTCTGCTTTTTTGGAGACTTGGGTTCTGGTTTGACCACCGGTGTGGGTTCTGGCTTGGGTTTCAGTAGTTCCTTCTCCTTCTTGATATTGATAAGCGGCACTGCGGGCACTTCTGGCGCAACAGGTGGCTCAGGATCAGGAGAAGCCGAGGGTGCAGCAGTAGGGTTGGCAGGTGGCACACTGTCCTGCCTGTGAGACGAGGGAGCAGGTGAAGGAGCCTTTATTGGTGGTTCCTCGGTGAACTCTCCCACGTTGTCGAAATAAAGCATGTTGTTCTGACCTGGGCTAACATGGTGATCTTTGCCATGCCAGGAGTTGTTACGTCCGCCCTTGTTCGAGTCCCTACCGCGGTGACCTCTCCCCCTGCCTCCACCACCACCGCCACCACCACCACCACCGCCTCCCCCTCTCCGTCTTCCATTTCGCCTGCTTGACTGCTGCGGAGTGTTCAGCTGCTGCTGAGGATCCCTGAATTTGTTGAAGGCATTCCCGCCAGGTCCCCTTGGTCCCTGTCCACCTGCAGCCCCTCTTTCCGACCAACTGCCATTCGTTTGGGGAGTGTGGCTCTGATTTCCTCTACCGCCGCCGCCGCCTCCGCCGCTGCGCCTTTGATGATTGTTGTGCCCATCTCCAAAGTAGCGGTTTTGGTCCTGCGTCGAATTGTTCCAGCCGGAATGTCCTCCGCCGTTGTGCATCGTGGAATTTTTAATATTTACGAAACGAACCGCTTAGCCGCGGTGCACGTGTTGAGCCGATTGGCGATATCGATGAAAAGCTATCGTCTGTGCAACCGACTTGGATCCTAGCTATAGCTGTTTCGATAGATTTGCCCAGCGAATAGATTTGTCATTTCCAAAGCCGTGTGAAGCAATAAATTTAGAAACAAATAGGATCCCCACCAAGATGAAACCGAACGAAGCGAGAAAAGAACATAGGAATAAACTGAACCATCTCTCCAAAACATGGGGCCAGAACAAGTTTAAGCCTAAAAGGTATATGAAACCGGAAGTACGACCCGAGCCACAGGCCACCGCTAAGCCGTGGCAGCATGTCAAGAACGACATTATTGACGACTCGGAGGACCGCGGATACCAGGATGTGGACAGTAAAGACGCCAAGAAGTTCATGCAGCAGCGGGAGCAAAACCACCGAAGAAATATCATAGAGGCCAGCAGATCAGAGGCAACCAAATGGGAGTCTTTCGAGGACGAGCAGCCTTCTACTTCGGACAAGAAGTTCAAGGAGAAGGTTAAGCCTTCCAGTGACAGGTCCCACTTGATTACCACAGCAGTCAATGACTTAACTTTTGCGCAGCGTAACTTTTACAGAAAAGCCATCACGTCGAGCCTTAAACAAACCGATTCAACCTCAAATTTTAAAAATGCTATATATGATTTGAAAAAAAATCATCATAAAATTCGCAAAAATGAACGAAAAAATCCGTTTAACAATAAGGCCAAGGGGAAGGGGTCCTAGAACTGTATAAAATTTGTCAATAAACTCGAACTTTTAAACAAACTTCTTCAAATACTAGAAATTAAAAGATTGTTACTCGGGTGACAAATCAGAAATGTATACACAACATTACTACACGCTTTATGTAAATCTTAAAAGTAGTGGTACAAATACATGTGGAATAGGTCGGCGAAAATAAATAAACTAAACAAAATTCGGCTTCTCCTTGGATGGGAGAAGCAAGAGGAGATTTAAGCGACGCCAGCTGCGCAATGGATCTATCCAAATCCATTACTTTATTTCAGCCGTTGGCGTTGGCCAGCTTGGCGATCAACTGGTTAAACTTGCTGTTGGTGGTCACCGATTTTTTTGCCGATCGCACTTGTTCCGGCGAGTGCTGCAGAAAGTAAACGACGATAAATTCGAGTGTTTGATTGGCTTCCTTGGGGTACATCATGTTGAAGGTATAGTAGTAGCAGATCAACTGGGTCAGAATGTCCGGCAGGTCGTCGTCTTTGGCGGCGAACGTAGCCATTATTTGGCCCTCGATGTAGACCTTAGCCTCCATCTGCGATTCCTCGCCATCGGCCGTTGTAATGGGCGAATCTGAGGAGAAATAAATTAGAATACTATGCACCTTAGTTCGCTGTGATCAGAGCTACTCACTGACTAGAGCTACCCAGGGGGCGTTTGTGGGATTTGTGGTCTGCAACGCTTCCTTGCTAAGAAAGCCGCTGTCTAACTGCTTGAAGATATAGTCGGGATCCTCATTAAAGTGATAAGCAATGCCACGCAGCAAGTTAGCATTGCTCTCCTCCAGAGCGCTGATTTTCTTGTTCTTTGAGCTTTTAAAGAATCTAAAGAAGCGATCCTTTTCGCCGGCCAAGCGCTTTTCTAAAGCCCTAGGGTCAATGGACATAAGCAGCTCAAAGTGCTGGTATAGCACAGCCTTGTCAAAAATATACGGCCAATTGTCTTTAATGGCTGTGATGTCCGGGATCTTTTCGCTATTGTTGAAAAACGAGCGCTGCAACGGGAAGCACTCCTTCATATATTCGATAATGGTGGACTGCTCCAGGGGAGAACTTCCACGGTAGCTGGAAATGAGTAGTTCCTTCTTCTGTTCCAGATCTCTGTTGAGAGCTAGTGCCTTAGCGTCGCCATTGGAGGCACTTCCCCCGAGTTTCCGTTTTTTACCGGAGATGTGGATCTCAAAAGTTCCCGAACCCCCCCGCTTTTGTGGTTTGTTTAGGGAGTTATTCCGGTTGATCATTTTGGAGATGAGCGACTGCGGCGTAGTGGCTATGAACTGACCCTCGCGGTCCTTTTCAAGCAGAGAGTCCGGATACTTTTCAGCGGCCTGTTGAGCAACCTGTCGGAAAACCCGAATGGGGACGTGGGCAGATATCTCACGGAGAGCTTCCACCAAAACATTTGCCAGGGTATTTAGACGCTTGCCCAAACTACCCTTTCCTTTCAGCAGCTTCATGATGTCCCCGGGCACCTTGCTCCACGGTATCGAAAACTCCTTAAACAATGCCGAATTCTTTGCACTTGATGGTGTAACGCTGGACAGCGACAAGGTCTCGTCATTGGACACCGTTGAGTCGTTTGGGTTAGACACAATACTGTTGTTGGCATAGAAGCTGGGATCAACCGAGCTGCTGGCGCGTTCGGATCGATTAAGCGGCGAAGGCGGAGGCAGCACCACATACTCCTCCGATTCTGCGAGGAGCATCAACAAGATCTTTTCCTTGGCTGCGAACAGAAGTACATCGTCCTCGCAGATTTCGCAGCCGTTGCTCTCCAGGACAATCGTGCTGCCGCACAAGCCGTATTTGTGGGCTGCCGGTGGAAAAGAAAATAATTTATTTTTTAATGCAACTTATTAAGATGGGGGTTTGGTTTACACCCAGAAAATAAAAAAGTAACCAATGTTTGAGGTGGACAAACTTAGTTTTCACAATTAAGTCCAAGTTGGTAAAATTAATGCTGTTCGTGGATCCTCAAGAAGTATTAATGTATTACCCAGTTCCGGACGAATTCTTACCCTTCTCGATCACGTCCTTCCGCATGGGCAAGGACATAAAGGTCTTTTTGATCTTCCTATCAGCACTGCATATGGTAATCAATACTTTGTCAGCCAGCTCGGTCTTGGGCTTGCCCTCGTCCTTTTCGTCCTTTTGGCCTGCCCCAGTGGAATGTGTCGATTCTGTGAATATAAAACAGCCAACTAAGTTTAAGTAACCAGATAAATTGCACAATTAAATCAGCAAGCCGGGTGTTTTCTCACCGCAACTCTCTGGCTTTTTCGCTCCTCCTGTTTGTACACCATTTTCGATTGTTGTTGCCTTTGCGTTTGCGACCGGCGCTTGGTTTGGCTTCAGATTCGGACTGATTGGCATTATCTGGGCTTTCTGATCGCCGGCAGAACTAACGGGCGTCGCAGCAGCAACGTCCATGGCTTTTATTTGCGTTTGTGCGACTCAAAAGCAAGCCCCAAGCCCTGTTTTCTTGTTTTTGGACCGTGAAATAAAATAATATTGCAGAATAGGGATGTAAAAAATACATCGATGCTACTATCGCAATGGTATCGATACCGGGCGTTCGAGTATGACCGTGCCGAGCATTGTGAATATGACACCTTAACAGCCTTGCCATATTGCCAAAGAAATGCATTTTTCTTCTCATTTGGACAATTGTTAGCTTGAAGCCTCAGATTTGTGCAAACTGTTTGCACACACTGGAAACATGGAAAAATTTTAGATGCAGAAGGATTAACTTCTTTAATATTTTTACAATGTATAGTTGCATGATCGAGGCAATAAGGACTTTCGATATTAATCGAAGAATATCAATGCATCGCAGCCTGTTGGTATGTTTGAAGACGCACGAAACGGTCGCACAGTTGTTGCTTCGCTTCTTGGGAGTCGCGTTTATTTTTGTTTTTCTCCTTGGTTCCTCAGTTTCCTTACTTCTTGTTCACTGCCTGCCGCAAAAGATCTTAAAGTCAAGAATTTTTAACACAAGAACCTTCCACAATGCACTGAAGAGACTGCACATAAGGAGTGGGCGTCAAGCCCAATTTATATTCACCAAAGGCAACAGTTATTAATTGTTTTTTTTATTGGCGGATGCAATATTTTTACTTTGTACGCACGCCAAGCATTATGCATATGTGAGTAATTGTGCTCGGCAAATGGTGAACAATTTTAATATTACGGCTATTTTTAACCCGCAGAAAGTATTTGCAACTCGCTGTTCTGTGGCTGTGGGTGGTTTCCGAAGCATCTGCCAGTTTGGCCAAATTTAGCAGCACAACGCCAGCGAGTGCTCAGCAATCAGACGTGGAGCTGGAGGCCATCAATGGAACACTTAACTACCGCCTCTACGCCAAGAAGGGCAAGGACGACAAGCCTTGGTTTGATGGCCTGGACAGTAGGCACATCCAGTGCGTTCGGCGAGCTCGTTGCTACGCTACCACGAACGCCACCAACTCGTGCTTCGGCTCCAAACTGCCCTACGAAATGAGCAGCCTCGATCTCACCGACTTCCACACCGACAAGGAGCTGAACGAGAAGCTGAACGACTATTACGCCCTCAAGCATGTGCCTAAGTGCTGGGCGGCCATACAGGTGGGGAATGCTAATGGCACCTAATGAACTCGACCTTGAACCAGTCTGTATACAAATTGGTTGATTGTCGCAATATTTTCCGATAAGGGTTTCATTAGAAACCTGTTGAACGCACTAATTTTGTAGTGTTTCGAATGCAGTACTGATATTTTATGAATCTTTTTCCAGAACCAGATCGTTAAAGATTTAATTAGTTTGCTTTTTACTATGGTCCTATAAAAATCGAGTTTTATTTTTCAATCTGTTTGGATATACTCTAAAGAAACGCTCATATTTCAAACCTACATAGATTTATTTAACTTACGTTTTGTGCATCTCTTGCAGCCTTTTCTGTGTGCCGTCTTTAAGCCAAAGTGCGAGAAAATCAATGGGCAGGACATGGTCTACCTGCCCTCCTACGAAATGTGCCGGATTACTTTGGAACCGTGTCGAGTTTTATACAATACGACGTTTTTCCCGAAATTTCTGCGCTGCAACGAAACGCTCTTTCCCGCGAAATGCACAAACGCTGCGCGAGGCATGAAATTCAATGTAACTGGCCAGTGCCTGAGTCCTTTGGTGCCGACAGAGACATCCGCCAGCTATTATCCTGGCATCGAGGGCTGCGGCGTGAGGTGCAAGGATCCCCTGTACACCGACGATGAGCACCGTCAGATCCACAAGTTGATCGGCTGGGCTGGTAGCTTGTGCCTCCTTTCGAATCTCTTTGTCGTGTCCACTTTTTTCATCGACTGGAAGAATGCCAACAAGTACCCGGCTGTGATTGTATTCTACATAAATCTGTGCTTCCTAATTGCCTGCGTCGGGTGAGTTTATATTTCAGTACTCACAAAGACCTAAAATTAATCCAAACGGGTTTTCAGCTGGCTGCTGCAGTTCACTTCCGGCTCTCGGGAGGACATAGTATGCCGCAAGGATGGCACTCTCCGTCACTCTGAGCCCACGGCTGGCGAGAACCTCTCCTGCATTGTGATATTCGTCCTGGTTTACTACTTCCTCACCGCCGGAATGGTATGGTTTGTGTTCCTAACCTACGCCTGGCATTGGAGAGCCATGGGGCACGTTCAGGATCGCATCGACAAAAAGGGTTCCTACTTCCACCTGGTGGCCTGGTCACTGCCTTTGGTGCTCACCATTACCACTATGGCTTTCAGCGAGGTAGATGGAAATAGCATTGTGGGCATCTGCTTCGTCGGTTACATCAACCATCCGATGCGGGCAGGATTGCTTCTTGGGCCGCTCTGTGGCGTGATTCTCATTGGCGGCTACTTCATAACTCGAGGCATGGTGATGCTCTTCGGACTGAAGCACTTTGCTAACGACATTAAGTCAACTTCTGCGAGCAACAAAATCCATTTGATCATCATGCGCATGGGAATCTGTGCGCTGCTCGCTCTGGTTTTTATTCTGGTGGCCATTGCTTGTCACGTTGCGGAGTTTAGGCATGCAGAGGAGTGGGCCCAGAGCTTCAGGCAGTTTATCATGTGAGTGCAAACATATTTCTCCACTAATAGCTGTGCTTATAGATATATTACCTCCTCTTAGTTGCAAAATCTCTTCTGTATTCGAAGAGAAGAGCTCCTGTCGCATAGAAAACCGTCCCAGTGTGGGCGTCCTCCAACTGCATTTACTGTGCCTCTTTAGCTCCGGAATCCTCATGTCCACCTGGTGCTGGACGCCTTCTTCCGTAGAGACTTGGAAGCGGTACATAAGAAAGTACGTTTTGCCGCAACCGTGGGTGGGCTATTTATAATTTTCGTATTTTCTTGCAGAAAGTGCGGCAAGGAAGTCATCGAAGAAGTCAAAATGCCCAAGCATAAGGTCATTGCGCAAACGTGGGCCAAGCGAAAGGACTTCGAGGACAAGGGCAGGCTGTCCATTACGCTCTGCAACACGCACACTGATCCCGTCGGTCTTAACTTCGATGTGAATGATCTGAACTCCTCGGAGACGAACGATATATCCTCCACCTGGGCTGCATACCTGCCGCAGTGCGTAAAACGTCGAATGGCTCTGACGGGCGCGGCGACCGGTAACTCGTCGAGCCACGGGCCGCGAAAGAACTCCCTGGACTCCGAGATCAGCGTAAGTGTTCGCCACGTTTCCGTCGAATCCCGCAGAAATTCGGTGGATTCGCAGGTATCTGTCAAAATAGCTGAAATGAAGACCAAAGTGGCGTCCCGATCGAGAGGAAAGCACGGAGGCTCCTCAAGCAACAAGAGAACACAGAGGAGGAGGGAGTACATAGCAGCTGCCACGGGAAGGAGCAGCAGGCGAAGAGAGAGCAGCACATCGGTGGAGTCCCAGGTCATCGCACTGAAGAAAACCACTTATCCCAATGCTAGTCACAAAGTGGGCGTGTTTACGCAACACAGCTCCAAGAAGCAACACAATTACACCAGCTCAATGAAGCGGAGGACAGCGAACGCCGGACTAGATCCGACAATCCTGAGTGAATTTCTGCAAAAGAACGGGCAGTTTGTATTCCCATTTCTACAAAACCAGGACATGAGCTCCAGTTCGGAGGAGGAAAACTCGCAAGCGTCTCTGAAGATTCAGGACCTCAACGTGGTTGTGAAGCGGGAGGAGCTCAGTGAGGATGATCACGAAGGAATTAAGATCGAGGAACTGCCAAATAGCAAACAGGTGGCTCTAGAGAACTTCCTCAAGACGATGAAAAAATCGAATGAATCCAACGGCAATCGAAATTCACGCAACTCCACACGAAGCCGGCAGTCAAGAAAGTCCCGAAAGAGCCACCCCAAGACCACTGGCCTCGAGCTGGACTTCAAAAGGAACTATGTGCGGAGTCGCTCGAATGATTCTCTTAGTTGCACCTCCGAGGAACTGGACGTGGCTTTGGATGTGGGTAGCCTACTAAACAGCTCCTTTTCCGGTTTATCCATGGGCAAGCCGTCGAGTAGGAACAGCAAAACCAGCTGCGATGTGGGTATCCAGGCTAATCCCTTTGAGCTGGTTCCCAGTTACGGGGACGAGGAACTGCAGCAGGCCATGCGACTGTTGAATGCGGCCAGTAGGCAGAGAAACGAGGCGGCCAACGAAGATGGCGGGGGCACGGAGCTGCAGGCTTTGTTGGGACACCAAAATCGGCATCACAGGGAGCCGTCGTTTATGAGCGAGTCCGACAAACTCAAAATGTTGTTGCTTCCCTCGAAATAGCAAGACTAAGCGATCAAATACTGCATTTACTTAAGTTTTTGAAACTCTTTTCGAAGGTCCGTCAAGCCTGTTTCGGTTCTTTCGTAATTCATCGAGTTCTTTGCTCGAGAAGAAAAACCAAATTAAGTTGTAAACTTTTCTAAATCAACTTTTTAATTTGCAAAATCAATCTGACTTTTCTGAGCCTTGTTCCAACTTTTCTTATTCCATTGAAAAGTATTTTTAAGAATTTCGACTTATCCTTGCTGAAAAAGGTTGACACTGAAACTGGATATCATCGGATAATTTGTTTATTATTTTACAAGTATTGAAACAGAACTGATGTTTGTACAAAAACTTATAGACAGGTTAAAACAAAACTTGAGAAGCACAAAAAATTGGAAAATACTCTGCGAAATAGAACCAGAAACAGGTTAAATGTATGTTTTTATTCAGTTTACATTGCGATGGCCTTTAGTTTTTCTTAGTTGTTTTATTGAGCAGAATAAGCGAAACTAAAATTACGAATACTCATAGACATTAAGCTGCGAATGTTATTTTACAAACTCATCTTCCCATCTAGCTCGTAAGCATACAAATATCTTTATATTGTACGTTTGTGAATGACTGTTTCCTTAATCCTGGTACTACCGGCGATTCAAATTTATATTCTTGATCCATTTTTCATTGCCGTTGAGTACTGGGCTTCAAACTAGGTTCTAGATTTTACATTAAAGTACGATAAAAATAAGCCTCCTTGGGCAAACCGATCGTACCTCGAAAAGTGCCTACAAGTTTACAACATATCTCATAAATTTGTGTAACTAATAAACCGATTTTAAATCCTCGAATCTAACCCTGTTTGGCCTTCTGCTGCTTGAGCAGCTTAAACTCAGGGCCCCAGACTACGCTGTTGGCAAACTCTCCGAGCAGATAGCACACCAGATTGAAGCCCACCAGCAGGGCCAGAAACAGGTAGCGTAGGTAGAAGGGCAGCACTTCCAGAATGGGGTATACCCACTCCCCGCTGAAGTATCGCACAATGTGCAGCCATATGATGTAGAGCAAGATGAAGGAAACGTTGCCCGTGATGCCGGCCAGTCGACTGGGGTAGCGGCGGAAGCAGGTAAACAGGTCCATGATAGCTAGCAGTGCAACGTTAGTGTGCACGACATGGTTAAGCCAGCTGCAAAAGGTGAGAGGCGTAGGTAAATAAGACTGACTCGGAAGAAGATATTTCTAGGAAAAGCGGTTTAAGAGGCCTTAAGATGAATCATTTGAATGCATAATCAAAAGAATTGAACATGTAAACTCTATTGATTAGTATGTTAATGCTTTGCCACGTAAAAAGCAAACCTGCACTTGCCTGGGGAAAATAGCATCCAGAGCCGAGGGAAAGATGAGCTCACGGTCCCAGATGTAAATGACCCAGAACGAGAGGCACACGTTGTGGGCGACGGGGAAGGCAAAGGCCGCAAACACGTAGTCTCTCGCCGATCTTAACCTGGACTTTGAGTCCACAGATACCCTGTTATCGCCAAAGAAGTCGTTCAAAAGGGCCAGCGAATGGTAGATGGCTTGCAGAATCACGTCCAGGAATGTGAGGTATTTGAACTTGCCGCCCCAACGGGCCTTCAGTTCGTCCTCGTCGAGCAAATCTGTGGGCCAGTGCACCCGGAAGTAGTGATAATATATCCCATACGAGAATTGGGCTGCCGCCAGGAGGTGGACCAGAAATCTCAGGTACTTGAAGGCTCCGCTGGTGTAGGCGTCATTGCAGGTGTCGAGTCGGGCACTTGTGGCCACCGCAGCCTCCTTGGCGGCATTAAACTCCCGCACCTGCTTTTTGCTTTTCCCCATTTTTGCCGGAAAACCAATCGCGACGCACGCCGACAAAAACAAAACAAATTAAAGCTGGTGAACAGCTGATTCGGACTCTGCAAACAACAAAGTTTGTGGCAACTCTGAAGCTATTCAGCAAAAGTTGGCAGCACCGCGAGGCAGAGCTTTGCTTGGGCGCCAAATTTCAAATAAGTTAAAACTATTCACATTAGAGTTTAATCGGTTTATTACGTTACTAGAATTGAATTACAGGTTGCAAACGCAGGTATTTCAAGATGGTGTTGGTTTTCGTGTGCCTTGATATGAGGTTGTTGCAATCGAAAAGGCAATTTTACTTATTTTGTCTAATAAAAACCGAAAGAAGACGCACTTATTGTATGCAAACTACGGCTATAATCTCAATTACAATGTAAGTCGTAGTAAGTATGAATATTATTAGCAAACGGTTCATTAAGTGTGTAAAATATATAAGCGAGTCGGTCTGGCGGGTTCATGCTTCGTTTATTAATTTGCCCATATTTAGTGGGGTCTCCTGGGTCAATATGAGTAAGATAAATATTCGAAACAGGCCCGGCCAATCATCGTTTGTATTTTGTGGCTAATTAAACGCGACTACATGGAACAGAAACGGAACACAGCCTACTCCTAGTTGGATTTGCGCTTGGCCAGCTTAACCTCCTTGGCCCACACGGTGTTGTTGAGGAACTCGCCGAGCAGATAAAGCGAGAGCGTGAATCCCACGACGGCCACGAAGAACAGAATGCGCTGGGGCAGCTGGAGCACCTCCAGCACCGGATAGACCCACACGCCGGAGTAGTGCTTCACCACGTGGATCCACACCAGGTAGGCGCCCATGAAGGTAGCCAGACCGGCGAGTCCATGGCTGCGTTTCGGATACGAACGGTACGAGATGAACAGCTCCAGGACGATGAAGACCACGATGTTGGTGTGCAGGACGTGGTTCAGCCAGCTGAAAGACCGAGAGCAGTGTATTACAAGTATGTAGCAGGATAGAGGTGTACGCGTAAATCTCCCTAGAAGCTTACAGAACTACATATATACTTCTATTAATAAATTTTAAGCTGATTGTTAATTTTCACTTTGTATTCACATCACGTCTTTTTATTGACGAATCTCTGAAAGCGTCAGAGCTACGTGAATAAGAATGTAATTATAATTAAGTGAAAGTCAACACCTTAATCTTAAATGCTAGAAAATGAAATAAGGGTACTTAATAGGGTATATAGGTTAATGTCTTAGCAGGTTAATCGCTGACCCAGCATTTTAGGGAGTTGGTGCATGACCCGCTTTGAAATTTTAAAACCTTTGAGAAACGGAAAAGTCCGATAAATTAGTTTACTTCTGATTTTCGTACAACTTCCCAAGAAATTAAAAATGAGAGTGTTGTGCTTTGCTATATATATGACTCGAATGTAAACAAACAATACGACAATAACAAACATAGTTCTTTAAACATAACTAGTTCTACTGGATTTTGGTGGTCTCACCTGGGAAAGACGGGGTCCAGCACTTTGGGGAAGACCAGCTCTCTGTCAATGGCGTACAGAGTCCAGAAGGTAACGCCCACGTTGATGGCCACCGGGAAAGCCAAGGTGGCCATCAGCCAGTCCTTAAATCTGCGTACCGCCGGGGGTCTCTTGGGGGTCAGCTCGTTGGTGCCCACGAAATCGTTGACGAGCGACACGATATAGTACAGTGCCTGAATTATCTGTAAGTGGGAGAACGGTCGACATGTGTGAGATAATGTGGCTAAATCTAAAGGGTTGCTTAAGTGGAGTGGAAGGAATTACAGCTAGCGAAAACAAGTTTGACAAATCATTTCCTGTAAAAGTTTAGGGATTTTGGGTTTAGTGCTTTAAAAAAGCGGTTATATTTTCAAAGTGTTCAATGGGATGGTATTGCTTGATCTGATACTTTCGAAAAATGAATAGGATTAGTTGAAAATTGTCTCGTTCAAGATATATTATATTAAAAAGTTATTTTAAAAAGAAGTTGAGGCATATAGGAAGCTATATGGTTTTCAGAAACCAATCTAGGGGGTGTTTTATAGAAGCCACAGTAGCATTCTCTTAAAACCTAAAATTCTCTTCTCAGTGTAGCCCAGTAGATGCGTGTAAACCAGTTAAGCAATCCAACCGTGCCAAGAACGTATCGAGTAAACTTTAAACCGCTGAATCTAATGGGGGGTTCGTGTATCTTGTGGGTGATTACCGCATCCAGGAACGTTAGATATTTGAATTTGCCCCCCAGGGGTGGTGGAGCCGCATCTCCGGCTCGCTGGTGGGGAACTCGACGTAGGTGTAGTCGTAGTAGATGCCGTAACTGAACTGCACGGCCGCCGTGAGGTGGAGCAGAGTCCTGAGCGCCCCGAAGACGCCCTGGTACAGGGATTTTCCGCGCACCGATGCCATTTTCCAGCTGCAGCTGCTCGCTCTGCTCACGATTGATTTTTCACGGCCCCGAAGCACAAGCAAACCGGTCTGGTCCGCCGCCCGACTCAAAATAATACTGCCTGCAGTGCAGTAGCGCAAACAACATTTGCCACCCCAAAAAGGGGCTGGCGGTGGATCAGTGTGGCCGCGCCGGGGCCGCGCCAAAATACCAGGTGTGTGGATACTTTTATCTTTTGAAAACGGAACGAGTACCGAATCACAGAGTTCTAGGGTATATTGGGCCTATTGGAAGCTACATATGTAGCTAAGAGGGACCTTATAGGTTTTATAATTTGGTTTTAAGCTTATAGAATCATTGTTTATAGATAATTGTTTGTGGATAAACATATTTTTATCTAATTTCATCTTTAAAATTTGTAAGTATTAAAAGAAAAGACAAGATGTCCACTGTTTTGAGAAATGAACCCTCAGAACAATATATCTGGAGATCTCATCAAGATAATTGCCACATTATTTGTTGTCCAACAACAATGGTATCTTTATCGACTATCACCGATTAGATTTGTCCCTGTGTGATTGAACATCTGGGCGTTATAATTCCCAGCGAGCGATTTCTTATCACTTTTGCTTAACCGGCAGTTAAACGTCCCACACCTTTTCATAGGCTTACCGCACAAATAAAAGTAAGGAACTTGAATTTCCCGCCGAAGGGCACCGTGTTGGGCATTTGGGTGATGTGGAGGGTATACACGCCATAGCTGAACTGCACCGCTGCTGTCAAGTGGAGGAGCAACTGGACCGCCTTGTTGAAACCCGGCGAGGTGGAGCCTTTGCTCTTCGATTTCGTCTTGGGCTTGGCCATGTTGAACCTCCTGGTGCCAGATAAGTACTGATTATGGTATAGCCAGAGTCCAGTCACTAGCAGTGAGTGCTTATGAATGTACGTTTAAGTACAGTGGCTACTCAGTTCAGTTCACCGTTCGTGGTCTCTTAGGATCTCTTATAACTGATGTGCTTTTAACCAACGGCTAACCTACGGTTTTCAAAGGAGGTGAGCAACTGCTTAACTATGGTTTTTCTTAAAAACTCAATTCCGAATCTGAATATGTTGCAAGGTCTTGCTTATTCAAATTCGGTCGACCACTGTATGTATTTTTGCTTTCGCTTTGAAACTGATAAGGCGCGCTTATCTGCCGCACTCTCAATCGCCGTGGTACAAAGTATTTCCACTCGAGAGTGAATTGGCAGAAGCTGAAATACATTCTGAATCCGCGTCGGAACTTGACCCCCACCTCCACCTCCGCCTCCACTTCCACGCACCACACATCCTACATCCTATAAAAAACTATGGGGAGGCGAGCCTCTCCTCTCCTCAAGAGCGTTCTATGAATAGACACATGTGAGCCATATTTATGAGTCGGCACAAAGGCTTTTCGAAATCCGTTCGCAGCTAATGGCAACTATCGATTCCCGCCCCCCAAACCACCCAGCACACGAAGGTCAAGGAGCAAGGCCATCGCGACAAAAGGCGACGTCATTAGAGTCCCGCTAACTGAATTATCCGGTATCATTATCAGGTGCTCCTTGTTTCTCTGTGCGTGTGTTACACGCTATATATCGATTTGCGTTGGTAATTGATTTTCGGTTGTGTAATATCCCAAAATAATCCAGCGGTATACGCCTCTAAACAGCGAAGCCAGTCAACTTTTGGACAACCCATAAAGACATCTGTTCTGTTGAGGGCAATCCACTATCATATCCATTAAACCGTACATATTTTATTTGCTAGAACGGAATTCGTTTTTATATAAATAGGATAATAACAGGGAATGTGTTTTGTACTTCTACAAAAAGAAGTTTTAATGATATATGCACGTCGTATATTTCAGATTGTCTCCTCATTGGTTTCCGACCCGCAGGGCTCCAGGTTAATTTCGGTCAGCTCCTGCTCATCCACCACACTGGTGGCGTCCAGGTCTCCCGTCTCCATTTTGGGGGCAGCCAGTATTTCCTGCTCTTCCTGCGACTCCTGGGCAGCCACTTCCATGGCTGCTCCCTGCTCGAACATGGGATTGTCGAAGGCCCGTTCCCGCACCTCGCCGCTCTCGGGGTCGTAGGCCATTATTCCCAGGCGATCCACACCAGAGGGGCCTCCCTCCGAGGAGCCACCACCGGCTCCGCCGTTGTCGAAGCGGTTGAAGAGGAGGTTCCGGCGCAGTCGCACACCCAAGTGGCGCCACCTCCAGCGGCGGGGGTCGTGGATCCACTGGGGAATCCGATTCAGGTAGGGATTCTCCGGCATGAAGTGGGCCAAGATGACCACGGACACCAGCCCCACCAGAGCCATGCAGAAGAGGATCAGCACGATCGAGGAGAAGCTCACGTTCGGGTTGTAGGGTCGTCCGGAGACCTTCAGGGTCGTGTTGGTTTTCTTCCAGTAGTCGAGTTGCTGCTGTAGGAACTCCATGCTCCGTTCGCTGTACTTCTGGCGATCCGTCACTATGGCCTGCAGGAAGTTGCTGAACTGCTGGGAGCCCACGAAGTGCACCTGCAGGTCGATCTGATCCCCCAGCTTCTGCTGGTCGATGAGCTTGTTTACCTTATCTGCCATCGCCTTCCTGCTGCTCTCGCTGCAGTGAGTCATGGGCGTGGTCAGAGTGGCCCCGCAAATGAGGCAGCAGGACCCAAAGGGTCGCACTGGCGACAGGCAATGGGGCGTCTCGCACTGCTCCTGGACGTTGTGGCACACGGGCTCCACCAACTTGTCGAAGTCCTTGTGGCAGCCGCACAGCTCTCCCCTGTAGTACTCCACCTGGACATCCTGGGCGTTGTGAAAGAGGAACTGCCCCAAGTCCCTGGTGATGAGCTGCTCCAAATAGGTTTTGGAAACCGAGGAGCCGGCCAGGATGAGCTGCCCCACTCTCAGGTGCTGGACATTTTCCAGGTCGAACGCCAGTGCCCCGTGGCCATTGATTATGACCTGCTCGTTATCGCAGGGAATCCTCTCGAGCTCTGGTATGTACTGGGTCGAGTCCTTTTTGGACTTTTCCGTCCAGGTGCCGGGATCAAACCACTTACTCGACTTTGGCGGCTTCAAATAGGCTCTCTTCTCCTCGCTCTCACAGGCGACGTTCCTCTTCGAGCCGAAGTTGATGATGGACTCCTCGGCCAGGAGAACCGCCCCCTCCCTGGGGAAAACCAAGCCGTCAATGGACACTTCCTCGGGCAAGGGCAGCAGGGCTGGATAATATTCCGGGAACACGACCACGTCCTGGGCACAGGGCATGTGCTCATCTATCCAGGCGGAGGGGTGGCTGAAGTCCAGTCCCCCGGCGAACCACTTGGTGGCCTTAGCCACTTGGAGTGGGATCAACACCCAGATCAGCCACTGCAACCACATCATTCGTACAGATGGAACTCCGAACTGATTTGAAATTTGTCAAGGAATATCGCTCATTGCTGATGCCTCATGTTTGGGGGCGTTTTAGTTTCCCCCGTTCTCCCCTTCAGTTCCCCCGGCTGAATTCTGGATAACAATCAAAATCGAGACCTTTCAGCTAGAGCAAATAAACCAGGAAAATGGGACAGCAGATGTAAACAAAATCACGAGCAGATGAGAACAACAAATACCCTATAGGAAAGCAGTGGTGATTAATTAGATGTTAATCAACCCAATGGGTTCGTAAATATTTTACTAGCACTTGCATTCCTTTAGTAAGCAGTTTTTGAAGTACACGAGCTACTTTGAAATACATAATTTTAGCCACTTTCAAAGCAAGTCTACAAATAGTAAGATTTTTAAAATCAGTCGGCTTATGAGTCCCGAGTATACCTCAGTATCACGCTCCATAAATCTTTCCTTCAAAATATCCCACTAATAAATTGCTCGAAATCGAACGGATTGAATGCTGCCCAGCTAGCAAACATATGTAGCATCTGTACGCGAGATACTATATGGAATCGGCCTAGAACATACACAGGTTTTGGCTATTTCGCTTCAACAATGCAATTGTTTGTCGGAAAATAGTTGAAGTTTATTTTTTATTTTGATTGCGCCGATATAAACAATTTCCCCCCGCCCGACGCTTGACGGAAGCCATTGGAATGCCAAAAGAAAAGCGGCGAAAAGGGAACGGCAGCAAAAATAATCGAACCGGATGGTAATGGCACCGAAAAATGCTCGTGTCCGATTCGAGGGACTACATAAAAGCAATTGGCCAAAGAATAAAGGAAAACCAGCGAGTGCAGATCCGTAGATATAAAGCACTTTATGCTCACCAGATCAAAGTGCCTGGGGGCGGGGAGGTGGCATTAATCAAGGGCACGCAAGGTCGTGCAATAATAAACTAAACTCTTCGCTGGAAAAGCCCGGAAAGCACGGAAATGGGAACTTTCAGGAACATTAATTATGGTCAAAACGTGTGCGTGGGGATAAATAAGGAAAACAAGTAAAAGTCATTGACAAAAATGTAAAATGTCTTAATTTGTCTTAAAACCTCTGAAATTTTCTTTGTTGTTTCTGGGTCAACAATGGCTCGTAAAAATAAAGAGTAGCAAGAGTAATCCTTCATAAATTTCAAGGAACATATTACACCATCTTATAAGCCATTTCCAAGAAAAATTATCTTTTTAGGTCACATATTTAACCGGTAATAAATTTATCTTAAATAGTCCATTATTTTCTTTTTAATTAGTCCTTTCATGACCGCTACAACCTCTTCTTTCGGCATTTTCATTGTCATCAAGGCCCTTTAATCACAATTTTTGTAGGTCAGATATTATAATCGAAAAGGTTATATTGCTGTTGGAATTTTTCTCGCAAGTCGAATGGAAACTTTCATAGCGAACTGGCCCAAACTCAAGGCATATTTATTTACCTAGACGAAACTGAAATGCGCCTTTCCACTATGACAAACACTTCGGAATATTTGCTTGTGTTTTCCCTTGTTGCAGTAGCAGTCCCTCGCAGTAGCTGCGAGAAAAATGCAACAATCCATCGATTTTCTTAGCAATTTTAACGATATGTAAATAAGGCATTTGAAACACCAAACACCAAATCGATGCCAACTGCCGCGTATGGCACATTTACATTGGCGCCCATCAGATAATCTGGCATTCGTCAGTCCCATAAATTTTCGGGCGCACAGAGCAACCAGAACAGAGCGTCCAGCCGATGAAAAATCTGGGAACCGCGAACATCTGAGCAAATAAATACTTGCGGCAAAGTAATGCCGAAAAACGATTGCATGCAAAGTATGTGCAACGACAACAGGGAAAAGTGCAGTGCGAATGGGGAAATTCGGCGGGGGAAGAGCTCTCGTATCTGGCAGATACTCCTCCGTATTCCACAGTTGTTGACCCCACCGGGCGATAAAAAAGCACGGAGCGGGGGCGATCCCCAACGAGCAGACGAACAAATAAACAAACATATGGCAGACATAAATGCGAGCAGCGGCATGCGGGGCATAATAATAAGAATAATTTTTCCTTCGCTCATTTTTTGGTCTCGACACTTGAAACGGTCGAGCTGGACGCATTTCCGCCTTGTTTTTTAATTCCCCATTATTTATAATATATCTTTCGGCGATGGCTTCAATGGGCCAATGGGCCATAACTCTACTCACCAGGGACCAGTAGGACAGGAATTTTATCTTCTGGGGCAGCGACTCCGGCACCAGGCGGCGATTCAGGCTCGTCTTCAGCTTATAGCTGCGCTGGATCTCGAAGGAGCTGTAGTAGAGCCCATATGCGAATTGGCCCAGCGCACACAGGTGTATGATTGTCACAAAGACGCGCGACTTGTAGAGCTCTACTTTGGTCATCTTAGAGATTTCTCACAGATCCTATACGAAGGAAGGTTGAGGGGAACTTCAAGTTACACAGGAGCAAATATAACGCATACAACGGGAACTTGTCTTCAGACTATTTCAAAATGTATTACTTAATCGGTTAAGTACTTCCCAAGGGGAAACGTATTCCTAGAACTCTTCATTTATTGAACAAAGAAATTAACGGTTTTAACTGTTAAGCTACATTTGTATTATTTTTAAAAATATGGGTCATTTAAAATGAAATTTTGCATTAGTTTTTCTCTGTGCAAAGCCACAGTTTCGCCAGTTCTATAATAAGTCTACAAAAGAACGTCCCCAAGGTGTTTGGCTCTTGAGTCAAGACACCGCGCGTTCGTCAACCCAAAGCGCGCACAAATTTAAATCAATATTTGCGTCACCGACATAAATATTTAAGCCCCAAAACTAAGGCAGGAGTGCTCGCAAAAAATCCAGAAATCCCAACTGCACTAGAAGAAGTTCCCCGTGGCTCTTGTTTATATTTCGGTTATGTTCATAATTTGATGGTTTTTATGGCCCTTAAAAACAATTGTTGATTGTTTCACATTTGATTTGCACTCTCTAAACAAATCACCAAGGCTCTGGCACACGCACGCTAAGTATTTTTTCTGATTTCCTTTTGGCTTTGCTCGGTAAAATTGCTCGGCTGCGATTTTCCCTTGACCGCGGGCACAACTGAGCGTATGGAAAACTGGAGTCGCACTGGATGTTGCCCATACGCCGTGTTGCCTCCTGCCTTTTGTGCTCGGTTTGCATTGTACTTGTGCTGTTGCTTCTGTTTCTGCCTCGGTTTCTCGGTTTTGTGGTGTCGGTTCCTCCATTCGCTCGCTTTCGCTTCAGGTGCGTGTTGCGCATGTCCGGCAACGGACTCCGGTCCTCGCATTCCGGATTCGGGAGTGCGGGCTCCGTGTTTATGCGTTAATGATGCCCAATCACCTGAATGAATCCCCCCCCACTCTTTGGCCAATTGAGGTGTATGTTTTTGGTGAATAACTAGAGTGGAGCCATGCAGTCATAGCCTAGAAGATAACTTTACCGAGCGATTAGCATCTTGGTTTATTTTTAGGAGAGAGTAAACTTGGCATTGCGTCAGTGCAAGAGATAAGAAAGTCAAAAAACAAACGTGAAAAAACTTTATTTGAATATAGATAACAGTAAAGCGCACTTGCTAATATCGATAATTCGTTTAAATATTTTTATTATTTTTATTTAGTTATTACTTAATTAAAGTTCATATACAAATACAAAAAGATATCTAAACATTTTTATTCTCCTCAAAGAAAATATTTATAGCAGTATTCTATTAAATTACAGGTATAACGGTTTCAAAACATGCATTTTCAAAAAGTTACATTTATATTTGTAGTGTTTTGTAACTCAACAAAAAATAATTTTGAAATCAGATTTTGGCGCGCTCCGACCGCAAACAAAAAAACCCAACCTTTTGAGAGCTGGCCACTCTCTTACCAGTTTAATGTTGCTGGTGTTTTTCTTTCAAATTTAAAGTCATGTCGTAACCCGAAACGACCTAAACAACACAGAACTTGACACCCAAATTACCAGTGCAGGAATTTCTGGCGGAGATCTCCAGCTTCAACACAGCACACAAACATGTCGGCCGCTTCGCGTGTGACTTTGGGAATGGCGGTCACTGTTTCCACGGCGATCATAGGTTATGTGCACTATAAACAATCTGCGGACCGGCAAGTAATCCATATAATTTATAAAGAAACTATATTCTTCATATGACGCCTTACAGCCTGAGACTCCACGATGGTGTCTTAAGGGACGTGGAGCAGCAACAGCGGCGGAAACACGAGAACACATATAGTTTACAGCAGCAAATTGACATCACCAAGCAGCTTAAGGCCAAAGAGGCGTCCAGCAACTCTCCCAACACGCCCATACCTCCACCAATAACGCCATCGCAGGGCAATCTTCAAGCCGAGACAGACACAAATGCCACCCAGACACCGAGCTCACAAGAAGCAGAGCTTCAGCAGCAAGGTGTTGAGGGATCCGAAGAAGTCTTACAGGCTAAGGCAGAGGCGGCCAACCAGGATGCTCCCAGTCCGCCCTCAGACAACATTTGATGAGCTAACTGTCACTGAAATGCCTTCCGTCGTGCACCAATTAAACTATTAGTAAAATTCGGGTTAAACGAAACGCATTTGTTATTTCGGTCTCCTTTGATGAATTGATGATTGCCTAGAGTAAGAAAAGTTTCTGTTATATTATGGCATTTTGACAACTATCTGGCCAAGAATGTTATTTATAAGGTATTAAATATTATTCAGCTGTGGAGAAACCCATTTCTACGGATTAGTTAGGTTCTCCGGCTGGATTACTTGTTGTATACATATAGTATTACTCAATTTTATTATTACGAATGTGTGTATAGTAAATTACAATTCTAATGGGCGCTCGGTAAAGTATTTCGCGGGGGGTTTGTACATAGGTGGTGGTGGAACACCCCATCATTCTTTGCTCCTCCTCAGCTCCTCTTTCCTCCGAAGTGATATAAAAAAAGTGGAAAACTAACGCAGAGAATAAAATACACGATACTTGGCGTTTTGCTTGTCCGTCGCTGTCGTCTCTTTCAATTGCCATCGTATTGAAAAATGTCCAGAAGATTTAATACCGCCCACCGCCGCCGCCTCCTCCTCCGCCACCTCCTTTGCGGCGATCGCGATCGTTGCCGCGGTCATTGCCGCGCATGTTGTCCCGCTCGTTATTCAAGTAGTTGCCACCGCCGACTCCGTCACCCCGCCCGCCGCCTCTGCGTCCCGGAGACCGTGACCGGCTGCGGGAGCCGCGACGGCGGCCGGGAGAGCGGGAACGGGAGCGGGCTCGACGGCGGCGGGAGTAGAGGTACCGCCTCAGCTCCCGCGAGATGGGCTTCAAGTGCATGAAATTGCAAAATCCTGAGCGGGTGCACTCGCCCATCTCGTACTGCCGGCAGCAGGCCTCGCGAAAATCGGTGACCGGCGACAGTTCGGAGTAGACTGGCCTTCCACCGAACCACCGGTTATTCAAATCGTTCGCCGCCTTCTCCGCGTCTGCTTCGTTGCGGAATTTGATGTAGACGTTGCCGACCAGGTGGTCACCTAGGTTGTCGCACACGTTCATCTCCTCGATTTCGCCGTACTTGTCCTCGCACTCGACGAATACGTCTTCAAAGAAGTTGTCGTAGTGCTCCTGCATCTCCTCGTCGGAGACATTGGCCACCAGATGTGAGCCATCTGCGGATTTGGCCGAGTTTTGCGGGTTCACGTACAGATTCTGGAGTAGCACCGTCTGCGAGAAGGTCGGTTTGTTGTGGATACGCGAGCACCGGTCTCCGTGGCGGCAGGCGCCGATTTTAAAGTAGAACGAGCAGTTGACCCTGTGGAGTGTAAATCCCTTTGGTTATTCGGCCCGGGAAACTAAGCCATGCGACTCTACTTACTTGTCCTTTTCCGTGCCAAAAATGGATGCCAAGTACTCAGCCATGGTGGCGGCTCCTGTGTGTCGTTCCTGCTACCAAAATATGTAACTTTTCTGCGAGACTGCCCCTGCGACGAGTTGGAACTGCAATAAGGTGCGCCGCCTGTGTATTTCTTGCCAATTTTTAATTATTTTCGGATGCCGCACGTAAAAAAGCAGCGTCTGGTCGTATTTTGCACGGCGTTGCCAACCTTAAATGCAGATTTGCAACGAAAATCGATGAAAATCGGTACTATCGATTTTATTATCGAAACAAAGTTAGTATAAGTTTTTAATTGAATTATCCTTTAATTTTGGTTTAAAAAAGCATCTACATTATAGTAAATGAAAAACTAAAAAATGATTTTTAATTCACTTACAAGATAAGTTTGACGGTGTGGGTCTGCGCTAAAAACAAGCCAAGCTCCAAACCGCCGTTTGGCAAGACCCAACTTCAATCAAGAATACCTTGACAACCCTGGCGATTTGCTTCTAGAAAAGTCGGCATTTTTCGCATTTTCACCTGGCACGACTTGCAGCGTGTTTCATTTAGCGATAAATTTGGGAAAAAGGACTGTAAATCCGCTCCATCATCCGCCCCACCAGCAGAAATGGACAAGGTAAGCCGGCGATAAAGCGGAGAGGCAGATGGGAGTAAGACCCTTGTGGTTTTTGCAGGTGAACGAACTCAAGGAAAAGGGCAACCAGGCGCTGAACGCCGAGAAATTCGACGAGGCAGTGGCTGCGTACACGGAGGCCATCGCGCTGGATGGCCAGAACCATGTGCTCTTCAGCAACCGTTCAGCAGCCTACGCAAAGGCCGGAAAATTCCAGGAGGCGCTAGAAGATGCCGAGAAGACCATCCAGCTGAATCCCACTTGGCCGAAAGGCTACTCGCGCAAGGGAGTCGCCGCCGCCGGTCTACACGACTACATGAAGGCTTTCAATGCGTATAACGAGGGTGAGGCCGGCAATTGCCACACATATGAATCACCCGACCTAACCTCACTTATACTACCCGTACAGGTCTCAAGTACGATCCCCAGAACGCCATACTCCTGCAAGGTCGCACGGAAATCACGAACTCGGCCCTGAGCTTCATGCAAGCGCACGGCGACATTCCCATGGACATAGATCCCCAGCAGACGCGCAGCAGCCGCGCTCCCTCGCCACCGCCGTCAAAACCCGCTGAGCCCCCGAAGCCGGCTGAGCCTCGGGTGGAGGACATGACCGAGGAGCAGAAAAAGAAGTACTTCGCCAAGAAAGAGAAGGAGCTGGGCAACGCTGCCTACAAAAAGAAGGAGTTCGAGACAGCCCTGGCACACTACAATGCTGCCATCGAGCATGATCCCACGGATATTACCTTCTACAACAACATAGCTGCCGTTCACTTCGAGCGCAAGGAGTACGAGGAGTGCATCAAGCAGTGCGAGAAGGGCATCGAGGTGGGTCGCGAGAGTCGCGCCGACTTCAAGCTGATAGCCAAATCCTTCGCCCGCATCGGGAACACCTACCGCAAGCTGGAGAACTACAAGCAGGCAAAGGTGTACTACGAGAAGGCCATGTCCGAGCACCGCACGCCGGAGATCAAGACATCGCTGAGCGAGGTGGAGGCCAAGATCAAGGAGGAGGAGCGCATGGCGTACATTAATCCCGAAAAGGCAGAGGAGGAGAAGGAGCAGGGTAACCACTTCTTTAAGAAGGGTGACTACAGCACCGCCGTGAAGCACTACACCGAAGCCATCAAGCGTAATCCGGATGATCCCAAGCTGTACAGCAACCGCGCCGCCTGCTACACAAAGCTGGCCGCCTTCGATCTGGGCCTTAAGGACTGCGACACGTGCATCAAGCTGGATGAGAAGTTCATCAAGGGCTACATCCGCAAGGGCAAGATCCTGCAGGGGATGCAGCAGCAATCCAAGGCCCAGGCTGCCTACCAGAAGGCCCTCGAACTGGACCCCAACAACGCGGAGGCCGTCGAGGGCTATCGCCAGTGCTCCATGAACTTCCAGCGCAATCCGCAAGAGGTGCTTAAAAACGCGATGTCCGATCCGGAGATCCAGCAGATTCTCAAGGACCCGGCCATGCGCATGATCCTCGAGCAGATGCAGAACGACCCGAATGCCGTCAAAGAGTGAGTATCTGCTGAAAATTATTTGCCAAAAATGAGTAACCTGTAACTCGATGCGGAATTCGGGGTTCCTGCGGGTCAAGGTCTAGAACTTTCGGTTTCTGTGGCGAGCAAGGCCCAATCGAATTAAATTTGCATTAATTACTTATTTCAGGGTCTTAAAAGTTACATAAGAGTTTTAAATTGACTTGTACCTCGAAAACAGGGAGGTGGCTACCAGCCTTAAATTAAAATTGGGAGTTTTAAATAACGATATATTTTTACTACATATTTTGATTACTTGGTATTAATAGACTGAAAAATAGGTGTAGTCAAGAATATTATTCTTTATCGGGCATTCAATATCTAGCAGTCTTAACCTGTATTGCACACCCCTTTTATTCCCGAGTATCGAGCAGAAATGTGTTTGAACTTGTTTTAATTAATAACCTTTATTTTGCAGACACTTGCAGAATCCAGCCATCGCCGATAAGATAATGAAACTGCTGGAATCGGGCATCATCCAGATACACTAGGCACTCCACCCCACACACCCTCATTCACTCACCAACTCACACAACCATATTGATAAACATTCAGGAGACAAAACCCCTATAATACGCATTATACAAGATTTATGGCACCTCCAAGCTGGTTAACTAATATATCGTTTTTGATGAAACGGGCCACAATTAATGCTAAACATAATTACCTTAGAAATCGCAAAGCCTAAACGCAGAACGGCGACACTACCACTAACTAAAGAAATTAAAACTAATGCGATAATACAAAATCATTGATAAATGTCTGCCTAGTTGATTTACGCAGATGGATGGAGTAGGCTCCAATCCACGAGGTCCTTATTTTCTTACTACAATAAATATGCTGTAGCTTAGCTCTAAAATAAGTTTTTGAATGTAAAATAAATGAGTCAAAGAATGGTAAGCTATGACTTTAAATTTACCGCGCAAGTGTTGGGTAAGTTGCTGGGTCTCAAAAAGCGTTTGGTATGAGCCACCAATTAGCTTACGTTTCCAGGGCTGCCTGATAAAAATTAAATTTTAAGCAAATAATTTGTATTAAGTTGTTTAGGATTGACGAATAACCTATAGTAAAATCTCAATCGGCTCTACCACTGCTTTTCATTTAGCAGATTGCTATTTTGGCTAAATTTTGCAGCCCTGTTTCTTACGTTACGTAGTTTCGCCCTGGCCAACACAGGAAACCGCCAGTGCTGAAAAGCACTCTGGCAGCTCACTCGCAGCAAGTGGCATGGCAACAACAGCGCTCTCCAACACCGCACGATTTCTACCCGAGAAGGTGTGCTGATTTTGTGATTAAATTCCCGATTTCTGTCGTCCAAAAGTGCCGTACAAGAATGTTTTGAACAGGCTGCATAAGCGAAAATCCAACGCCGACGAAAAAAGCCGAAAAGTGCATGAAAAGCACAAAGATCCGAACCTAAGCCAACCATTTTTTTAACCAGTGTGTCGTAGTGTCCATCGTGTGCGTTGGTGTTGGTTCGTGCGTGTGCGTGTCGGTGTGTGTATGTGTTCCGTCGAATCGCGAAATCGAGAATATAGAAAGATGTGCTCCATTCGTTGGTGGTGGTGAGCTATAGCTATAAAGCGAATCGAGCGAGTATTCCTCGCAAACCCAAAAATCCAGCCTTTTCACCGACGCCTCCAGCTTCCAAATCAAAGGATTTCAACCCATTGAAAACCCCACAAGAGCCACAAAAAGTGAGTATTTGCGTTTCGGGCTCGCTTGGCAACAGGCCGACTGCGTTAGAGCGAGAGGGTGCTCGCGAGCTGTTCGCGGAGGGAGCGAGAGGGCGGGAGAGAGAGCCGGGACGCCAGCGATTACATGCCTCGTTTTTACACACACATTTTGTTGTTGCTGCTGCTGGGAGCAATATGTGACCAATATCTATTAACGGATTGGGAAGCAATTGGGCCCTAGCATAACGTTCCTTGGCAAGACATCGATTTCTCGACGGATTCTACTTCGTTGGCAGTGGATTGGGATGAATATATAATAAGTCAAAACACAGGAATTGATGGCCGGACTAAGTGTTTATAAAACTGAAACATTAGGGGGTACAATAAATATTTTTTGTTTTATTAGTCAGTTTAAAAAAATTACGGTTTTAGAATTTTTTCTATCCCCAATTTACTTAAATGAACCTTTTTATGAAAGGGAATGCCGAATTATTTTTTCTTATGACACAATTCTCATTGCCCTTTCAGTGCAACCCTCCCCGCTGCACTACTCTACCATGCGGCCACAGGCGCCTGGATCGCTGGTCGATCCCAACGAGGAAGAGCTGCGCCTGGCACCATGGTACTGGGGCCGTATATCCCGGGAGGAGGCAAAGAACATACTGCATGGAAAGCCCGACGGCAGCTTTCTAGTGCGCGACGCCCTCTCCATGACTGGGGAGTACACGCTGACGCTAATGAAGGATGGCATCGACAAGCTCATCAGGATCTACCAGAGGGACCGCAAGTACGGGTTCATCGAGAAGGACATGTTCAACTCTGTGGTAGAGATGATCAACTACTACAAGGTGAACTCGTTGAGCATGTACAACAAGACATTGGACATCACTCTGAGCAATCCGATTGTGCGCACCTTCGAGGACGAGGACTCCCAGGCGCACGGGGACCTGAGTCGGCTGAGCAACGACTTCATCCGCACTTGCCAGCACCTCCAGAGCATCGAGCAGAATCTAGAGCAGAAGCGGAACTCCTTCAATGCGATTCGGGAGAAGCTGCAGGAGAAGAAGCTGCACCAGGGCGTGTTCGGCAATGCGGAGATGATTTTTCGCAATCAGATTAAGCTCAACGAATCCTTCATGAAGGCGGCCGTGGATGGCCAAACTACGGAGGCTGGCGCCGGAGACTCCGCTGCGGCCAATGCCAACACACGCCGCAGTCTGCAGGAAACCAAAACGAGCCTGCTTAATCTGCTCCAACTGCTCCAGTCCAAGGGCCAAGAGCTCAACCAGTACATGGAGAAGAAGAAGACGGAGGAGCTGCTGCTCGAGCGACAAATCAACTCCCTCAAGCCGGATCTGCAGGTGCTGCAGATGCGCAAGGACAAGTACATTGAGTAAGTGCGATAATGTGTAAAATATTTATTTTTGAGAACTAGAACAGTTAAGAGTGTCAGGCCACTCAACAAAATGACTAATCATCCATAATCTTAAATGGTGAGCTGGCTTTGCTTAAACTTTTGCCCTTTCAGAGTTTGTAGTCTGATATGGGTAAAGTAAATGCAAGTCCAATGTGAAAAGCGACAAGATGGTTAAGAGACTTGGGAAAGCAGCGGGTTAAACTAAGATGAGGTGGTCGCCATATAAATGTAGATTGCAGATTTTCAGCCTGCGAGGGAGGAATTTTAATGCCCCTCAACGGTTCTGGCTCATTTTCCACGCAGCTCAGTCGGCCGATCGCTCATTCTGTCCAAGTGTCGGCAGCTCGTCTGACCGATACGATACGATACCGATAATAATGGCATAACACTGTTAATAGCAGTTGCCCCCGACCCGCTCATCTACGAATTGTTCACGCCAGTAGAGCGTCTACGTGCCTGACCATTCGCTTTTTCCATTTGTTCGTACAATACAGGCAAACTTCTTTCCGGAAAATCCTTTTCAAATATTCAGATGCAACGGAATCCAGGAATTAGTAACAAAAATAAAGACCTGAAACCCCAACCAACGTAAATTGCCCAAGAATAGAAAGCAGAACCCACACGATTCTGGGCGCTCCCAGAAATTGTCTCTGCTGGAGGGTACGATAAGTAACCCCTTCGAACCGAACCCCGCGTTCTTATTATTCTTATCTGCATTATTAGCGAGACTTGGATTTTGGTCTCCAAATCAAAGCTTTTTATCGAATTTCTATGCGCAATATTTATTTGTATGCGCGAAGCACATATTTTTTGCGTTATCAAGGTCATTTCATGTGGGGGTAGCTTTTGAATTTAGGCGAAAAAGTCGGCGAATTTTTCTTAAATATTCCATAATCGGATGTTCAAGGGTTTGTCTTTAAGTTTTTGGAGAGGGTGTTTGCCCTTCAAGGTGGTAACGAAGTTGCTTTTGCTTAGGGAAGAAAATATTTGTGCTGAATCAAATGTTTTTACTTGTTATAAAGTTCCAAGTCCGAATATGAACTTTTATAATAGGTATTTAATTAGTTTGCTTAAATTGTTATGAGGCAAATATTGTGTTATAAAGCACAATTTCCCCGTTAAAATCTGTTTAAAATCGCTCTCACTTTACGCCAATATTATCTGCCGCACATTTATGTGAATCCGACCGCATGGGGGATTTCTTTCCCTTAATTTTTTTTGATTAGCGAAACTTGTTTGTTTCTTCAGATCCATCATCTCCCGCTCTTTGGCTGCAGTGCGAAAAGCAAAGGCGGCTTTTGCCTAGCAACAGGCCTTTACACCTACACCTACGTCATCGTTGGATGAGTTTACTCGGTTTCTATGGGTATTACCTAGAGTGTGGAAGCACTGGTAACAGGGGAAGTGGCAAATGGAAGGAGGCTCTCTGCCTCTAGATAAGGTTAGCGCCTTGCTAAAGATAGCTACGCTTATCAGCAATTATAAGTCTGCCGAGTGCTTCATAAGTCTTTCCAAGCTTCTCCCCATCTCTGTACCCACCATCTGTATGTAATTCTGGGCTTCCTCTTGCTTTTCGCAAACCTTTTCTCGTCCCAAGGCTTTCTGCTTTTGTGTCTCCTAACTGGCCGAGATTAGGCGGCCACCGTCCTAAGTCCCTTTCCTCCCATTCGGCTTCTCCCAGATTAGATAACTGTCTTTCGTCGGGTGTTGGGTTTCCGTGTGTAGTCCTATCTTCACTCCATCGATGCGAAGATCCATGATATCACCCAACCTTGTGCGCGATAAGCTCTGGAACTTAGTCACCTGGATAGACGTTCCACAATCGATCGTTCCACGATCGTGATGCGGGCCTAGGCTTTCGCAGACCGAGCGGCGACCGGAACACGCAGTCGCATTTGGTTATCAAGGGTTTCGCCGCCAATTGAAATTGCACACTGTTAGATCTGGACAGATATCGATTACCAAGTCAACTCGGACATATTAACTACTTATCGGTATCGCACATAATCGTAATTATTATAAGTTGCGTCTAAGGGACACGTATTTGTCTCCAGGAAAAGTTATTTGAAAAAATTGATTGTCATAGTTCTAAATAAAAAAGTTCAATAATTCGTTAAAGAAAACTCATAAAACTTCGGCCAAATTTATAATACATAATCAATTAAACAGTGGACATCATTTGGTTTGTCAATTAAACGTTTTAAATGATTAGATAAGGATGCAACGTCATCAGATTTAGCAAAATAAAGGCATATTGGCCACGCCTAGAAAGTCACGTACTCCCCTCTTTCATTAGAATGTTGTGAAATAGTATTTCATGTTTTGCAAACATTTTACAAACGTTATTTTTAATCAAATTCGAAATTGAAAAAATCAAATACAATTTTTTTACTTGCTCATGTAAATTTTGAAATTTACAATGTAACTTTCATTTTGCATTGTTTTCCGCAGCACACCTTGGACAGACTTTTTCTTGAACTCACTGTACTTACTTTAAGAGCCCACAAATGTGTTCTTTAATCCATTGCGTCTTGGATAAATTTCTTTTGTAATGCCAAAAACCTAAGTAGCATGGTTCTGCCCTTCACTCACTCCCGACTTCTGTTTTATTTACCTTCAGGCGCCTGAAAGGCTTCAACCTCAAGGACGACGATCTGCAGGCGATCCTCGAGATGGGCTTCGACAAGTGGTGGCAGCACTACGAGACGGTCACGAATCAGCCACACAGCAACGAGACCCTCTGGCTGCTGAGGGAAGCCAATCGCCGGAATGCGGAGGAGCTCCTGATGGGATCGCCCGTGGGCACTTTCCTCATCCGGGCGAGGGACGCGGGTAACTATGCACTCTCGATCTCCTGCAACAACATCGTGCAGCACTGCATTATTTACGAGACGGAGAGCGGCTTTGGTTTCTCCGCCCCCTACAACATCTACCCCTCCCTAAAGAGGTTGGTGGAGCACTACGCCACCAATTCGCTGGAGGAGCACAACGACTCCCTGACCACGACGCTCCGCTGGCCGGTTCTGTACTGGGAACAGAACCGGCAGCTGATCCTGACGCAGCTGCAGGAGGAGCTGGAACAGGAGCGGGAGCAGGCGGCCTCGCTAATGCCGCCGCCGATGATGGGCAGTAGTGCTCCGATACCCACGAGCCGGTCGCGGGACCACGACCAGGTGGACGGAATCGGGAGCCACGACACGGTGACGCCCCCCGCGTCCATTTCGCCGTCGAACTTCAGCACTTCGCAGTAGGAGCCGCGCACCCAATCTCCCGCTGAACAAGCCCACAACCTCAGGCTAGCTATCTATCTCTCTAATCCTAGCTCGCTCTAAAGCCCTAACTCTCTCTATCCCTAGATATAAGCACACGCGGTTGCGGTCCAAGCAATAGCACTGCAGCCTCTTTCGAAAGGCCCAAGTTTGAAAGGGCAATGTCTTTTCGTTTCCCAAAAACGCCTCTAAAGTGAAACAATTTGGTTTTAAGTTCAAAGATAAATCCTAGAGTCCGCTAGAAATTTGTTCTTCATAAGAATTACTCAATTTAGGTACAATTAGGTACAATAACTTGAAAACGTATTCCAAGTTGTTGCTGAAAAGTCTCTTCTTACTGCCAAGATAATATTTTAACCCAAACAACCAAAGCCTGTCACAAAGCTATTTCCTTACATTGGCTGTTTCGCTTACTCAAGTTTCGATATTAAATGATGAGACTTACAAAGTAAAACAAATTCGAAATGTTACACTTGCAGTGCTATTATTTTGGCCACCGCCGAGTATGTACAACGTCATATATATGCTATATATCTGTGTATGATTATTTTTGTGTGTGATGGATGGCGCTGGCAGTTCAACTGCCCCCGCCTTCCCCTCAGAACCAGAAGGCTCCAGAAACAGAAACAGAAACAAAAGGAAACACAAACGAGTAAACATTTTGGTGATCGTGTTTGATGGCTTGCTAGAAGCTTTTTGTGGAAGAACGAAATTTTCTAATTGAGGAAGTTTTCTTATTAATATTACGAGTATGGTTAATTTTATATACGTATATATAGGTATATATATATACATTTTGTAATACTGCATTTCGCGTGATAATTGATAAGTCAAGCTATCTGTTGTTGTATCAAATCCTCTCCCGGTTCCCCTCATAATTATTGTTATCACGCTGCGCGTTGTCAAAAGGGGCGGGGTAGGATCGTGAAGAAATTTTCTGCATTTCTTCAGCGCACTTTGTCGTGTTCATGTAAATATTCTAAAAACGAAACAAAGGAGCACTCGCTTGCGAAAGGTTTGCGAAATCAGGTTAAGGTTTTGATAACCGCCCCCTTGCAACCCCCCTGCGCCCCACCCCCTTGCTCTATATTTGTTGTTATATTATGATTGATTTGAAGTAGTTCTAAGTGAAATCTACGTACGTTTACTCGATGTGATCAGTTGATTGTTGCTAAAATAGTAATTTCCCTTCAAGTTTTGTCCGTTTTTTTTTGTTCAAAACGAAAGCCTTAATTTTTATAAAACACACTCACACAACACAAACAAACTGAGTTGAAACAAAGGAAAAATATATGTACAAAGGAAAAAATGCGAACTTCACACACAGATACAAAAAACAGCAACAAGCTAAACAAAAACAAAGTGCAATCGAAAAGGTAATAATTAAATTTTTAACATTTGTTAATTTATAAAAGGAAAGAAACAGGAAAAAGACAAAAAGTTTCCCATACAAAAAACCATTGCAATAGGCAAAACGCTGATTAAGTTTTTACACAACTGATGTTAAGCATATAAATAGGAATGCATGTTTGACCCACCTGCTACGCCTTTTTTTTTTTTTTAGAAATACTCTTTCCCAATGGAACTCTGGTTTGCTAACTATACTTAACTTAGATTTGTGCAATTTCAACGCGAAAACACGCTGCAATCTGTTACCTTATTTTGTTGTCTTGGAAGAATTGCCAGAAAGAAGAGCCCGCAGTTTGGGAAAGGGTATTTGTTTTGCTTTCTCTTGTTCGCTTGTGCCACCCTGTTGTTCTAAGCCAACTAATAACTTCTTGAGCTTCCTGTTTGCATTGTCCCCGAATCGATATTATATTCGATCGATCCACTTACAAGCACACACACAAACTAGCGCGCCTTTCAGATATTTCTATATATACCCACTATTATGTAATTTAATTTAACTTATTTAACTCGTAACTTGTGTGTTTAATTTTGCTTAAATTCTATGAGATTTCGGCGGATCTCGTACGTTGTAGTATTTATAAGTTTTAAATTTAGTTTGTAAAATGCTTTTCAAACAAAACAATACAAAAAAACAAAAACAAAAATAAAACAAAAAAATAAGAACACAAACAAAAAGTAGCAGTGGAAGATTAAATGTATTCTAAATATGATTGATCAATATCAATTATGATTGATGACAGATAGATGATGACTTTTTGCCATACATAAATGTTGAATTGAAATATAATATTTGTGAATTTTTTTCTATCTCTGCTTCGACTCTGCATTTTTGGCGCAGACCGAGACAAGAAGAATTAAAATTGAAAACAATAGAGGGCGACGAAACTAAATGTGAAACGAATTGCAAATTTGTTGTATTTTTTTATATGAATATATTATATAATATATAGATATTTAACCGTACATACCTATTAAATATGTATGCTCTAGAATGCTATATGTTGTAGATCTTAAGCTATATGTTGTAGATCTTTAAGCGCTAACAAAAACCACAACCGAAACAACAAGAAAATTTTTTGTAGTAGTTTTTTAAAGAAACGTAAAGGAGAGAAGAAACATTAAATGTATTTGTATTTGTGTCTAAAAGAAATGTTCGTAAATAACACAAACGAGAAGAAACCATAATAAAATTGAAAGAAAAACAAACCATCTGAAAGTTTTGCGTAAGTGATTTACAGCTCCCAAAAACATTGACTGATTCTTAACTTGATATTTCCTGATTTTTTTGCTCTGGGTTTCTGCTTTCAATGAACCCTCATCGCCTGTAATCCGCTGAGCTTGGCGAAAAGCTATCGCAAAAATGAAGGAAAGCGAAAAAAGAGCCAATATCACGAGTCCGCCAATTGGTCAGTGAAAAACATGCACTCCATAAGTGACTGGGTTCCAAATTAACAACAAACGTTAAGAGTCACTTTGGAATCGGGGTCGAAATTGTTTTGTGGATATACAGTTTTGGGTCACTTTTCTGCTAACCAACTGATACCTGGAAAACGGAGAGCAGTCGAAAAGACTAACTTATTGAAAAATGTGTCTAATTCAGTTTTTAATTAGTTTAAAGGCTATGTTAAGAGGTTTTAAGCGGACAAAGATGTAACCTGTCTGAAACACTCATCGAAAACATAAAAAACTCTGACATGAACAGGGGTCAAAAAATCGACCATCCCCGAAAGTAAAATTTTGAATTCAGTTTTTTAGGAGTACGACCACAAGCGTTTCAGGAAGGGGGAGCTTTGGGTCATAGCCCAATAGCCGAGTTACCCTCCACATAAATGGGGCCCACCCGATTTTTCCACCTATGGGTTGGTCGGTGCTGGATTTTTTAGTGATAATTGGTGGAGCATTTGGGGGGAAAGGTTTTTCTCCATCTGGCAGCACTGCAGTGGAGCGTTTTTTTTACTCGCGGTCGCGTATTTGGGGCTGTCGGGTTTTTTATTATTTTGAATTGTATTGTTGACACATCTCCGTGGCGCTTCGGAGTTTTGGTTTGTGCAAATGAGAGTGGGGACGATAATGATTCAAAGCAAAAGTGCCGCGCGGTAGAATCCAAAGAATACAAATCCAAACGCTGCGTGTGACTTTGCTTTTTGTGTTTGTCTGGCGATGCTGCAACAACAACAAGAGCAACAACAGGAATTCCCGCAAAAATCTCGCCAAACATAAAACTCATTGCAAAACAACAACAATTGTTTGAGTGTGGTTACTTTTTTGTGCACTATTACTTCATAACAGAGTTGTGCTCTCTCACTCGCTCCGGAAAAGCTCCGCTTGTGGCTCTCTCTCTTGCTCAGGTAATCAAATGTGTTTAATTCTATTAACCTGGCCAATAAACCAACGAAAAGAGTGCGTGTGTGTGCGTGCGCAAGCAAATGAATCAAAATTTAAGAACGCAAACAAATTATTGAATAACATGGCAAAAAAGGAAGGCAGGTGCTCGCTCTCTTTTAGTGGATCCCTCTCTCTCTCGTTCTGTTAGTCTTTGAGATGCCGTAATCTCAGTTTACTCCCGGAGTGGTGAAGGGGGGGTCAGCTGTGGGTGGTGGGGGCCCAATCGATCAGTGGGAGTGATCTCACTGCCTTGCTTTTGAGCTGAGCTAATCAGGGCCGCTTATCAGGGGTTAAGAGGGGTTAAGAGAGTGGCAGGTGGCACGAGGGGGGCCGGGGTTGATTTAATCCCGGCAGAGTACTTAAAACTCTTTCCCTTCCCCTAGAAATTGGCAATGTACAGATCTAGGTTTATTTATCGTTCGAGTTAATTATTCAGTTAAACTTTCAAAATGAATTATAGTTTATAAGTCGCAGCGTAGGGCAACACAGGTTTAGGTGATAATCATAAAAGAACACACTGCAAATTCAAATTACTTGAGGATAGAGAATTATATAAATACTTTTTCATATTTTCATATGGCGGCTTTTTTTTTTTCGGAGAAAAACTGGACCATATTTAATTAAATGCAAATCGTTTTGGGGTCTAAATAATAATTTGAGTTGACTTAAGGAATACTCATTACTTGTCTTTATTGGTCTCTAGCCCGATTCCTCGCCTGGCTTGCCATATGCTTGTTATTCTTCCATAATTCTGTCATTATCTTGCCGTATAAGCCGCCTCTTCCACTTCAATTGCCCTACTCTCCGAACACCTCCCCACTCCCACAGTGTGCACCCCCACAAGAAACAACAACCCAGCAAGAAAAAACATCCAAAACAACGCGTTGTAAATTATTTTTGTGGGCCGCGCCCAGGCGCCATTAAAAAGCCGAAAGAAAATTTTGGGGACTTCGGGAAGAAGGTGCGGGTGTGCGGTGAATACAAGTGTATAAAAGTGGCAGCACATATCGTACATAACTTTAATTACAATAACCACGCGTCATTGGAAACGGGAAGAGAGCGAGAGAGAGAGAGAGAGGGGTGAGGACTTTCGCCCCTGGCCTGGTTGTTTCTCTCTTTCTTTCGGCCACGCGCAGCTGGCCACCCCCTTACCGCCTCAATCAATCCTTCGGCTACAACCTTTCACCTGCCCACTCAGCGCTCAACGCTCAACGCTCTATAAATAAATCTCATTAATAAATTAAACGTTTTAGCGCAGGAAATTCCTTCTCCAGCACCCACCACCCCCCTAACCCCTAACCCCCCACCGATGTACTATAATTTCTTCGAAAGATGCTTGTGTTCACAGACAGACCCGAAAAAACAACCAGACTTTTCTTCATTTGATCCGATAGAGCGACGTCATCATTGTCTTATAAATAAATCAAATTCAATTTTTTGAAGAGTTCTTGTTTTCATTTGATGTAATTATTTTCGTTTGTATTTATTGCATTTGGCAACCGAATCTCCTCAGTATTTTTATTGGGAGTCACGTAAAACGTTCATTTGTCTCTATTCCCAGTTTTGCACTTCCTTTCTTTGTTGGACCGCCGGTCTTTCATTATTAAATTTCTCCACAAAAAGCTAAGCACCACCAAACCACAGCGCCGGTCTGATAAATAGACCCGATTATTAGGGAATTATCATGGAAATGTCTTTTGTGTTGTCTTTATAAATTTCAGGCCTTATGCAAATTCTTCAAACAAGTGGAACATGAATACCGAAATTACCGGCTTGCGGTTCTATTATGATACGGGTCTCACAGCTCTACCAGAAGTTTGTCGGTCTCTAATGTGGCTTGTCTTTTCAAAAAGTTCGATTACTTTCCTATGGCTCATGGCCTTTGAAAACAAATAGACTGACAGACAAAACACCTGTAATTTCCCACATCAAAAGCGAGACCAGTGAGAAATAAAAACAACAGACTCTTTAGAAGATATAAACTTTTTATTAGCTTTATAAACTTTCGTATTGATAAATATGTCTGGATGTAAACAGTAAAAGACTATTAGCTTTATGTTTATAGTCACACCAAAAATTAGGTAGATTGATTGAATTGATTTGAGGATTTCCCTACATCAAATATTAGTTTGAACAAAAAACATTTAATTAGGTAAATCAAAGTTTGAAAGTAAGCCAACTAGTTACAAATACGTTTTTCCCGAAACGATCAACTGCACAAAACCAGACTATAAACTAAACCAAATTTGAGTGGTGCGGGTTATCCCCTTTGTGTTCTTGAAAAAGTTTTCCTTTATTAGTGCCTGAAACAAACTCCCGTGTTTATTGTGGCTTGGCTTTCTCAAAAGTTTAATTTAGTTACATTCGTCTGGGAACTCATGACCTTTGTAAACAAACAGACCGGCAGATAAAACACCTGTAAATCCCCACTTCAAAGGCGAACCACCCACAACAACAATGGGAACAGCAATCGCCCACGCACAGTGGGCCCAATGGGTGGAACAACTTGCTGAGTTGGGCCGCTGGATTCCCACCGGATGTTAATGTTTTATTTGGATTCAAAATTTTCTGCTCGCTGTTTTTAATGCGCGCTGATTTGTTTGGAAGAAAATAAACAATTCTGAAATTTATTTAGTTGGGGATCTAGGGATCGCTCGGTACGGAATGCCATGGGATCCCATGTGAGGCTTCTCTCCCGCATTTTATGGCCGAATAAATATGCAATGAAAACGGCTAAGTTGGCCAAGTTTATGGCTGCTTATCGATCTTATGGCCGCTTTGCCAGATTAGACCCCCGGGCTGCGATGTTTGGTGACCCCGATTGAGTCACGGCGTGAGTCACGGTCCCATCTTTCGTTCGGGGACCACCATTTGCATATCTTTTGTAGTCCACCGAGTGACCTTGAGGACGCCGAGCCGCAATCAATCAAGCGTACAATGGGGGGTTCGAGGGTGGAGCAATGAAGAGCATCTTGCAAACTTTCGCCTTTATGGAGACAACAAATGAATCGTGTCTCACGGACACATACAGAGGCACTTGTTCCACCTTGTCAATCACTTTTGGCGGAAAAGTGAAAAGCGTTAAAGAGTGGAAGGGAAATGCGGAGCACTGCCGAAATATGTGGGTCAGGTCTTCAATACTTTGCCGCGTATTGAATGTCATATTTCCCGGCGCCCCTCGGCGCTGACATATTTTCCGACGGTTCGGCCGATCTCTGATTTCCTATTTCCAATTTTTATTTTCGGATTTGCCTACCCTGGAAGCTCAGAGAGCAAAGGTCTATAAGTTCGAGGGTGCTTTTATTTTATAGTATTTATTTAAATTTACAAATAAAATTCGTAGCTTATACATTTCGATTTTTATGCGAACCGCGACGCAGTTTGTAACATGTTGATTATGTCATAAAGTGTCTTTTCCCTTCTTCGGTTTGTACAAGTTTTGTTAAAATTATTCAGTTTGGTTACCTAACTCAAAATTGACTATGACTTAACCCCGAAGTTCGAGCAGAATATCACGTTGGGCGATTTAGAAGCAATTGCTCAGCCAGGGTATCAGCAGAGTTAGTACCCATATTTCGGGCCTTCCTGCTGTCGATTGCTTTTGTTCCTCTATTTTTTCGTGGCACATGCGCGCGTTCCGAGACCGGACAATTTGACGCTGTACTCACGTACGGCGTATGGCGGGGCATTAAAAATAAATAAATATATACAAATTCCCGGCTGCAGTGGGTGGCGGCAAACAAACCGAAAATTCAAATTCAAATCGTGGCGAGGCACACAAAACATCGCCCAACTGGGCAATTTTAATTTGATTTTCTGACCGTTTCAGATGCTGATTAGGCGTTGTGATGTCCACGTAAACATTGCCCCTCGTTTCGACCGAAGGTTCTGCCAAACTATTCAGCAACTATTATCAATTCGGGTTTCGCCAAGGGGGTTTTGCGTTTGCTGGCACTGCCGGTTGAAGCCCCCTTTTGTTGCCCGTCTGGCTTGTTTATTTGAAAATTATTCCCCGCTTGACATCCCCCCAAGAAAGGACCCTGTCGAGAGGGGAAACCGCTTTCCTCTTATCAAAACATGAACATTTCGCCGCGAACGCTTTTCCCAAAACAAAAACAAAGCCTGGCCACGCAGAGAGAAAGCTCCTCGGACGGAGAGAAAACCTCTCGGGGAAAACAGAGAAGTTTCCGCGGAAGTGTGTAACATGGCAAAAGCTCTTGTATAACATTTTCCGTGTAGCGCTCTGTGGGTCATGGGGGCGGCGAAATACACCCAAATTTGCACGCCCAGGGGCGTTAGCTAAAATTTGGGAGGGGTGCCAAAGAGTGGGACTAATCCAGTGGCTAGTTAAGTGGGCAAATAAGACCTCTGGTCTGGGTAAAAGCATGTAAAGCAAGTTAATTATCTCAAGGTTGTTGCACACAGTTTTTTTTTTGGTAGAAATGAAATTTAAATTAATTTGCAAGAAATACAAATACCATTAAATATATAGAAACTATTAAAATATAAAGGGCTATAAGAAACTCATTTTGAAACCATTGGATTTAACAAACTCAAAATGGGCCTATCTCAATCCGTGGACTCTTCTTTGAACCAAAGGTCAGTAGGTCATGTGAAACTGTTTCGTCTTGCTTGATTTTAGCCCCAAAACTCACCCTTTGCGTACGCCACTGCCTCTGTTTGGTATAACAGTTTCTCTTGGCGTTTTTCGTTTATTTACAATTTGACATTTTGCAAGCGCACGAAAAAACATTCCGTAGAACAGTAGCTCACCTTCACCAAGAGAGACCGAGGAGCTCGAGCTCTCTCGCTTTTGCATTTCGGGCAGCATTGAGATTTCCACTTAGATTTTCCCAACAGACATTCGTCGCTCGCCGAACCGTTCGGTCGTGTCAGCGGAAGATTTCGCCCGGAAAGCCAACCGATTTTCTCTGAAGGAACCCCTCTCCGGGGCCCCGGAATC